CTGGACAGTGGTGAACAATCTCGGACTGTGTTTCACCTCGGAAATGCTGACACTATGTGGCGCTGAGATCACATGTGGGATGGATGTCAGCTTCGCACCCTAGGTCCAAATCTCCTCCAACCATTGGGATCTCAATTGATCTCAAAAAAAACAAAGAGTATCAAGGAGATTTCAAAGAGTGTGCTTTATTTGATGTTCGGATGGAATAGAATGGCGGCACGCAAAATGGAAATAGGACACCCACCATAGCTCGAGTCCATTCTGTGCCACATGCCACAGGCCGATCTGAACCAAGCGACCAGGGAGGTGAAAATGAACTCAAAGCGAGTGGAATTAAACCGCGTCATCACCTCACTTCCAGCGAAAGTAGTTACGTGGCATGGCTCATTTCATGTGTGGAGCCCCGACCTGTCTGACCTGGCAGCCTAAACTGGTGCTAAACGCAGGGAATTTTCGGGAATGATCTTAATAGTCACTAGCAATAATCATCCCAGCAACCCCCAGTCCCTAGAAATAATCATCTCAGCAACCCCCAGTCCCTAGAAATAATCATCCCATTCCATAATCACTAGAAAACGCGCATCCTGAGGCCTCTGACGTACAAGGCCTGGCTGTTACCTCGAAGTTTTGAGGTAACCTGAAAGCACGGCACGTTGGGCCGGGTGCGGCAGGGAGGGACATGACCATTTAAAAACCACAGCTACAAGTAGTTTGCACTCTAAAGTTCTTAAAATCTAACACCGAAACCAAACATGGATAAAAATGGATATATTTATCTTATATATTCTGATGCTGTATCTAACACTAAATTGTATAGGATCAAGAGAAAAACCATCCGTAACACCATTTTTTGGGGCTCCATTTCACGTGTCATGCTGCTGAGGTCGTTCCAAAACACCTTGACCACACTGGGTCACCTGTTCGCCAGGAGACCGACCGGATGTTGACGCTTGAGACGCAGTTGAATCCAATACCTTCAGTACAAGACGTGTTCCACGGGCTGTTTTGGTTGCCATCATCTGGGGCTGGTTCTACCCTTGTAGCTGTCCTAAATGGAACGGACAGATGTGTTTCTTTACGCTCAGTGGTCAGAAGCAGCACTCATTGTCTTGAGCACTGGCACAAATGTGGTTTCGAATAATTTCACCGAACCAGTCCTTGCCTTTTTTGTCAAATATTGTCAAGGTCTGACCAGCCTGACCTTCCATGCGGAGTGTGTGAGCCAGTGCACTTGATAAAGCCCGGCCCAACAATCCCAGCTCAGCAATGAACAGCCGCCGAGGAGCTTAAATTCGTTCGTGCATACTTGGCAGAAGTCCAAACCAACCTGCTGCCAGAGTTTTGGTGTTTTGCATGGGACTTCCAGCAAGTTCCATGGTCTTTTGCGGCCATGATGACCCCTTTTAATGGACTTTGTAATGCGGCAAGACCTATACTTGATCCCAAGTTTTGAGGTTCCTTTGTTTCAGTTTGAGGGTGGAGTATATTCATCCCAATATCACTTGCCAATTGGCTTTAAAAGCCGGTCTCAGTTCACCAATCATGGGCATCCTAAACCATTCACTTCTTCGAACAGATTTTGAGCACATAAACCCTGTCTTCCCTGGGAAATCCAAGCCAAGAAACAAACCTCAACATCAGCTCCCAGTCAAAAGAGTTCATCTTGAGATACGGCTGCCTATATATACATATATATATATATATACTGTATATATATTATATATATGTGTGCGTGTGTTTGTTATTGTTTGTTGCAATGTTTGTCTACCATAGGGTGCTCTACATGATGCCACCTGCACCGGACAGTTTCGGATAGGGGGCCCCTCTCGCCTCAAGTTGGTGACGATCAGGATCCCCCTCTCGCCGTTGTTGCCCTTGGTGTCCTGGCACAGGGTAGTGCCCTTCGGACATCGGTTGGTTTATACACCCAATGACCTATAGAATGCTGTAGGCTATCGATAATTCATGATTATATAATATATATATAATATACTTATATCACAGAGCTTCCACAAACAAAAATCTATAGTGAATCCAGTTGGTAATGCCGTCCAGCGATACCCCTTGTTCTCAGGGGCTTGGCGGAACGCCTTTGGTTCCAAACCCACTGAAGAAACGGCATCATATCCATCTGCCTCCACAGAATTAATGGAGTCGATCCTTGGTTCATGAGGCCCACAGTCCCACAGTGTAGAAACCCTGGGTTTGATGAGCTAGATTCGAAATTTCACCAGCTGAATGTGGGGATTTTCACGAACAATGCATGCGCCTTTACTGTTAAAGCATCATCATAAATCATCTATAAATGGGCCATCTATATACATCTATATACCATAACTATACCATAGCTATACCGTAGTACTATGTCGAATAGCCAGAGGGCCCTTTTTTTGGAAAATCCCAGGACATCCCAGGCATTTCCAAGGCTCTGGAATTCACCTTTTCGCAGCTTCAAAAGCTGAGGCATCTGATCGAATTTGATCCTGGGCTGAAAGTGGTGGATGGTAGCAAGATCAGTGGCCATTGGAACCGATCTATTCAAGGTACCGAAAAAAGGGGGTTCCCATAAATGGAGATATACCCCTTTATCGCTGGATGGTTTATTTCATGGAAAATCCCATCTATAAATCGATGATCCTAGATGTACCTACCATTCCTTTAAGGTCTAAGGGCTATGTGACGGTGATATACCATGTTTTTTTCCCCAAAATATGGCTACCTGAAATGGCCATTAGTCGCAATGATTGGGGGGGTAGCACAAATAAAGGGTGTTCAGCCACAATAATGTGGGATTGAAGCCACCAAAACTGGGTAAACTATGGTGAATTGGTTGTGTAGGTGGTCACAGGTCGAGGAATAGATCGTGAGTTTGCAGGGTACCACAGGTTAGCCATGAGAAGTTCAAGCCCAACAAAGATCGCCACCCTAACATGTTGAGATTTGGAAGGTGTACTCAGACAGCCTGCCATCTGTGAACCAATTTCTTGGCTGTCCCCAAGTACAGTAATGCTCTGGAACATTGCTCATTTTTTTGTTGTGAGAAAGTTACAGGTTTCTTTCGTGATCATTTGCATGCACATGTGCTGTTGGCTATATCCCTCCCCTGAGGGGGGTCTGCCCCTACCCCACCCCCAACTGCTTGCCCTTCCAAGTGAACCAAGAGACTCTCTGTCCTGCCATACCTATCGCTCGGGCTGCCACAACCCCTTGCTTGAATGCTTGATATGTGGTTCAGGGAAACTGTGATTGCAGCTCCTTGCTCCCTAAACAGCCAGTTCCTAAGCCAAGATGCTAGCAAACATAGAATATAGGATTAAAACACAAAGAAGTACTACAGAAAACATGATACGATCTATCGACAATCATACTATCAAAACTAGTTGTCAAAATTTAGCATCTACCATAGCTCCAAAAATCCCAGTTCCCTCATGTTCCCCTCATGTTCCTCCCAGCCATCCCACCAGCCCCGCAAGCCCCGCACCCCAACAAGCCACACCTCATCTTGTAGTTGGTCACCACCTGACATAGGTTCCAAACCTCGGTGGTGCCGGAAGAAAATGGGGATCTCATTGGGGATGGTCATCCAAAATCCACAAAACATATGGTGTTTCAATGGAAAATTCATCGAACATCATCGGCTGGGGGATTGTCCCGCTAGCCACATCTGATTGCCAGACTTTTTTTGGCGCAGGGTAGAAAGACATCATGATACATGATTGAAACCACTGAGATCCACTGAGTATGTCTGTTTGACGACACCCATTGGTTTCGGAAACTCTTAGATTCAAAAGCAGCTTTCAACCCAAGACCGATGTCTTCGTTGAGAACCCATCAAGCACTCGTGTGTGGAAAGCCAGGGCAAATGAATGTAAGCTTTCACGGGCTATGAACACTTGTGAACGCTTCAGCATCCCACCATATCCCATCGTTTGCTCCAATCCCCACTGAAACAAACCGTAGGAAAAAAAACACGCAGCAACTCTTTGCAGCGAAGCTGCCTTTGCGGAACCACTGTGAAAACCCATGGGGCTTCGAGCCAAACAGCCACCAACTTGCTGATGCGTGAAGCAGTTGGGGGGCTAGTCCCTGAGTATCCCAATTGGCTCACTTGTTTGTGAAAATCGTTCTTCCAAACCACATTCATGTTCAAAATTGATTGGTTTTTTTGGTCACCTCAAAAAAAAACAATAGAACAGCGATTCACCATGATTCACCAATATATTTTAGGACTGGGTTTCACTGTCCTATCTAAACGACATGGGGCTTTGCTGCACCCGACTAGGGCCCAGTTGCACCTTAGGCTGGGGTCAGCTAACAGGCGGCCAACCTCATGGCAATGATGGCTTCCAGCCGACCCTCCAAGTAGCCATAGAAATTGCGAACATATGCTGATATAATACTAATATGCCAATATGATCTATATATATATATATATGTATATAATATTATTGGGGTAAAGCATTAAAAAAATCTTGGATACTTGGAGGGTCTATAGCTATAAATCATGGATTGAATCGGCGGGCATAAAGCCCACCCTTTCATGGAATGCATCGGCAACAAACCTTTGCTGATCGATAGTTCCAACTCCAACCCATCCCAAAATATTGTCACATGATATCATCATCTTAAAATTGATTGTGACATGTTGTGACCAAATATCAACATTTGAAACCACCGGCCAGTTTCACGGGTTCTGAACACTGTTTGAACCTCAATTGGACGTCCATTGACTTTTCACATGTTCTTCATCCACCAGTGACCTTCTATGAAACACACTGAACTCATGTCACCCATTGTCAGTGTCGGCCCTTCAAGTCTTACTACTGGTTGCTGGTTTCAACCATCTTGAAAAATATGAGTTCGTCAATGGGAAGGATGACTTCCCCTATATTATGGAAAATAAAAACTGTTTGAAACCACCAACCAGTTACTATCTATACACCGTCGAAAATCGCCGAGCAAATCCACACCACCCGACCGGACGCATCGCCATCGCGCCCTTTCTTCCACGACTTCGGTCCTGAGGATTTTCTGGTCGAGGTCGGGGCACTCCAAATCTCGCAGAGGTATCCAGTGATCTCCACGGTGAGCAATTTCTCCACCAGGTTCCACTTCTGCCCCACAAAAAAGAAGGCATCTTCAGCCAATCTTCCAGCCGTAGCCATTAATGTAGCCCATTTTCCAGTAGAAGTCCAGCTTGCAGATTTGCCACATATTTTCCCAGATCTTCTCCGCTTTGATCATGTTTTCATCCACCATGGACCATGGATGTTCCACCTGGCTCACCTGACCTTGGCGACAACATTTCAGCTGCATCGAACAACGCCTCAGCAACCTGCTTGGCGATCAAGAGGTAGCCTTCGGTGGTGAAGTGCAGATGATCGTAGAGGTACCTTAAGGGCATGCCATAGGGATAGCGACAGAGATGAATCTGATGAATCCTTCTCTACACACACATATATATATATGTTAATGCGTACATATGTATATATATATGTGTGTGTGTAGTTACCGTAGTTACCATGTTATATAAATATATAATATATATATTCTACACAGCACATGCCTACAGAATGCTGCTGGAATGCTGCTGGAAGCACTGCAAAATACAGGATACGATGATAGATGATGGGCACAGGGAGGTACCATTGTCAATATGTCTCTCTCTCTCCTGTTTTGTAAAGATGAGTTTTCTGTATATTTTTGGGGTACTGAGACTGTCAACTGGACCTTCAAAACAAAGGTTTAAACATTGGGAGTTGGGTGCCAGAATCGGGATGTAGCCAACAAGAACATGGCTCATGGGATACAACCGGGGCATGAAGAACATGAATAAATACTGCAACCAAGAAAAATACCGGGGTGAACCAACAGAAACATTGATGTAGTCCAGCAAAAAGGCATGTATGCGGAGCATGACAAAAATAGGTCTTGCCTCACAAAGATCAGGGAGTTTGACAAAAAAAGGCGAAGATTCTCCCAAAACTGTGGCTAATGATGCTTTTGAACCACTGAAGCATACCATGAAACCCACACAGGGGTTTTTACACACAGACCCTTTTACACACAGACGCTTTTACACACAGACCCTTTTACACACAGACGCTTTTACACACAGACACTTTTACACACAGACGCTTTTACACACAGACACTTTTACACACAGACCCTTTTACACACAGACGCTTTTACACACAGACACTTTTACACACAGACGCTTTTACACACAGACGATTTTACATACAGACGCTTTTACACACAGACCCTTTTACACACAGACGCTTTTACACACAAACACTTTTACACACAGACGCTTTCACACACAGACGCTTTTACACACAGACGATTTTACATACAGACGCTTTTACACACAGACCCTTTTACACACAGACGCTTTTACACACAGACACTTTTACACACAGACGCTTTCACACACAGACGCTTTTACACACAGACGATTTTACATACAGACGCTTTTACACACAGACCCTTTTACACACAGACGCTTTTACACACAGACACTTTTACACACAGACGCTTTCACACACAGACGCTTTTACACACAAACACTTTCACACACAGAGACCGGACCTGTGAAATCGCAATTTTACCTCAGTTTTTGGCGATCGAACCTCATTTCGCGTGTAGCGGTTGCGATTGACACCTCTAAACCGCAATTTTACCATTTCGTGCGAAAAGGTTACGGCGGACAAGGTAAAATCGCAATTTTACCTCAATTTTTGACGTCCAACGTCCATTTCGTGCGAAAGAGTTGCGGTGGGCCAAGTAAAATCGCAATTTTACCTCAGTTTTTGACGTGCAACGTCCATTTCGTGCAAAAGGGTTGCGCGGACTAAGTAAATCGCAATTTTACCTCAATTTTTGCACGTCCAACGTTCATTTCGTGCGAAAGGGTTGCGGCGGACTAAGTAAAATCGCAATTTTACCGCAATTTTTGACGTCCAACGTCCATTTCGTGCGAAAAGGTTGCGGTGGGCAAAGTAAAATCGCAATTTTACCGCAATTTTTGACGTCCAACGTCCATTTCGTGCGAAAGGATTGCGGTGGCCAAGTAAAATCGCAATTTTACCGCAGTTTTGGACGTCCAACGCCCATTTCGTGCGAAAGGGTTGCGTTTCGTGGCGCTCCGGCGGCACCGCCCCCGCCTTAAGAGAGAGATAGAAAGAAGAGCAAGAGAAGATGTGAAGGTGTGAAGATGTAGATCTGCAAGTGTGAGGGTGTGAAGATGTAGATCTGCAGATGTGAAGGTGTGAAGATGTAGATCTGCAGGTGTGAAGGTGTGAAGATGTAGATCTGCAGATGTCAGGGTGTGAAGATGTAGATCAGCAGATGTGAAGGTGTGAAGATGTAGATCTGCAGATGTCAGGGTGTGAAGATGTAGATCTGCAGATGTCAGGGTGAGAAGATGTAGATCAGCAGATGTGAAGGTGTGAAGATCTAGATCTGCAGATGTGAGGGTGTGAAGATGTAGATCTGCAGATGTGAAGGTGTGAAGATGTAGGTCAGCAGATGTGAGGGTGTGAAGATGTAGATCAGCAGATGTGAGGGTGTGAAGATGTAGATCAGCAGATGTGAAGGTGTGAAGATGTAGATCTGCAGATGTCAGGGTGGGAAGATGTAGATCAGCAAATGTGAAGGTGTGAAGATCTAGATCTGCAGATGTGAGGGTGTGAAGATGTAGATCAGCAGATGTGAGGGTGCGAAGATGTATAATAACGGCTGCTTATTTACGAAGAACCCTTCGCAGAACTTCGCAGGCGCACTCGGAAAAAAACATGTATAGTCAATTCTTCCATGACTCCAGCTTTGAAACCCAAACTTTTCAGTTCTCAACGCGGCTGCTGAAACGGCGGTTCCATGCCCCGTCCGGTGCATCGGGCCAAAGATTGCTCCCAGTGGCAGTGTCAAACCTGGCCATGATGCCAGTTGGCAATGGCGACGGTGATGAGGTGAACATGTGAAAGAGACACGAAAGCATGGCATAAGAAATGAATACACAGACGTTACTAAATTTAATTATGTACATACATATAGTATACATATAATGGTATGCATGTGCATGTGCATACAAATACATGACCCGTGGAGGAATGGTGTTCGAACCCACTTTTGAGACACAGCGCGAGTAGGCTGAACACATTGGTTCATCCTGAAATCTGAACGTGTCCTCTGTTGCCAGTGCAACGACACAGGTGACTGACTGGACACTGCAGCTTAAATTCTGAAGGCACCAACTCAAAAGAAACCAAACGATCAACCATTTCAAGCTGCCAAAGACCCCCCCGCTCCAGAGTAAACAAAGTGACCGGGGCGAACTTCACCACGCCATAGATGCTGCTTGTGCTCAACCTCGCAGGTGTGATGCAGGGCTGCAGGTGTTACTGGCGTTGGGGAAACTGGCAGGCTCGCTCCAGGCCTTCGGCTCTGCTAAAGAGCTGGAGCACCGGCAGATTCGGAGCATCGATATCTTCTTGGGGCGGGATCAACTTATCCAAAATGACGTGCAAAAACTGCATCGGGTTTGCAATGGACTTTTCCTTGCTCATTTCTGCCAGGACGTCTTTCAGGGACGCGGGCGCATCAGCTGGTAGAAGAAGGGGCTGAAGTGACATCACCATGCGAGCCAGGTCATGCAAGGACGTCAGACGGTGCAAATCTTCATGCATCTCCTGACCTAGATCTGCAAACGTGTGGCCAAATGAGTAGCAGTCGTTCTTGAAGGGTGATTGTGGGATGCCCATCAAGACTTCAGGAGACCAGTGTGGCATGGTGCCGGGCTTCGCAACAGTTGTTGCGTCTGCGCTGCTCATCTCCAAGGCCGCATCCAGGTCGATGAGCTTGAAGCCAATCTTCCCCTTCACAATGTTGCGACCGTTGATGTCCTGATGTGCCAGCAAGCGCGCATGCATGTGTGCAAGTCCATGGGCTGCGTCCGAAAATGCTTGATGGATTTCTGAGCAGTTGCGTTTCCGCTGCAGCCGCTTGAGGAGCGTTCCCTAGTGGGAGCAGTGGCCAGAGTGTGCCACGCAGTTTTCCGGGGCCAATAACTATACCAGGTCGTAAAACATACCTGCGCGCCATAGTCACAACATCAAACGGTAAGATTCCATGTAAAGCATTGAACATGAAAGATAGCGTGGACTAGCTGCAAGTGCTTACACGTTTCACGTAAAGAGGAGAATGTTTTACACATGTTCGAATTTGCGGAAGATGAGAGACTCCTACCGGTAGCATGGGCATAGAACGACACAGGGCGGCCATGGAAAAATTACCTAAATGGTCAACAGCTATGACCCTGGATTTTGAAATGGAGCTGCAGAACTGAGAGACATTAGACATTAGATTTACGATTTGTGTTCCTTAATGGGCCATGGATTCCCAACAGCACATGGCTGCAAAAAACCAACCACTCAAAACTTGGGTTTGATGGGCACACAGGTGCCGCCAATACGTCTGCCGCGTCACAATGGTGATGGTACCAGCGCCCAACTGGACATAAAATCGACCGGGTGAAATCTTTCCACTGTGACGACCCACAGAAGGCAGCAATCGGGCAAACTGTTGATGAGGATGGTCACAAGTACAATCCCGATCAAATGACCCGAAGTGGGTGACAAGGTCTGGCCATAGCCATTCACAAATGCAAATCACCGGACGATCAGGACGATTTCACCTCTCTACCCTGCAATTATCTCACACGGCAGTAAAACATTCACTATGTATTTGTAAATGACTTACCGGTAGGAAATGGTCACTTTCCATGCTGTCTTACCGAAGGGTCAACCGACTCCTGAGCTCACTGGCCTTCCCAACGAAATTCTCTGGCAGCTGTTGTGCTGGGACCGAAAGAGCTGCGGACCAACAGCTGTCGACCTTTCAACTTGGGAGTAACTTTGCAAACGCTATCTACCCGATCAGCTCATATCATATTAATCCAACTCCATCAATATGTATGAATGAAAGTTCTAACCCAGTGATTCTGCAGCTTTGATTGATGTTTGTTTTTCAAGTGTTCGATTCAAGATCACCTCATGCAATTCGGAATTTGGATTGCCTTGGCTCAGGCCCGCAGCTGTTTGCTCTGCTGAAAGGTCAAACGCGCCATCTAGATTGATACAGAAGAAGCCAACAGCAAATCCCCAGAAAGACGTGAAAATATGTGAAAATCGACGTGAAACTGAAACCGACTGAAACGACGGGAGTCGAGTCCAGTGCACTCCACAGGCCCTGTCTCAGGGCATGTCACAGCTGTCGTGGGCAGCAAATCCGACAGGAATTGCCAAGCGCAACAGTTGCTGCATTTCCAAGCCACTTCTGCCAGCTATATCGATCCATATCGGCCATTTCCCCTGCTGTGACATCCCTGCGACCTTGCCATCTGGTGGCGCTTCAGTCCCGGTAAAGGAGTCCCCGGAGCTCAGAAGGTTCCAGCGCTGGTACCACCTGGCGGGAATCCGGCTTGAGGTGGTCATTTCGTTCTGCGTCTGGCCATGTCATGTGCCTGTAACCTTTGTTATCAGGGTTGGGGGGCGCGGCTTGGCACGAAACAAACTTGATCTTGTGGTCAGGGTCGCTGGGGTAGCAATTGGTCAACAACTTCAAAGGAAGAATATCTCAAAGCACGATGTGACGATGGAAACTCTAGATGCAGTATGCGACACCATCAAGCACCATCGAAAGTCCCAAAATGATGGCTGGTTTCCCACATGCTGTGCTGCCATGTCCTGATGCGGGTCTTCCTTCGCTACATGACCAACAAAAAGAGTCAACACAGTTGCTGCAGAAACGACATTGTTTAGCTGGCACCGGTTCATGGCAACCTGGTACCCATTGACGGCCAACCCAAACAATTTCACCAGTTACAGTATGTGCAGAAATCTTCCCAAACATGTCCAGCCAGTGACGATCCATGTTGGTTGAAAATGCTTCACCGACGTCATGAATCCTGGATCCTCGTCCCGGTGCCGCTGAGGGGCTGGCTGCTAATGGGCATGCCTGAAACAAAGGTTGATACGCTCGTCCTGCAAGCAACCGCAACTGCGCGAGCACTTACAACCATGAGTTCATTGCCAGCATTGCCGGAGATTATCAACTATTCTCAGGTATTATCAGCCTCAGCACTTTGTTGAGCTGAGCGTGGCGGAACTTCGGTGACTGTCAAAAAGCGCTTCGCTGTGATTTGAGATGGGTGAGTTGAATGCCTCTGGCAACCTTCCAGGCGCCCATATCTTCACCAATTGGGGCTCAGTCCATGTCTTTCATTTTCATTCAGCAGCCTCTATGAGTATCTCTCGTCCCAACGGGCGAAAATAAACCAGGCTGACAAACAACTCACGAATGGTAAATGATAGATCAGGACGGCAATCTTCCGATGATTCACACACCATTCACAGGCTTCACATACATACCCAAAAATACTTACTAGACGACGGGTGGCCCGAGAGCGTAGAGGAGCAGGGTCTTCTGTTGTTAGTATTGAGACACTATATTACAAGCCAATATATTAAAGATATGTTATAGGCAGACGAGACAAGTGGTATCAAGACAATTTACACACAGACGCGTTTGCACACAGAGACTTTTACACACAGACGCTTTTACACACAGGCACTTTTACACGCAGACACTTTTACACACAGACGCTTTTACACACACACACACACTTTCACACACAGAGGCTTTTACACACAGACACTTTTACACACAGACGCTTTTACACGCAGATGCTTTTACACACACACACACTTTCACACACAGAGGCTTTTACACACAGGCGCTTTTACACACAGAGGCTTTTACACACGGAGGCTTTTACACACGGAGGCTTTTACACACAGACGCTTTTACACACAAACGCTTTTACACACAGACACGTTTACCCACAGAAGCTTTTACACACACACACACGCTTTTCTTTTACACACACACACACTTTCACACAAAAAGGCTTTTACACACAAACGCTTACACAGAGACTTTTACACACAAACGCTTTTACACACAGACGCTTTTACAGACAAACACTTTCACACACAGAAGCTTTTACACACAAACGCTTTCACACACGGACGCTTTTTAACACAGACGCTTTTACACACAGACGCTTTTACAGACAAACACTTTCACACACAGAGGCTTTTACACACAAACGCTTTTACACACAGAGGCTTTTACACACAGACGCTTACACAGAGACTTTTACACACATAAGCTTTTACACACAGAAGCTTTTACACACAGACGCTTTTACACACAGAAGCTTTTACATACAGACTCCTTTACACGCAGGCGCTTTCAAACACAGACGCTTTTACACACAGAAGCTTTTACACACAGACTCCTTTACACGCAGGCGCTTTCAAACACAGACGCTTTTACACACAGAAGCTTTTACACACAAACGCTTTTACACACAAACACTTTTACACACAGACGCTTTTACACGCAGATGCTTTTTCACACACTGGCAAAGCTATGCAAAGTGCAGGTCGGAAAACCATGTTTCAATATCCAGTCTTTGTGCTTTCATCTAGGATTTGCTTGCTTTTGTCATAACTGGCATTGCAACCAAGCAATATGATGGAACATGTGTTTATCACTGATTCCCTACATCTGCTGTGTATAACTTACGGGCCTTCATGGACCTCCCAATTATCTATCTATCTATCTATCGATCGATCAATCTATCTATCGACGGATCGATCTATCCATCTATCCATCTATCTACCTATCTAAGTATCTATCTATCTATCTACCTACCTACCTATCTATCTATCTATCAATCTTTCTATCTATCTATCTATCTATCTATTCATCTATTCACCTATTCACCTATCCACCTATCCATCTATCCATCTTTCCATCTATCCATCCATCCATCCATCCATCTATCCATCTAATCTATCTAATCTATCTAATCCATCTAATCCATCTAATCTATCTAATCTATCTAATCTATCTAATCTATCTAATCCATCTAATCGATCTAATCGATCAAATCTATCTAATCTATCTAATCTATCTAATCCATCTAATCGATCTAATCGATCAAATCTATCTAATCTATCTAATCTATTAGATCTAGCTAATCTATCTATCTATCTATCTATCTATCTATCTAATCTATTAGATCTATCTAACCTATCTATCTATCTATCTATCCATCTATCTCTATCTATCTATTTATCGATCTATCGATCTATCTATCTATCTATCTCTATCTATCTCCATCTATCTATCTATCTAATCTAATCTAATCTAATCTATCGAATCTATCCAATCTAATCTAATCTAATCTAATCTAATCGATCTAATCTATCTAATCTGTCTAATCTATCTAATCTGTCTAATCTGTCTAATCTGTCTAATCATCTAATCTATCTAACCTATCTAATCATCTAACTATCTAATCTGTCTAATATATCTAATCTATCTAATCTATCTAATCCGTCTATCTATCTCTCTATCTATCTATCTATCAATCTATCTGTCTATCTATATAATTAATCTATCCAAATTATCCAATCTATCTATCTATCTATCTATCTAATCTATCCTATTTATCTATCTACCTATCTATCTATCTACCTATCTATCGATCTATCTATCGATATATCTATTTATCTATCTAATCTATCTATCTATCTATCTAAATCTAAATCTAAATCTATCTATCTATCTATTTAATCTATCTAATCTATTAGATCTAGCTAATCTATCTATCTATCTATCTAATCTATTAGATCTAGCTAACCTATCTATCTATCTATCTATCTATCTATTTATCGATCTATCTATCTATCTATCTATTTAATCTATCTAATCTATTAGATCTAGCTAGTCTATCTATCTATCTATCTGTCTGTCTATCTGTCTATCCATCTATCTATCTATCTATCTATCTCTTTAATCTATCTATTTAATCTATCTATTTAATCTATCTAATCTATTAGATCTAGCTAATCTATCTACCTATCTATCTGTCTATCTATCTATCCATCCATCTATCTGTCTATCTGTCTATCTGTCTATCTGTCTATCTGTCTATCTGTCTATCTATCTATCTATCTATCTATCATCCAATCAATCAACCAATCTAATCAATCTATCTATCAATCTATCATCACACTATTGTGGCCTAAATGATGTTACGCTCTGGTGTCATCAATCATGGCTGGAAAACCCCCCATTCACTTCGATGACTTTTCCAAATCAATAACCATCTATGTGTTTATATAATTTATATATATATATGTGTGTGTGAACCATTTATATTTATATACATATATAAGATAAGATGTTTCCATAAACCCTTCGATTTATGACGTGTGATTTCCCAGCCACGACGTGGGCACGGAGTCGAGATCCACAAAGAAGGATGGGAAACCTTGGGAAAAGCCAGCCCGGCAACCGGAACTGGTCCGGTCCCCAAGGAGCTCCGGCAGCCGGAGACCGTTGTCCAAAAACAACGGGATGCTCCAATCTACAGAGATTTTTATGGCAAGTTTTGTGGAAAAAATCTGATCGACCCTAAGATTTTTTGGGGTTACAGGATGTTACAGGACTCATTTCTTGAGATATTCCCAAATTGGAGTCAGGATTCAACTAAGTATATCCAAGTCATTCTGTGAATCACAACCTCCCAAAGAAAACATCTATCCTCATGTTCAGCATGATCTCCTCCCATTTTATACTCTCAAAGTTCCCAAATGTCCTTGTGGGTTGTTTCTTAAATGGGGGTGGGCAAAATCATTGCAAAATCCATGGTGTTGGGGGCAACCCCAATCTAAAACACATCCAAAATCCTCCAAATATCAATTTTCACGGTCATATATCCGGCCATATTCCCATCATATCCCTGTAAATTGCTTCTCAAATTCAGACTTTAGATGGTTAAATCCCAATTATACCATATGTGTATCCCGTTTGTTGGTCAGAGACCCCCATTAAAACCACCATTTACCCTCTGGTAACTTAATTAACATAGCTATTGAAAATTTAGTTCGCTGTATCTATTGAACATGGGATTTTCTCTATATTTTCCACGCAAGTAGCTATATAGTTAATTAAATGTTCCCATCTTTTCCATAGCTATGTCAGTTATGTTTTCCATTTTGGCCTCCAGTAAACTTCCCATTGCCATGATCAAAACCCGGAAAAAAAATCTTCCTCCACGGCGCTGTATGAGGCCACCTGCTCTCTCAGTGCGACGTTCAACGCGGTGCGCCTCGCTTCGTTGCGTTCCTGGCGCGCACCCAGGTCACGAGGAGTCACTGCGAGGAGCAAAACCCAGATTCTCGGGTTCATCAATGTCCATCATGCTTCCTAAGCCAACCCAATGACCTATCTCCAAAACATCTACTTCACCTTCACTAGGCTTCATCATAGACTTCTATCATAGCAGGATGCAGTCCCAACAAAATCCCATGAGAATCCCCCCAACTCTCGGCATCAACTCGCCGAGGCTTCATCCAGGAAGGGCGGTAATCCCAGGACGCCCACCAAACTCAACTGCGCCCCAGCAAGGTGGTGAATCTCCTGGTGAGCCGGGCCACCGGTGAGTACCGGTGATGATCTGAGGATTCGATCGTGGTGTCGAGATGGATCGGATAGATATGACTTCAAGGGGTTCTCTTCCACTTGATTAGATGTGATCACTGAATTTATCAGAGGTGACTTCAAAGGCTTCTCTTCCACTTGATTACAGTAGATGTCAGATGTGATGACTGAAGGACCATGTCCAAATCCAGCTGCGACCACATCTGCACATCTGTCCGAGTCAGAAGCATCCCATCCACCAGAAAGATGATCCCTCCGACGTCAAACTAGAACCCAAGACCAGGCCATTCACTTGTAAATATTATATACATATGTATATATATCCGAATTATATCCGAACATAATACATCCAGTGCCAACGACTTTTTATAAGGGTAGCCGGACTCAAGTTTTAGCAATCCTGTCGCCAGTGAAAACACATGAAAACCATATCAACTCTGCCTTCAGATTCGCCAGGATTGTAGGCAATGGCTCCTGGACATCGATGTGGTGAGGTTGACTTGAGAATGCATAAAAATTGAATAAACAAACAGTGAGTAATTATCGGGAGTGTCGTTTTGTTCTTGTCCTTTTCCCTTCATTTGTTTCATCTTCGGATTCTATCCTCCGGCAATCAACATGCCCAGCCAGGAAGTCTCCTATATATGTCGGTTTGAATGGGAAAATCATCGAACTATAGCTATAATTCATATTAAAATATCATTGGATGGGAGGTTTAATTCTATATATAGCTAATTAAATATCATTGGATATATATATATATACATATTATTTATTTATCCTATGATATATATTATTAATCCTTTATTATTAACCATATATGGATATAGCTAATTAATCCTATATGGTTTTCCATCCCCATCCCCCGACCTCGTCGCACACGTCGTTGGTGCCTGCCAGCACCAGCACCACCTCCGGCGCGGTGTCCGTTCCGCCGGTGACGTGCTGCGCAAAGCGTTCCAGCATGGGCCTGGCCGGATCTGGATGGACCTGGGATCAGTTTCCCGGCCCTTTTTTGGATAACAGGTCCAACTATGGATAACTATGGGATAACCATGGATAACTATGGATAACTATGGGATAGCTCAATTTTGGGACCTCTTCCATCTCTCAAGCGAGTCGAAACCAGATGCTGGGGGCCAGTCATGGCGAGCATGTAGCTCTTGCCCCGAAAATGGACATGGTTGATCTGTTCTGTGTGCATCACAACCATTCCACACCAATTTCCCCAAGGTCTTGGCCCAACAGGGTCCATTGAGCCTTGTCCGCTCTCCCCAAACGCCAGCAATGTCCACCTGCTGAAGTGTAGCTTAAAAGCCAGTTCACCACGCATGGAAAGCCGAAAGGACACCATGGTTCTTGTCGCCCCAAAATTTTCTGACATACCCTGACTGCCAGCAAAATAACATATATAATATTGTAAGAGCCTCGGATGCATAAACCTGCTCATTTGCAGCCCCAACATTTGGAAGTCCCAGGAATGGCAAGTCAAATGTTGCGTTTCAAGGGTCATTGATCACCAGTCTCTGGCATTTGCACAACCTCGACTCAAATTCAAAGAACTGCGTTCAGCTGTGGTACTCCAAGCTGGCGGAAACCATCTGTTCCCTGAGCCTGGAGCCCCATCATCTCAGAGAGCATCATCCCATATGCCACGCTTCCTGCACGGCTCTGGGAGGTGTGGGAGATCAAATCATTTAGGATAAGTAAGGAAACATCTACATCGTAATCATATTCTGTTTCATATGTTTTTGCATGTTTTGGTGCCGGGTCGTTGAACGGCTCGCGACTGTTGTCGTTTTTAAAAGTTGTTTTTTTTTGTGCAATGGAGTTGTGAGGGGTGGGGTGGGGTTGCCTGTCACGTTTCAAGTCGCTTACTTGCTTGAGTGTCACGCTTCAACTTGCTTAAAGACTGGGTGGGGGGTTGGGGTGGGGGGGGCATGCAATAACGCTCCGGGACTAACACTGTGCATTGTTATGCTTCAAGTTGCTCACCGACTTCAGTGTCACGCTTTAACTTGCTTGGCTTACTGATTGCGATGTTCATGCTACCTTGATGAAGTTGTGGCATTACCGAAGCTTTGATGTTCAACTGTTTGACATTTCTGCTAGGAACGCTTTGAAAACAGACAAAAGGCGCGAGCCACTCGGAGACCCGGAACCAAGTTTTTGCCATCAAAAATGAGGCGCTGTGGAGTGTCCTGTGCTTAACGGCTCTGGAATGCCACCCATCCACACTTGAACAAAGGTCTAGCCGGGCTAGCAGGACGTTTCCATGAAAAACCTGCCTTTGCCAACAGGGTTGGAAGATGATCTCAGCCGTTCCAATCTTGACATGAGATGCCACTTGAAAAGATCATCAGAAACAAAGTGTGATATTTAATTACGTACAATTATACATCTAATTATATTCTAATTATATACATCTATTTACATTGATTCCTTGGTCAATTAACACTGGTATTCACATTGATTGATCATTGCCTGTCCCTGCTGATTTCCTTCCTGACCGCGCTTCACCCATTTTTGACGGTCCGAAACCGGCCGCTGTCAGCGAGTCGCCCAGGGCGAAGATGGTCAGGTTGCTGTGCAGGGCCTGACTGGAATCATCCCAAAATGCTCGCAGAAATGGAAACGCCACTTCGAGGTTTGTTGCGGGCTTTGTTGCTAATTAAGAGACATATATAGATATAGATATAGATAAATCTATATTACTAATTATATGATATCACATTATATTAATATTATATTATAATACATTACATTAAATTATATCAAATTGAATTATATTACATTTTATTATATTAAATTATAAAATTATATTAAATTATATTATATTATATTAAATTATAATTTTAAAAAAATATGTATATATATATATATTGACATGATAAGCTCAGGAATCGAGGACTCACCACCCAAGGTCACGAACATCCGAGAAGCCGGAGAAAAAGAGAGACCCGCCATTTCCGCTGACATAGCTTTTCACTTACAGCCCATCTACATATGGTTAATATATGGTCAATAGTAATAATCTATAGCTATATATGCTTAATAATGATTGATAATGTGGTTAAAACAATGCCATAAACCACCCCATGTTTGATGGTAACCATACCACCAATCAAAATGGTGACTGGGGGATGGTTTATGGCGTTGTTTTAACCACAGTAATTACATTGAAAGAGGATAGCCAGCTTGGAACGTCGATGCTTTCCAGCCTTCGGCACATGCTGAATCTCGGCCGCCTGCCATCCACCCTGAACCGCGGTCAGCAGCAGCGCCGCAACACAGCGCATCGGCGCGGTGTCCGCGGTGCCCGCGGCCACCGGGATGCTGCGTCAGAAGTTGGATGTGATGAGGAAAGAAGTTGAAATTGCATGACCTCTCCAAAAACAAGGGATAATAAGTAAAAATAAAGGGCTTATGGATAGAGCTCATTGACCATCAACGAAGAATAAGGGCTTCTGAACCGGCTATTATTGGCGACGGGTCACCTTTGGAAGGGGCGGTGAAGACGTATTGAGCCATGCTGCGAGTTGCGTCTGTTGATCGGGTCCAAAGGACATTTTGGGTGGACATCTGCCAGATGATGTGCTTCACAAAATGACAAAATCCTATCATGGGGCACAAGGTGGTGCCCCTCCAATTATGTTTGTTGGTTTATAAATGTTTATAAACCCCCATGAGCCAGTTTGATATATCTACCAATCCACCTCCGCTGGGTCCCCCACGGAGATCCCGGGCAGCAGCACCGGTGCAGTGGCAGTGGCGCGGGAGGTAGGGGAGGCCTGTCAGGGCCCCATGGGGGTTCTGCGATGAGGACCGGATCGAAAAGGTACGGAAAATTCAGGTGGGAACCAACAACTCAAAATGTGTTAAACCTTCAAAGTTGGGTACATCATGGGGATATGTTTCTGGCAATGCCTTTGTGTTTTTCCAACCCGTAATTCTTGGGGTCCCAGGTCTGGTTGGATTCCACTGGGCCATCCTGAATCCTGTCCGGCTCGCCAAGGTTCGCTTAGATCATCTTCCAAAATGGCATTCAAAAAACACAAAGTAGTATAAAGTATATAGTATATATTTGCAACATCATAAGATCATAAGTTATAAGTGTTAAACAAAACATCTTTAGAACCACCAGCCCATTCTCATCATCTAAGATTCTGCTCTCCGAACGCCTCAAGAGGCCCGGCCAAATGCCAGGGATGAGGCCTATGGCGGTTGTGGTTGGGAATCTCTCTCTCCAGGCTGTTTCTCATGGAGCTATACCGTGAAAGCAGATGCTAAAACGCTAAACTGTTCTTAATTTGAACAAGGTATCTAAGATTATCTTATAAGATTATCTAAGAATGGCCATGGGAATGTTACTCGGAATGTTGAATGTTTTGATGATTCTGATTAAGACATTAAGATGTCTTATGGATGGAATCTACAAGTTAACAAAGTATAAAATGGCCCTAGTAGCATTCTAAGGGCAAACCATAAATCACCTATGTCCTAATTCGAAAGTCATCTTCAACTGGGCTGTACATCATTGTACGTCTACATAGCTAAGGAAAATCGCTGTAAAATCAAATCATCCTGAGCAATTATATATAATCTCTTGAAATCGATCCACGTGAAAAGATATGGTGTATATAAATATATTTATTTATATTTAAATAGTCGTATAAAACCAAAATCTTATAGCAATCCCAAAAAATGCCAAACAGTGTGCCACCAGAATGCTAGCTTGAAGATGCCTTCCCAACCCCCATATGGCTATCCAGGTTTCCAACTTTTTAGGCATCTTCTTAAAGGGTGCTATATTCATACTAAACATGACCAAGGTCATTTGGTCATGTCTAGACCAAACAAACTCATCAACTCGCTACTGCGTCAAAAATGGCAATGGAAAACATATATAAACATATCATAGATGAGTTTCCTTCATTGTCCTCATCTATTTCGATATATTTCGATTAGGGCCATCTATACCATGGCTATGTTAGTCATAACCAGATTGGACTTTTGCCATATCGCAAGCTTTAAAAAAAAAAAAAACATAGGGCTTGGTTGATCGAGTCGGAATCCGCACGGTTGATCATCATTCCGTTGACACAAGCAGAGGGCCCCTCTGGTTATGGCTAACACTTCGCCATGGTTTTTCGATGGCCCTAATCGAAATAAATGCTTTACCGTTCTTGAAAATGGTGGATCTTTCCATGGCGAACTGTTAAATAACCAGAGGGTACATGTTTTAAGGCTTCAATTGGGGCTGTCTAAAAACCCCGATATCAATCAAATGGTGTTTCCACGCGTTATCGTTCTTTTTTCCTCTTGTCGTTTTTCCAAGTGCTGGCTTCACACCCTCGTGAAACAATTCATATTGTGTTTTCTTTGTGGGATATCACCTTACAACCACCAGCTTCACATCTGTTTTTCGGGGGAAAGCTTGCATCTGCAAAGCTTGCTGCTTCGAACATGTCCCATAAACAATATATAATGTATATGTATGAACATCGTTATCGTTTTTTTTCCTCTTATCGTTTTCTCGAGTGAGAACTACATATAGCTAATGGGGGATCATGGCATACTAAACGAATAGGTGCCGGGTTATTATACTCTCCCAATTGCCTTTTTTTGAACAACCTTTATCAGAATTATATATCAGTCAGATCCCAAGTTACATGCTACACTGCCACCCTAGCGCCGTGGAAGTTGTACAACAGATGTCCTGATTTTGTGGAATCACTTGGGCGGATCCAATTTCCATCGCAATAGGGTCCTTGGATTTGCTTAAGAGGCAGGACTCCCCCATCTAAATCATCTCCATTCCCCCCATTCCCTACTAAGCACCAGCATTAAGTTATATGTATGGGGATATACCGGGGATGAATTGAGAAAATGATTGCTTTTCTGCTTTGATGGGGGTGATGATGTTAAATATTCTTAAATCTCAAATCCGGAGACAAAAAACTAAACATCTTTAAACATCTTAGATCCCCAGCAATGAATCATATCAACCAACTTGACTCAAAAGCATGAAAAAACCTAAACATAATCCTTAAACGTCTCTTCAATCCATTAAGTCCTAATCCATAAAAACATCTAAAAAATCTGAAAAAAGTCTGATATCCATCTCAAAATTCCATTCAAGTCCCAAAAAAAAACACAATCTTTTTCGCCCCGGCCGGGTCTCCACACAGCCGCGTGCAGCTGGGCACATGCCAGGCCATCAAGGCGACTGGGCCAGTGGTGAAATCCCCGCTGCCCCCGGTGTGATTCTTCCAGGATCTACCGAGAGAAGGGTATAACTGGTGGATCTATAGTTGATTTATAGTTGGTGGTTGACCTACCCCATTGATATATGGTTAATGATATGGTTAATATTAATGGTTATTATTATATGGTTAATGATGATTAATCATAATCTGGTTGGTGGTTGACCTACCCCTCTGAAAAATCGTGGACTTCGTCAATAGGAAGGATTGTATGATTATCCCATATATGAAAAATGGAAAATAAACAAATGTTCCAAAGCACCAACCAGGTTGTCATGTGGACCAACCAGGAGTTACGGATATTGGGGATATGGATTGATATGGATTGATAATGATTGATATGGATTTGGTACTCAAAAAAAACGGGGAGAAACGTCAATCTTCTCTATATATATATATATATCCCGGAATTACAAAGCAACTAACTCGTTTCAGTTAATTGGTTAAGAATTTGGATGTCGTGGATAGGTAACATTTGCTTCCATCATAGATAATTTTTGAGCCGTGTTTTTTGGTTTAAGAAACCTAATTTGCCCAAACTATTCTGGGAACCCGATTGAGGGATGGAACTAAGATAAATCGTTGGTTCACCCTGACTGAAGGGTTTGGAAGGTCATTCGCAGAAGTACACATCTCGTGACACGTGAAACTTATTCGACAAGCTATCATACCCAAACCTGACCAAATGTGATCCCAAACGCAGACCATGGAAACTGACCGGTTCAGCACGCTAGAAGAGCCTCGATTCTGAAAACGTGCTATGCCCGTCATGTCTGTTGATTCTGAGTCCCATTTTTTCGAAGCCTTCGACCCAGATCCAGCCTGCAGAGTCTTGACCCGGTTGTCCAAGATTCACACAACAAACCTCATCACAGGTTGCAGTGGGCTGCCGCAAAGGAGTTCCAATGACCAGGCTGAAGAAGGTGAAGAAAAGACGCAAGAACAGACGTGACTGCGTGAAAGGGCGAACTTCCAGCCACCACTTTTTGATGATCCAAATGATTCCAAATGCATCCAAATGCAGCGTATATATTCATAATATTATTACCTTGGTTGTCAAATTCCATCTATTTGAGCCAGTGATATATAATTATCCTCCAACTCCTCCACTGGGCGCACCAAGAGTTCCTCTACCAGCAGAATTTGCGCGATGGCTGGGCCATTCTCATCCCGCAGCCCTGCCGAGGATTGCGAAATCTCATGCAATATCAACTTCATATCATCTGTGCCAGCTATCATCCTTCACAACTTTTAAATAATGAGAATATAATGAGATAGAGTAAGATGTAAGAAGTATAAGATGCAATAAGATCTATAAAATAAATCAATAAGGTGATGTTTAGGGCGGTTCCCCTCACTAACCAATCTTTACTGTATGATTCTATTGGCCCAAGACACGAGGTTCCACTGACCAGCCCCGCCTGCCAACGTCTCCGCCCGGCACACCGACCACGACAAATTCTCCAAATCAAACTCCGAGACGGCCGGAAGCCGCGCGAGTAACGCCTGCCATTGAGCGAACCCACAAACCCTTTAGACTTGGCAAGATTTTGGGGACCTCCAGTTTGCCAGGCGTATTATTTCTATGACATACTGGTTGGTGGCTTTAACCATCTTGAAAAATATTACCCTTTATTGCCCTTTATTGTGGGGGCAGTGAGGCAGCAGCGCGACCCCACCACCCACCCTGTTTGCTGAAGCTAGCCGATCCTTGCGGCATTTAGGGCCGCCACATGCTGATTCGATGTGGCCTGATGGCCCAACTGGGTGAAAACCTGCCGGTCTACAAAGTCGATCATCGTGGCTGACCAACGAAGTTTGTAGCTAACCAGCCACCGGGCAATCGACGCTGAATGGGGCCGCGTCAACTTGCATGGCACGGTCAGCCCGTTGCTTTTCCAGTACGCTTTGAGCAGTAGCAAGAAGGTTTTGCATCTGTCACCCCAATTGCGTCGCCCAGGCAATGGAACATCCTCTGCACGAGAGTACCATTTCTTCTTCCAGCACCATGGGCCAAGAAAGCCAGTTTCCAAATTAAAAGACAAGAACAACTGTATTCCTGAAATGTAGCACAGCGGGTGGGGTCCCTGCAGCATTGCAAGCCCCCTGGCCTGCCACCACGCATGGATCTGCTGTAAATTCACCTCACCATACCTGCAAACCAGCTTGTTTGAAATTGTCCATTGTAGCGGTAACGTAGGCTCAATGATCGCCGCGGGTGCCGGCGCTCTGTCCACAATCTGCGATCTTTGACTTGCTGAAGCCAATCGAGATGTCTTGAGCAGGACCAAAAGGATCGCACGGTGCAACTTCCGGTGAAACTCTAGTGCACTGCACAACCCCAACCATGCCTGCCAGAAATCATCTGATCTGCGAAAATTGACTGCCTCGGCGGCCGCATCAGTCAATCCATTGTGCCAGTAGACCCAATCCTCCAATGGACTGGTGGAATGAGAAAGGGCCCCATGCGAAACAACCTTCCTGATCTTCACCAAGTGCGAACGTCCCTCCAACGCTGTGTGGAGAAGGGCCCACAAGTCTGAATGGGGTGCATTGCGTTTTGGTGAGCGCCCACTCAAGATGCGACCCAGGCCTCGTACAACTCCTTGACAATCGCACCAAATCCGGATGGGCCTGTTGTGCTTGACCGCCCAAATGGATGCATGAAGAACCGCCGTCAATTCAGCCCCAAATGGTGTTTGGCTGAGTCCCACAACATGGCCACCCATCAGTAACCGGTTGTCCTTGGAGCCGATTCCACCTGGTACGGCAGTGACAGCCCAAGCTGCAAACCGTAACTTCACATCTCCTGGGTAGGCACTGGTGCCATCAACAAACAGTTCCAACAATTGGGGCTGACTGCGAACTGAGGGTTCTACTGGTGACATCCTACAAAGTCCATCATCCCTGAGGTACCACCGGACGACCACCTCCCATTCAGGTAGGACAACGGGCCACCCATGATCAACCAAACACGCAGGTAAAGAGGACAGGGCATCAAGCTGGCTTGGAGTCAAGTGGGACCGGCATGGTGCAAAGCGGGGACACTGCCATGCCCTATGGTGAAACCCATCCTTGGCCGGACACCAAGGGCACTTACCAGACACCTCGCTGCGAAAGTGTGCTCGGCCATTCTCAGTGAAGAGGGTACCATCTAAGTGACAACGCAGATACACCAAGTCAGAGGGACCAAAACACGACAGGGCAGAGGCCAACTCAGACAAGTCCACATGTTGGAGTCCATCAAAGGTAGGGCGATGTGCCACAGCAGTTGCCAAAACGTGCCCCCAAGCAAGTCTAACCCGCACCACCAGCTCATCCCAGGCAACACGCAAAATGCTGAAAGTACCCAAACTGTCCTGGACAAGGCCTGGCCCTGGCTGCCCACTTCCCAGCCCAACCGACGCAAGCGAGACAAGAGGATAGCAGAAGGCCCATTGGCTGGGAGAAAGTCCAAATTGGAAGAGAATAAACCCAACGTAGGCTCAACAACCTCATGGTCACCCAATTCACGGACATCACGCAAAGTTTGGAGGATGGACCATGCTTCGGGGTCTGATTGAACCTGCGAAGAAGCAAGATGCAGGTAAGGATTGGCCCCTTTTCTGTCTGCCTTGAGGGCCCGGACAGCACCAGATCTAAGGACCTTCCAATGAGACTCCCCCAAATGGACAACGGAGATCCCATGAAGAGCCCGTGGCCAGGCCATCATGTGGATGGCTGCCAGTTTCTGTCGGTAAGTGGCCGGACTGGCCTTCAGCCTTACCCAGACACGTGGCATGTGAGCCAGGCGTTTCTGCAACTCCGCATTGTGGCAATGCCGGCTGAAATTCTGGTGAGCTCCCAAGTTTCTTGCAGCCAAGGTGACAACCAGGTGGCCCTGACGGAACTCCCGCCTCGCACAAGCGTGTCTTGGCCATGTCAATCGCCAGATCAAGTTGGTTTGTGAATTGCTCCAAGGCCGTCCAGACACGTTCAAAAGCCGAAGCTTCACGGAACAGCACACCCCAATCATCGACAAACGTCCGCAGGTCAACCCGAACCTCTTGAGCACGCAACCACCAGTCCAGCATCCAATCAACAATGACCATGCCAAAGACGGATAGAGCACAACCTTCAGGTAGGCCACAATTCGAAGCAATGGGGGAACCCACTGACTGCCTCACCTTGAAGCGACGGGTCTGAGCTGAGACAAAGGCAACCCAAGCTCGGAGCGTTGACAGAGGGAAGCCAAGCAACGACAAGGCATGCCAAAGGGGCAGGCGAGGGATGTTGTTGAAACACTTCTGTATGTCCATGAGGAGGCCATGAACGCCAAATCCATCAAGATAGGCACGCTCCAAGGTGTACGCAAGTTCAAACCAAATGGACTTAGCTTGGCGGGAGGGGACACCCCCTTTCACACTGTCTGGCAACAAGTGCACCACCGTTTGAAGGGCTTCCCTGGCACGAACGGTGGACCAAACACGGTAGGGAAGACTGTAGACAACCACTGGCCGGAATTCACTCACACTCTGTGCCCCAGGGTGTTTGGCCAAGCTGGAGACAAAACCGGCAGCAAGCTGAGCAGGCCACTTGGCACCATTTTCAACTGCCTCGAAAAACCCCAACATAAGCTGACGCCCCTCTGTGGGAAGGGCTTGGAGATCGGGTTGAGAGACCCCATCGGGACCCTTTGCTGCTCGAGGCTTTTTGTGTCTAATGGCTTCAGAGAGACGATCCAAAGTCCAAGGTTCACAAGTCCAAGTGATAGGTTTAACAGTGCGCTCCAGAAATCCACAAATCTGGTCCCATTGGCCGGGTTGCACATGGTTGTGTTTGATCCATCTTTTGGTCCATTCAGCAGCAAAGCGATCCAAAATATCCGCATCTGAGACAACTGCCCGCTCCTGAGACAAAACACTGCCAGGGTTGACCGGTGGCAACGTGTCCAACCAAACCTGGTCCTCTGAGTGAGCAACCACCTGAACTGCATGCCCCTCGACGACGACAGGAAGGCCCTCAAGCAGGGAGACAGGACGGACCAAGACCAGGGAGTTGTCCTCCTGACGAACTTCCTCAACGCCAACGGAGATCCTGTCAAGCAAGGTGTCAGCCTGAGGCAATGGTTCATCCTTGCAATCCTGGAAAACGTATGCAAGGTGCTTGGCCCTGCGATTCTTGGCAAACTGGTAGCGCTGGCTGACCAAGCTAGCTTCATACTTCTTCATGTAGTCATGAAATCCATTAAAGAGGGCCATGACAACATCCAAAGCCGGACAGCAGAGAGGCAAGGGAACACAAATGACGGGGACGAGTCCATTGGTGGTCCACCATGCCGCAAAACCCCCAGGGAACCCCACAGCAGTTCGGATTGCCCGCCAAGTCTCATCCCGATTGACCTGAGCATTCCAAGAGATAACTCCCTTTTGCAGAAGCCGACCCAACGATTGCAACCGTCTGAGTTGACGAAAGTACCTGGCATGCTGGAGGCTAATCCCCATGTAAGTGGGTTGGACATCTCCTGGTCTAGCTTTCTTGACAGGGCACAAGAACTGGCGAGTTGGAGTGGTATCCAGGACCTGAGCTCGGCCACACTGTCGCTTGGTGACAGGAAGCCCCTGGTGCTGATTCCAACAACGGGCCTGAGATTCAAGTTGAGACCAATACTTGGCGTACTCATGCGTAAGGTCACCTTGGAAATCCACATCAAGCTGACAGGACCAGTGAGAAGGCCAAGGGAACGGGGTAGGGACAAACCAAGAAGACACCTTGACTGAAAGTCCATCATGTGAGAAGTTCGCACGGACCGCTGCATGATCTGCCCAGTGATCAAACTCAACCGAGGTGGACTGGTAAACCCTTTGAAGCTCCGGTGAAATCCAAAGTTGATCAATCCTCTTGGACCCTCTCCCAGTGGCCTCAGCAGAAATTCCATGCTGCCAAGCCCGCAAGTCCTGAACTTCACGGAAGCCTAAAGACCGAAGGCGGTCAAGCTGGTCCAGCTCCTCAGGTCCAAAGTTAAAGTCACCCCCAATGGCCCGGGGTCCCACCGTTTGAAAGGCAACTCGATCAACCAAGTCGGAAAGCAAGGCATCTGTTTGATAGCGAGCTTGTTTATGCTGCGCATTGCAGGGAAATCCATAGAGCACGCCCAAGGTAACCCAAACATCAGCCACCGCCAGACCAACCACCTGAACCCTGGAGGATGAATAGACCTCGTCCGAGAAGTCATGAGGCAGTGCTCGAGCTGGCATCTTTGACAAAACCATGACCCCCGTATGTGCCCCAGTGTCGGTACCCTTTCTGGCACGGCAAGGTGACCCTGGTATAGCATACTTCCAATTGCTCTTCAACATCTTCAAACCTTTGTGGAGTGTGGCAACTCCCTTGGAAGAGAGCTGAGTCTCAGACAGGAGCCACGCATCACCAGGAAAGGCATTGAGTTGATCAAGTTTGCCATTTAAGCCAGATGGATAGGCAATTCCAAGGGACCACGTGTCAGCGCCAAGTCCAGCAGGGCCAGGATGAAGTGCTTCACCAAACCGAAAGCAGGCCGCAAACAGCAAAACAAAAGGCCAACACCACTTGCCACAAGATGGCATGGAACGACACGGGGAACACCCTGCTCCCCGTCGAGATGTGGTGCAAATCCAAGTCCAACCACATCTCCAGCCTGGTGATCGCATCTGAGCAAATCCCCTTATGCCAAAGATGGTAGGTAGGACGACAAAACTGAAAGTGAAACATGAGCGATTTGGAGGGTGATGAGTCATGAGGCGACTTGACAACACCATCTGGATCCCACATACCACATGGTGCTCCAAACCAACACAAAATCAAAAGAGCCAGCATCACGCAACCAAGAGAGAGGCCGGCAGTCCAAAAGGCCAGGGGCCAAAATCCAGCGAGGCCCAAAAGTCCAACGCACCACACCGCAAACAGCACCTCAAGCCAAGCAAGGCAGTGACCACCAATAGTATCTACCCTAGCCCTCATGGCAGTCAAATGAAAGGCAGGGCACCATCACTCCTGTCGGGAGCGCTTGGCCAACAAGGTCTCAAACTGAGCCATCTGCTTGTTGAACATGTTGTCCAACATTGTTTGTTGGTGACACACCTGCTGGCGAAATTGCTCTTGCACTGTGTCCTGAAACCCTTGCATCGATGTGGCCTGTGCAGCAATGGCGTGTTCAAAGTGTGAACCTTGTTGTTGCAATTGACAGCGAAGATCCTGCATCTGAGTGGCTGTCTCCTGATGCTGCTGCTGAGTGGTGACCGCCAGGGTGGCTGTCTGGTTCTGGAGGTCCTGAAGGTGTTGTTCAAGAACAGCAACACGTTTGTCAGTGCTTGCATCAGCGTCCACCTCCATCGTCTGTTTGGGCAGTTGGGACATCACCTCTGCAAGAACCTTCTGTGTCACATCTTCAAGCGGGTTGCCAATCTGGAAAGTAGCAGCCTTAGGCGGGAGCTTGCTGGCTGCTTTGGCCCACGGATCATTCAACTGAATGATGTCTGCTTCGACAGGCTTGGCCACCATGGACTCAGTGGCAGATGTGGCCAAAACCTTTGGTTCAACCCGGTCAAAAGGGGCCCTGTCCTCCTCTTTGGCGATCATGACATCGCCATGTGCCATGCGAATGACCTTGCTGGGCGGCTCTTGGACGCTCTGCACTCGAAACATCAATCCCTGGATGTGAGACTTGGCTGGCACCACCTGAATGGGTTTTGCCGTCCATCCATTGGCATGCAACACCTGAGCGACTGAGGACTGCAGTGTGCCATAGCTAAAGGGCCCGACCAAGTAGTTCTGCCTCTTACCTGGTGGCAGAAACGTCTGCCCAGGACGAAGTGTGGAGAAAACCTCTGCAGCATGTTCTGTTCGGCATCTGAGGCCCATCTTTTGGCCCAAACGGGCAAGCCCGACCACATGTGGCACTGTCTGGCGTTGCAGCATCAGTTGTGCTTGATCAGCTTTGGGCAACCAAACAACCTGAAAGTCAGGCGAGGGCTGGCGGCCATCCAAAGACTTCGGTTCAAGATAGACCCCATCATGACCTGAGAAAAACTGGACCTGCATCTGAAGGTGCTCAGGCAACCGCAAGTGAGCCGTGAACAAATCAGCATCGTCCGGAGATGTGTGGCGAAAGTCCAACTGAAGCCACTGTTTGCCCCACAGCTCAAGAACTGGAGAGTCCATCGGGTAATCCAAAGAACGATGCCAACACTCACAACCACAGCACTCAGAGTCAGAACAGGACTGCAACGGAGGAACCTGCTCAAAGAGATGCAGCAGCGGATGAGACACCACCTCTGACCAAGCCACCTTAGTCTGGTCCCGAAAGATCATCGCCTTGACCACGCAAGTGGGAATTGCCATGACCTCTGATCCCTGCTGAAGTGGAGCACGCTGGACAGCAGAAGCACCAAGCTGAATAAGATGCCCATCAAGCAACAGCGGTTCCGAGTTCAAGGCACACACACCAAAGGAACCCGTGCAGGAACAACAGGGAAATGGGTCACCGGTGGAGAAGCTGAGTCCACAACAAAGAAGGCCAGTGGGCCTGAAGAGATGGGGTTCAACAGCATGCACCGACACAACAACCACGCCAGCAACGGTGGGTCCGACTTGTGACAAGCCAAGTTGGGAGAGGGGTTGTCCTTGCTCACTCTGAAAGATTCCATGTTCAAGTCGCAAGGAAGTTGGATCCACACTGACAGGGGAGGGGAGTCCCTTTCCTTTTCCCTTGGAGGCTTTCTGCCGTTTGTGTCGCTTGTTGCCAATGGGCTGATCATGCCTTTTGTCAATCTGGGCTTGAAGCTCTGAGGGCTTAATGAACATGAAGGGAGGCCTCAGTTGGTTGCCAAGCCACTTCAACTCACGCCAGGCATTGTCAGAGTCCAAGGCCTTCGTGATTCCAGGCTCTCCCAGAGCTTTCACCGCAGCTGCAGCACGCGAACCCGACTCAGACGGAGCAACTCCATGGGAAACAAGCAAGTCAGCCAGCCGAGAAGTGATTGTAACTCCAAGACCTGCTAAGATGGGTCGAACACAGGGATCAGGCAGAAAGTTGGCAAACTCCAGACGCATGGATTGAGATGTAAGTTCCAAATCATGCTGGTCTGCAACCATGGGCCAACCCCAAACCAGGTGTTTGACAAAAGCAAGTGCCAACGCCCCACAAAATCCATCGGGGACAAAGCCAAGGCAGTGAGGTTTCCACACACCATGCGCCCCTCCACGGCAAATCTCAAAGACTCGACTGAGCTTCTCCAAGACATGTTCATACTCTGCAGTGACCGAAATCGTATGGAGAACAGCACCGACAGCATCAACCCTCCAAACCAACGGAATCCAGTGACCCCCAAGCAAGACAGCAGACACCACGGTGCACACCGGACCCAACGGGTTAACCAGCTTAGGCCATGTGGCTGGGACATCCTGCTGAACCAAACCCGAAATCAACAACGGATCCCAAACACTGGCATGTTGTTCATCCCCAGCATCGGAAGCAATGCGCTCAAGTCCAAAGAGCAGTTCATCATCACCCCAGACTGGGCCTTGTAAATCCAAAAGTCCAAGCCTTTCCATCTGGGCCATGCTGGGATGCCTGACAACAAACAACCGCGAAATGTCAGTGACAGGGGTAGCCTCATTGACGTCAGACTGACGGATGTACTTCAGGAAATCATCAATGCTCATGCAGCATGGGACAACCTTGTCAGCCAGCAAGTCATTCGGATTCCAATCCATGGGCACCATGGTCACAAGGGACATGTTGGGCAAGGGAAGCGATGAGTCAACACTCTCCCCATCAATTCGCAAGTGAAAGCCAGTTCCAGTGGTGCCTAGCTGTTGCTCAGCCTTCAAAAGTTGATCACCTGTGACATTGGGCGACAACTTGACTTGGACATCAGGCTCACCAAGGGTGGGACGTGACAACGAGCAGAGAAGGACTCAATGGGGTCCTCTGATGTGGTCTCATCTCAAGTTGTGGCCCATGTTGACTTCTGGGTGGCCACCCATCATTACCCACATCTCAAGAGGGTGCAAGTACCTGGCATGCTGCATGTCAATGTGCATGTGAATCTGCGATGTGCCCAGCGGAATCAAAACTCCAATGAGACCTCTCTGACGCAACCTGGATTCTGACAAAGCTGCTCGGCATCCACATGCACATGTGTACAACTGGTTCCCTGCGCTATGGAGAAGTGCTGGCAACTTCTCAAGCATTTTGACCCATGCCGAATCAATGCCACCAGCTGCAAATTGATAGTACTTGGACAACTCATACAGGTTAAGGGTCAGCTGAGCCTGTTCAAACTGATGCCATGGAGTGAATTCCGGAATCAAATCACGGACAACCTGGACTTCAGCGGCATGTGGCAAGTCAAACAAGTTGCAAACTGGAATGACCGGGGCAGTCAGCACAGCAATCCATCGATCCCTCTTCCCGCACCACGTGTTCCCAAGCTTCATGATGGCCTGTGACATGCGAAACCCAGTGGCCACAGTGAACTGCCTGAGGATCTCTTGAGCTTGGGTGTCCCTCAAAATTTCAAGGGTGCATTCGAGGATGAGAACGGCCGACTGTAACAACCATGCCACCTGCAGTGTTTTTGGGGAGGGATTGAGCTCTTGGGTCATCCATGCCACGACGGTCCCCCAAAATCGAGTGAGGCTGACAGGCAATGCCAGAGCAAACTGTGCCATGAAACAAGCCCAAACGCAGCAACTCCTGAAGGACAACTGAATCAACAAGATCCCCAGCGATAAAGTGGACCCCCTCATGAATGGATTCAAACAGCTTACGCCAAAGTCCATTTTGGTCAACCCCTGCCCGCACGGAGAAGCCAGCTTTGACTGCTGCATAGGAAAAACCCCCAAGGCCCGAGCACAAGTCCAAAACCCTGAACAGATCGTTGCGATCACAGGTCGGGACAGGGACCAGGAATGACTTGGAATCCACCTCCACCTCAACGGGATTTACGGATGTCACCAGTAGATCTACCCCAGTCACAGTAGCCCCAATTGGAATGTGACCCTTAACCCAAATCTTTGTACCTCTTCGATCATTGGATTGTGCCAAGTGTCGCATTCCTTCAGAATCAACACAGATGATGGACATGACGCAACAGGTTCTTTGACCCACCACTAACGAACCAACATCCATGGCACCCAAAAGACACACCTTCAGGGGATCCGTAAGAACCGCCCCACTACCTGGAAAGCCCCTGAGCCAGGGCTCTTGAAAAATATTAGTCAATGGGATGGATTATCCCTTTTTTATGGAAAATAAACATGTTCCAAACCACCAACCAGATGACATAGGCAGAAAACCCCAACAAGATCCAACAAGTCCATCGTTTGGGGATCCCTCCCAGGATTCCATGGTGATTCCATGTCAAATCGCCAGGGCACACGATCTGCGAGGCGCCACACGAAGACACGCCCTGCTCGCGTGCCAGCGGCCACTTCGGTGGCCGAACAGCTGAGGGCCTCAGCTATGCGGACGTTTGGGGTGCCCCAAACTTATAAATTGGTGAATTAACCAGCGTTTTTTTGGGGAGATATAAGATGATATAAGTATAAACCCAATATAATGAGAGTGGGATTATATAATATGGGGTAATATAACTTATTATAACAACTTATTATAACTATGAACCAACTGATAGTGGATGATAGTGGAATAGCAATTGGAAGAACTATAGGATATTCATGGGATGATACGGGACGATAGTGGGATAGCAGTGGATAAGCAGGGGATAACGGATAACCCCAATATGGGTTTCTTATTGGATATCTGGGATGATGTCCATTATGACCCTTTGATGGTTGGCTAGGATGGTCAATGGGATGATTATTATCGACAAACCCAAATATATATATATATATATATATACTCATTCTTCAACCTATCTCAACGTATACATTGACATGGTTTATCATGGTTTATCTTCTAAGGGCAACTGGGGTGTACATTTCATTTTTTACTCCGCTCTTTTCCGACTGTAGGATTTGGATGTTGGGGAGTGCAATTCAAATCGGCCATGGCCATGGCCCATGACTACCCGACACGTTTCCAAAGTTTAAGTAAAGATAGAACAGTTGAAAACCTGGATATATGTGTGCAAATTATCATCTATAACCATCTGGAAACATGTTCCATCTATTTCGGGGATGGCTATAATATCAGCGACATAGGCACTGTCACATTCATTCATTTTGAGGCTGCAAGTGTCGTTTGTTTTAAGCTTATATAGATATCCTGCACAACAAAATCAGAAAGTTGAATCACGTTGAATCCATCCAGTAATAACAAGTGCTGCTAAGTTATAATCCCGGATACCCGGTTTCAAATTTTTTTCAACATTGTTTTTCGGAAGCTCCGACTAAAATGAGTGGGAGTCCGAGTTCCAATACTCCTTGCACGCCACCATGAATAATTCTCAACGGCTCAACACGTGATTTTGCTCAACAATGTTCCACATGAATTCGGGAGGACTCTCCGCAAAGCAAAGGGCCACAGCATCCGACAGCGAACCAATTGCAACCGGATGAAGGCAATAGTCGCGAAGAAGACTTCGGGAAAATGACAAGAAACCCGGCTCAGGCACCAAAAATTCTCCTTCAAACTCTGAGTGTTGCCTTCGGAGAACCAGAATCACGGCCGACAACTTTGAGTTGCGCTCTGGACCTTGCAGTCTTGCAGGCTGATTTTTTCCAGGATGATTGGCAAATGGGCGGCCGCTTGAAAGTTCACGACTTCGGGGCAGCACGGCCCGGCCCTGCGGCGACCGTCGTTTTCCTGGTGGAACTCCACCATCGCCGCGGAGTCGGACCCCGATTGGTCGCCACTGGCAGGTTGGCTCATCAATTTCCGCACACAACAAGGGAGAGTAAACATGATGCACCAGCACAAAAAACGCCAGCGTATGATACTTGGGGGTGCAGTCGGGGTTTTGAATTGGTATGATTGTGGCAATAACCTCCACAAGTTGGGAATGGTTCGGATATAACCGCTACATAACCGCTACAACATATTAAAAATATATTAACCACGGGTGCTTTGCGTTGGTGCATTGTGCTTACTCTCCGGCAATCAGCTTCATGCCCTGCTGGAGCTGCGCTGCCAACAGGCAAATGGCAGCTCTGGACTCATGGCGGGCGACCGTCGAAGCTACTAGCACTAGATACCTGACGAAACAGTGTACACATTAAATAGTTTTTAACGAACACACCTGTTTAAAAAAAACTCATGGTTCCCTGTAGGAGGAATATTCAAAACAATTAAGACCATGTTGATAGTTGCCGAGGGCCGAGATATGCAGAAAGCAAAGAGCAAAAAAACAGTCTGATCCAAAAGCCATTGAAGTTGGTGCGCCAGAAAGATGGTGGAAGCTTGGTGACAGTGATAGACTCATACTGACTCATACTTATATAAGTAAAAACATATGTTTTTATATAGACGTATATCATATATGACATGTATAGATTATGGATGTTAAAAGAATATGATGCAAAGTTTGAAGGTCCACAAGTCACTCTTGACCAACCCCATTCTTCCGTGTCATATAGTCCATATTTAGGAGCCAGACAGCCTAGCATCCCCAATTCTACCAAACATGGGTGTTAGAAACACGCATCATTGGATTTAATCCCATCCCCCAAATATTCAACACCCAAAGTGGTCCCAAGCATATGTAAATCATTGTAAATCCACTACTAAACCACGGTTTCTGGAGGGTATTTAGTATTGGGGGGGCATTATGCATGATCCACAAGCGTTTGCCCTTTGACCAAGTCGCCGTTATCTCCTCCATGGTCTCTGGCGCGAATTCAAAGACCCCGCATCTCTGTACAGCGGTAGATGCGAAGCCCTCGGTCACCTAGGGAACTGCCGGGCGATGCAACCGAAGAAAACCATGGAAACGACATGAAAACCAACATGAACGAACCAAAATCAACTAACCATCCGGCTTCAGCAACAGGAAATCGATGGAAAATTGCAGTCCCAAGGCGCTGCCAGAACCTTCTGCTTGGCCGCGAGCAGTACGCAGTGCTGTTTTTCCAAGCGTGGCATGGCGCCGGCGCCATAGCCGGCGGACCAGGACGGGGGCAGCGGGGATTTGCAGGAAGAACCTCAGGGGAAGGACGGCCTGGGGTACAGTTCCACTAATAAGTGGTTGTATAATGTTATATAACCATACTGTACCATAGCTATAGTCATTATATCCACACTGATGGTCGATTTTACTATAATTTTCCATGGTTATAACCAGGCTTAACCTTACCTGCATCCCCCAAGGACGGTTCAATACTGGGGGTATCTCATGGTGTCTCTGAATGTCGGAGGGGAAATCTGACAGTAACGCCATTCACCAAAACACAGAATGGCGGGGAAACCCATAGTTTGCTGCAGGGTTTATGCCGACTCTGAAAATGGCACCCTACCTTTATATGCCAATTGAGACGCCTGGGGTAAAATGGCACAAAATCACTGATCTTATCTTGGTTTTGAGGATCATTCCAGGTGCTGTCCCAGTGTCCAGGCATGCCGCCCAGCTCAATGCTCTCGAGGGGTTGACCTGCGAATCAATGAGGCCGCACTTGGGAGTGGTTAAGGTTGAAAATGGGTATAAGCATGGGAGTCTAACCCCCTTAACTTGGGATATAACATGATATCAATGATATAACCGCTATGAGTAATTATGGTTCTTTCAAACCACCTAGATGAGTGACAAGCATGCACACCCGAAGCATGCGCGGTCCGTTTCTCAGAGCTGACATTGGCAGCAGCTGCACCTGTCACCGCACACAGCAGCTGCACCCCTGTGGGGCTGGAGACTAAGACCTTGGAGCCCAAGAAGTGTACCACCATGCTGGGCGCCTGGCGATGAAGCAGGTCGGAGGAAGATGTGAAAACAAACATCCCCATGAAATAGGGATGTTTCATGGGTTTAATGTGGTTTAATGGGATTTACTATGATTTAATGGAGTATATGATGCTTGCCCCGGTTGATGGGATGAATAGTGGTTGATAATGGCTAATCATTGGAGAATAATCAACAATAATGGAGGAATAAAGGATAATTGGAGCGTACCCTTATTTAACATAGCTATGGATGATTATGATTTATAGCGGATAAAAATGATGATTAATCTGATTTATCTATTTAAAAGTGGTGATTTCCCATAGCTGCGGCTGCGTCAAATACAGTAACCAAAGGGTAACTATTTCATGTTTCTTGGAATCGAACATGCATCACAATAAAGCAATCCAGCACACACTCAGCATCCGGATCCTGGCTAGATCTTCTCCGCTTTTCCCAAGTTTCTCCAATGTTTTTTCATGATGTTCCCCTTATGCTTGATGTTTTATCCCCAGATTTTCCAAGGATGTTCCCTATCTTCTCCAACATCTTCCAGGCTTTTCCACCGCCCCCAGCCGCTTTTCCAGGCACCGAGCGCCTGCACTTGCCACACGGGCGTGGCCGCGGCGTTGAGCGAGCTCAAGTCCCAAAGGGCCACCTACAGCGAGCAGGTCGCGTTCCCAGCATCGTTAAGGAGATCTACTGGGGATATCATGGAGACAAAATCAGGGTTTTCATGGGGAGATCGGGGACATGAAATGATATGAATATATCATCGGAATAGTATACTGGAATATATGGTTTCATGGATTCTGTAATGGTGGGTTACATAATGGGAATATCATGAGGATATAATCTGGATATATTGAATGGGGAGACAATGGGAATAGAATCTGGATAACTGACCATATTCACTATAGCCGAAAATTCTCATATTTGGGGATGAAGGAGATAATCTCCATATCAATGGACTGGTTGAAAAGGGAAGATCTACAGGATTTCCCATGGATTTTACCAATTGTTGTAGGGGGGGGGTTCTGTAGAACTTTCCTTCAACATCTTTCAACCAATACTGGGACAGTAATTTTTACTGCCAACTAGTTGGACACCAGGAAATGATTTGGGCTTCATCGATTGAGCATCGAAATTGTGGAAGTTTAAGTTACCTCATTTCAGATCTTACGTTTCTGGATTTTCTGGTCCTTGGAGATATATCTTGGAATACTTGGCAGCATTCCTGCCCCAAAAAATGACCCAAACATAGCTTTGGGAATCAACCGATCAACATCCAGGATGGACTAGTGGCGCTGTTGCCATCCCTGGTCATTGTACGTATTGGTTTACTCCATTCTTGGTGGCCAAAAAACAGTAGCTAGTCAACCTAGGGTCTACCAAGTCATGTGCATAGCCATGAGACTCCCATTGCCAATTACAACCTCCACAGATTGGACCCCCCCTGACCGATAGATGGATGCTTCGAAGCCACTTCATCAAGTTCGCCATGAACAACAGCACCCGACAGCACCCCGTCCCCCTGTACTTGTGGGTCAATAGGTTTTCCCGTTGATTATGGCAAAAAACGTCATCCCACCAATATCAATCAATTAGATAATGACTAGGTCAACTAACCCACTTAGAATTAACTAACCTGGTTGGTGGTTTTAACAATCTTGAAAAATATGAGTTCGTCAGTGGGAAGGATTATCCCACATATGAAATGGAAAATCAAAGCCATGTTTGAAAGCAACAACCAGTAACCCATCAACGCTGGCATTTTCAGTAGCATCCTCCACACCCCCGGCGGCTCAGCGCACCCAGAAAAAGCGTGGGCTCTGCGAGCACACGAGGACGGCCGCCAGCAGGTCGCTCGTGGGTCCTCCCAGATCCAGCGCCAGAACGGGACTCCTGGTCTTCACCAAACCCATCCTGACGGCAGGGCTGGCACATGCTAAGGTATGCGAAATGATGTTAGGTCCTGGTTACCGGTTGCCTGAGACAAGAGGAATGTTAATTATGAGCAAACATGTCCCGCAAATAAAAATGTATAACCCATAAAGGCTGGTTACTATGAAAATTGGACCAATACTGATCAATATTCGGAGGGCGCAGGGTTCGCCTAATCTCGACCAAACAAACTCATCACTAACTCGTTCTCCAAGCGTCTTGGTGCCACCTGGTAGGCCTTGGTTTGGGGTGAGGTCGGGAGCTTCGAACGCAGGGTTGGCGCATAAACTCTTTCCCCACCACCAAAATAGCAAAGGGCAGATTTTAATTTACTCAAATACATAATGCCCGGGAAAAAACGCAATTGCATCTTATCATTCAAAAAATGTATGTATTAAATTGTATTAAAAATACATGGGGCTGTCTAAAAACCCCGATATCAATCAAATGGTGTTTCCACGCGTTATCGTTTTTTTTTCCTCTTATCGTTTTTCCAAGTGCTGGCTTCACACCCTGATGAAACAATTCATATTGTGTTTTCTTTGTGGGATATCACCTTACAACCACCAGCTTCACATCCGTTTTTCGGGGAAAAGCTTGCATCTGCAAAGCTTGCTGCTTCGAACATGTCCCATAAACAATATAATGTATATGTATGAGCATCGTTATCGTTTTTTTCCTCTTATCGTTTTGTCAAGTGAGAACTACATATAGCTAATGGGGGATCATGGCATACTAAACGAATAGGTGCCGGGTTATTATACTCTCCCACGTGACAAATACTATATATACAACAAACATCACTGGTTGGTGGCTTTAACCCCCAAAAAAACTAGTCATCTCAACCAATCATCCCAACTATAGTTGAAACAAGATAAAGATATACAGAGTTCAACTATGTTCAACTCCCAGCCCACCAGTGGACTCACCTCTCAGCATCCCAGGCACCCCACAGACGCACGCCATCCTGGTGCCCCGTCGCCAGCAGCGCTGGAGCAGCAGCGGCGCAGGAGGCTTCCGAGGCCACGGCTGCAGCGAAGGCGCTGGCGCAGTGGGGCGCCACCGGGTCGCCTGGGGAGTTCTGTAGCAAAAAAGGGAGATCAAAATGGTTAAACCATGGTAAAACCCAGCAAAAAAACAAACAATTGAGACTTAACCAACAAAAGATGAAAGTTGGATAAAATACATGGGATATTACTTGTGGGCCAAAGGGAGGTCAGGGCGTGGCTATTTATAAGGGGTATCCTCGGCTATAATACTCAATGATACTCCATGATAATCATTTACGAATGGGTTGCAAGAATGTTACTCGGTTAGGATCCATCATACTATAAAGGCATCTAGCTCACCACCAACATCCGCCAACTGGCAAGGCATCACAATGCCATACCGAATGCAAGAAAAAATTGGCAAAGACAAAAAAAAAAGGGCAGAAAATCCCCGAAAATCTGCCAAACCAAATATCCAACCGAGCTTCTGGCCACCCAAATTTCTCTTCCCTTCTTGGCCCTTCCCCCCGCTGTGGCCACCAGGCCCTGCCGCAGCCCTCCCAGCAGGTCCGCCCATCGCAGCGCGCTGCGCGCGAAGCTCAGCCAGCGCTTCGCACCGCCACGCGCCGCCGGCAGCGCCTCCCCGAGCTCCGGCGCCGCCGCGCCGAGGGACGGGAGCGCGGCGGCCAGAGACAGCAGGGAGCACAGGTCACCTTGGGGCTGGGGGGCTGGGGGGATAGCTTTTGGGATGATGATAAGATTCGATGAGTTGATGATTCAGTAAGGTTAATTATGGAAACTGTTGTGTTTGCAGGGGGGGACGAAGCTTTTATCGAAAATCCATTGGCTGAAAGGAAAATGCTGATTGGTAGCTTCAACTCGTCCAGAACATATACTGAGTCAACAGGAATCATCATCGAAAAAAATATGGCAACTTGAAAATGTTGCAACCTTACCCATCCCATTGTCCAGGCACAACTCAGAATCACCCGCGCCACCACCGCAGCTGGCAACAGTCCGAAGCTGCCGCCGCTTCCAAGCGCCACACTGGCGGCCGCAGCCGTGGCCGGCGGTAGAGGCAAGGTACAGCGGTGCACCTGTGGTCAGCGTCTCAGGGGTTTCGTGACGGTGTGAACCTGGGACACCCAAAGTTCTGGGCCCCCAACCATTCACCTAATGGCTGGCTGTCGCAACTGCTGTTAGGTGCCCATCTTGTGGAGGTCTGGATTGGGGTGTCTTTAGACTGGCAAGGAAGTGCTTCAACAATCTGGTCCAAAATGTCCTCATCCAGTTCTTGCTTCTTTCAATCAATTTCTAAATATGAGGGATCATTTCTTACTTACAAAAGGTATCATAAGGATTCATAAGGCTCATAAGGTGACATTTCTTTGAATGTGTTGGGTTCTTTTGTTGAATGAAAGGGGGTTCAAATAACTTCAAATATATAATTGCTTAGCCTGTTTTACATGACATCTGGTCTCATAGTGTCTCATAATAATGATCAATGACTATACAATAATTAATATTCCTGTCATTAAGGGGGATGAGGGGGATGTGGACTGTTGTTGGGAACTCCAACCAAATGTCTTCTTTCAGGTTGGCGCGATGGGTGTTGCCGCAAATACCGATAGGGGTGTGCTTAACATCTTCGACACACGGAGCGGTTCGCTCCCGCCTTGGAGGTCAAGAAATGTTCACACCTATATTTTATATAACAAAATATATTATCTATATGTATATATAATATAAATATATATATATATTTTGTTTCTTGCAGTTCAACTTTGCATATATCCGTGTGAAAACCTCGCAACAGCCCACAAATTCCCACCAGAATTCAGACTGTTTCTAACTGAAACTGTCATCCTGAAGGAGTGGAGGTGTGAGAAGATTGGAGTACTGAAATTGAACCTATATTTATTTCTAAATCCCCCCCCCTTGCCGGGGGGGGGTGGGGGGGGGTTAAAAACTGAAATCACTTTGGGGGGGGTCACCCCCCCCCCACCACCTAGAAATTTCAGCTAAAATTTTCTGGTTTATAATGGTCTCTCCAGGGCCTGGTTGAATTCAAGGCTGAACGTCAAGCTCTGAAGGCTGTTTGACAAGTTCACTCTCTTATTTATCTTCTTGGAAACTGGCAGTTACCATTTACATCCATTTACCTAGTTGTGTGGTTTGCGCGTGGGCCCTACCCGCGTAAGGACTAAAAAGGTATGGCAATGGATTTTTTTCGGGGGGACCCTGCTAGAACTGTAAAATACCATGGTTTTGCAACTACCCCCCCTCAAAAATTTCGCTGTTGTAATTATTTATTTACCGCAGGGGTAGGAAACAAGAAGGGGCTCCTCCAGCATTGGCAATGGATTTTTTTTGGGGGGGACCCTGCTAGAACTGTAAAATACCATGGTTTTGCAACTACCCCCCCTCAAAAATTTCACCGTTGCATTTTTCTGTAAGTATCTTTGTGCCAATATTATATATATATATATACATACATTATGTGTATTTAAGTACATGTATGTGTGTATATATATATATATATGAATGTATGAAAATACGAATGTATGTATGTATGTATGTATGTATGTATGTATGTTCAAAATGAAAGGGTGTGCCATACCATCTCTGGGCTAAAATGTTGCATCCGGAGGACCCCCCCACATCTTTTGGAAGCCCCAAAAACATGTGGGGGGGGTATATTTCATGTGGTCAGGTGAAATATTTCTCAGAAATTTCTTGCCTTACCCCCCCCCCAAATATTCCAGGGTTAAAGGGGGGGGGGATATTTCTAATTATACTCATGTCTTTACAACTATTCTTCTAGCCAAAAGATGTCAAAAGATGTCAAAAGATGTCAAAAGATGTCAAAAGGTGTCAAAAGGTGTCAAAAGATGTCAAAAGATGTCAAAAGTGATTAGGCAATTTAATTTGCCCAAATGTATGTGAATTGTCCCATATGACTGACGCAATTGCATCCCAAATCATCCCGGATGGAAACTTGCTCTCCATAATGAAAAAAAGTGCACGAATGTGTGGGAACGTCTTACATTGGAGCCAATAGCCAAAGGATTTGCGAATCTGTCGCCACTCCGCAAGGCTCTCATTGAACCCTGCTGAACGGAACGCCGCCCTCGATCAAATTTTCCTCGATGATGTCTTCTTGACCTCATTGAAAGGATGTGGTATAGGAATGAATAGGATAGATCGGTGTATATATGGTTGTTGATCAAAATTCTTTTATCCCGGAACGGCCATTCTTCGCGAATAAAAATTTTACTTTCGCAAACTCCATGTTTATCTTTCGCGGGGCCCATGTTGGCCAACAACACCTCTTATGAAGATTCGTTCACCACCTGCCAAATTACGCCAGAGAATCACGGATCACTTCTTGGTAGCCTTTTAAACATGCAGCTAGCATCACGGAATCCCTTCTCAGGACAGCTTTTTTTGCAAAGTTTACTGGCCCACCCCCTTCAACATGCACTTTGACTTTCGCCCGCTCTTTCGCATAACTTTCTCGGAACTTTCGCGAAATTATCCCTGTTCACAGACCCCGGCCATCAGCAGGGGGGTGCAGTGAAGGAAAAGCGAAGACCAGGGGCCTTGGTGTTTGGCTCTCGCAAAGCCTCACTTTTGGAAACTTGGCTACTGCTACTCGCATTCTCTGGTGCCCTTCTCCTGCCGGACCCCGGGCGGCAGCGGGTTGGCAGCCCTTTACATATAATGATTATAATACCCAACTTTCGCGAAACTTTCGCCAAATAAAATTTTACTTTCGCGAACTCGAAAAAAAAACTTTCGCGAGGATTTCCAACATAACATGCACGGCTTTCGCAATTAAAACTCCTTACAAGGACCTTTAGATCGATCACCATATATATATAGAGAGAGAGAGAGACGATTACCGATTGCCCCACTGAAAATAGCGGGTGAACCCCGTCCATTCAAAAGAAATCAGAAAAGACTTGGCCAAATGTGAACATCTTGAACGTCGATTGAATTTTCGCCATGGTTTCGTGCATGCCCCTGTGACTTTTACATTTCCAAAACAAACCCACGACAATTTTTTTGCTGCAGTCTGCTATTGCGGGTATGATGTTCACACGAGGTCACGTCCGGACATATGTGGTCAATGGCATTGGTTTGGAAGAGAAAGCTGGGAACAGCACGTAGGAATCACTATCGGTAAGCATGATGCATGATTCTCACATGTCGTGTGATTCTGATGCGTGCTCGCAAAGCACCAATGAAATGTCCATCATTTTCACATAAATTCCCGCTACTGAAATCATCTGAAATCCCAAAAGTCTGACTGACAAAAGATGACAAAAGAAGATCATAATGCCAGTTGGTGTAACATGTGTATCCTTGTGTGTCATTCTCGATTGTCTGCAAAAAGAGAAGCAACTAGTTTGTTTTCTGACCTCATGCGGCGACGAACAGCGTCCAGTGTCCAGATCGGCACCACTTCAACTCTTGATTCAGAACGTGGGGAGCCAATGACAGCCAAATCCTGTTTAACAGAATTGGCAGGCAATGCATGCCATGAAAATGATTGAAAATGAATTGATCTTTGGAGTTTCTGCAATGGTTTCACCAATGCGACTTTTTCTGCGTTGGCTTCGTTTTCTGCGTTGGCTTCGTGGTTTCACCAAGAGGTCAACATTATACACTCAGGGAATGCATGATGCGCAATGCTACGCGGCTTCGCCAGCAGCTTGGAATGAAATGGAATAAATATCGCCCATGGTCAATATCTGTATGATCATGAATCATGATGGATTTCCTATTGGGGGTTCTGGACTTGTAAATTCTATTTATTCCAAGACGGGCGCCATGTTGTCATGCAACACTGGCTCACGCATTGAGTCTGGGACATGGAAATTCGGAAGTGGAAGGTCGCTGGGAAGAGGTTTGGGTCGAGCAGTATCTCCTTCGCCGTCGCCGCTCTGATTTTCACTGGCGGTCCCTGGGCGTCGGTGACCTGCACCGTCTTCGGCCTCTTTGTCATTGGGAAGAGCTCCATGTAGATCATTCTCCGATACTTCATTTTCTGGCAACGAGGGTAGCAAGGGTTTTGAATACAAAGACGTGCTCACCGTGTCCAGCTCGGCAATGAACATGACACATGTTGCATCTTTCACAAACTCTACGGCGTCCTCAGAGTCCATTAGAATGATAGGGAGTATCAGAACGATTACGCCCGCGAAGACACCATTTACCAGCCAAGACATGAAAACCCGCACCCTTGACCAATGCCCATCCTTTCGGTAGCCTTTCCTAAAATAGTCGCGCCAGAAAGGCAACACTTCATTCTTGTGGAATGTCTCCCCACGGATCGCCATCAACGTGGCGATGACTGCTCCGCCTACGAACTTCATCTCCTCATGATCTGTGGCTTCCTCAGGTACAAACCTTTCTCGCACAAAGACTGAAGCAATCAGCACAATATACGAATATAGAGCATCATCTGAACTGCAAACACTAAGGTACATTCCAGCAAACCGCATCCTTCAAAATCAGAATAGGCTGAGACTGGTTGCAACTCCTTCGGCTCCTCATTGCCGTCCACCTTCGGCTCCTCATTGCCGTCCACCTTCAGCACCTTGCCGTGTGCGAGAATTGTGCTGATGTCGGGCTCATTCTTCTGAAGTTCCTTCTCAAATGACTCAAGTCTTTCATGCTGAACTTTATTGAGTTTCTTCACATCAACCATGAAGACTGCGAGCGCATTGGCTGCTGCACAAAAGGAATTTTCGGCGATGATCAACACCACTGCCAGGGCCGGTGAATGCTTCAGTGTGCCATAGATTATAAGGAATAAGCTTGCAGCAGTCATCAGTACAAGAAGGCCAGTAGTCTCTCGCCGGGCAGACTCTCGCTGAAAATAGAAGGGCGATCTACAGCACAACCAACCAATGCACATCTGCATTGGAACAACGATGCAGCCATACATACAACACCAACCGAAAAAGCCAACGGCCCCGACCACAACCTGCCACTCAGAAGTCCAGCTGCGGAAGTCCACATCCTCCATTCCTGCCTATGCCGTTTGGCAGTCCTCGATGAACTAATATGCATTAACTTGATCGTTTTGAGCTTAAGACAGCAAAGGCCATGGAAACCTTGTCACACACAGGAGAAATTTTCTGGACGACCTACCTCGGACTTTACAAACTGAACGATTTTTGCACAAGAGCAGCCTGCTGGAAGAGATCCTGCCCCTATCCTAGTGGTGAATGCCAACCATCCCTTTCCAGCTGGGTGCCCAGACAAGAACAAGGACGCTGTCGTTGAAGAGCAGGATGGACACCGTTGGATAGACAAATCTATGCTGATGGGAAGAACGCGCCGTAATAGCATCACACCCTAATCACGTCCAACAAATCCGTTCAGCGAGGAAATCAACATCAACATATTCCTAGAAGCCCCACAGGAGGAAAAAACATCCACGGAAAGCGAAACACACTCAACCTCAACACTAAAAAAACCATGGAACAAACACGATGCGAACCTAATTACTCACCAGCATCCTCCTTTACACCACTAACTTATCTCTTCCAGCCAGGTTGACCGCTCCATTGGCACCTTGCGATCCCACACCACATCCTCCTGGTGAGTGATGCGCCAAATTCGCTGCCAACCGCACGGCGGACCTCGTGGTTGGAAAGGCTTGAATGAATGGATTGGTTTGAAGGAAACCTTGCAGGAAACCATGGGTCTTAACGGCTCTTACCTGGGGTATCCTGCGATTTTACTTCAACATACTTCAATCATTTCTGAAATTGAAAGGCTGCGAGTCATATGGGACCAGGTCAAGTCTTTGGGGTGCCTGTGTGGCACCCTCAACGGGCTGGTATGTTAAGTGCAGTAAATTGTTTAAGTGCTGGTATGTTACGCATAATTAAGAAACCCATTTTGGGTCGTTGATAATTTTCACATATTTTTCCCCATTCCCATATTCCAAACGCTTGTTTAGAGTTCCGATCTGGGCTCTTTTTGTCTGTTGTGGGAATGCATGAGCCTTTTGGCACCTCACCCGGTAGAGAAATGCAAAGCTTACATGTAAAGAGAACAATGTATATACTAATACTATATACACATGCTGGCGTGTCATCAATCATTGCGGGCAAAAACGATCCATCAACGAATATCAACGAAACTCCAAGGTGTACCAACACTATCCGACACTAGTATCCAAGCGACGGAACGCAGGTTGGTATTGCCGCTCCGGTCGGTTCTTCCCCGACTTCTCCTGTGCAAAGGCGCCATGAAAATTGACGGGGTTGTTTGGTGGATTATGGTGTATTGGTGGCAAAATCATCCATCTCTCAAGATGCATGGATCATCCTTCAATAATCCCATCCGCCAAATATTAATCACCCCCTATCACCCCCTAAATGGTCCCAAATGTGTGTGTTTAAATCCCCTACTAAACCATGTTTTCTTAGTAACTAGTAGGGGGTGTTTAATATCAGGGGAAAGGACTACATCTCCCAAATCATTATTGGTGGGGGTTCTCGCATGGATATCTCAAACTGCCCAATCCTGTCGCATGGACGAGAGTTTCCGTGCCGCGCTGGGCACACTGCGGTCGGGTCCATCGGCGTACCTTCCAAAGGTTCGGAGGCGTGGCAGGTTCCAGAGTGAAGGAAACTCTGTGCAAACGTATGGATACATAAAAACAATCGGAGATCAAACACTGTCTCACGTTCTTGTAGATGCCTTCATCTTATTTGATCGATCTACATTGGATGCATCAAAAGGGTCATCCAAGTCACCTACGCGTCTGCCCGGAATATACAACCACAAAACTTAGTAGTGCATTTTTCCACCCATAACTTGAACCCTTCTCCATTTCAGCCTGAAAAGGTCATCCAGTCCCAATTGCTGTTCACTGGGGCCCTTGCACCACGCCAGACCTTCATAGGTCTCATTGCGGTCATCACCCATCGACCATCATTACACGTCGTCGTCATCGTCATCGTCATCGTCGTCGCCGTCGTCGTCATCAACATCATCATCATCCTCATCATCATCCTCCTCCTCATCGTCATGGTCATCATCATCATCATCATCATCCTCATCATCCTCATCGTCATGGTAGTCGTCATCGTCATCGTCATCATCATCATCATCGTCATCATCATCATCCTCATCCTCATCCTCATCCTCCTCATCGTCGTCATCAAGATCATCATCATCATCATCATCATCATCATCATCATCATCATCATCCTCATCATCATCATCATCGTCATCATCATCGCCATTGTCATCGTGATCATCCACATCCACATCATCCTCATTACAAGTCGTCGTCATCGTCATCGTCATCGTCATCAACATCATCATCATCATCATCGTCGTCATCATCATCATCATCATCACCCTCATCGTCATCGTCATCGTCATCATCATCATCCTCATCATCATCACCATCATCATCATCCTCATCATCATCCTCATCGTCGTCATCATCATCATCATCACCCTCATCGTCATCATGCTCGACATCGCCATCGCCATCCCTGTCACCATCATCATCATAATCATCATCATCATCATCGTCATCATCATCATCATCATCGTCATCATCATCATCATCATCGTCATCGTCATCCTCATCCTCATCGTCATCGTCATCGTCATCCTCATCGTCATGGTCATCGTCATCCTCATCGTCATGGTCATCGTCATCGTCATCCTCCTCCTCCTCATCATCACTGTCATCATCATCCTCATCATCGTCATCGTCATCGTCATCATCATCATCATCATCATCAGCATCACCATCCTCACCCTCATCGTCATCGTCATCATCATCATCATCATCATCCCCATCCTCGTCATCGTCGTCATCATCATCATCGTCATCGTCATCGTCGTCGTCGTCGTCGTAGTCTCATCGTCATCGTCGTCGTCATCGTCATCGTCGTCGTCATCGTCATCATCACCATCATCATCATCATCAGCATCCTCATCGTCATCGTCATCGTCGTCGTCGTCGTCCTCCTCCTCCTCATCATCATCATCATCACCATCATCACCATCATCATCATCATCACCATCAGCACCATCAGCACCATCATCATCATCATCCTTATCATCCTCATCACCATCACCATCATCATCACTGATCACTGATCATTGATCAGTGATCATTGATCATTGATCATTGATCATTGATCATTGATCATTCATCGTCATCATCATCATCATCATCATCACAATCGTCATGTTCATCGTCGTCATCATCATCATCATCGTCGTCATGTTCATCGTCATCGTCATCGTCATCATCATCATCATCATCATCATCAGCATCATCAACATCATCATCATCATCATCATCGTCATCGTCATCGTCATGTTCATCATCATCGTCATCATCGTCATCGTCATGTTCATCATCATCGTCATCATCGTCATCGTCATCATCGTCATCATCGTCATCGAGATCATGATCGGCCTGGCCGGTTTGGGATTGGCCGAGGGTCAAGTCGGCTGGTCATGGCTGGTCTGCTCAGATCTGTCCAGTGTGAATCTTGGATGTGTCTGTGCACCAAAGCAATGAGTGTAGCCCAGCTCTGAATCAGTTGCGGTTTGCTGAATCTGTGCAAGGATACGAAAGATTCGGCAACCAGAAGCATGGCTAAAAGCTGGCAATGTGTACTGTGCAATCTGTTTATGCCAGTGGCTCAAAGCTTGTTAGCTCGTTTAGGGCAAACCTTCCATCATTTTGATGTCAAGCTCAAGCAACTCAAGCCGATCGTTCGGATACGGATCCGGACGTCCAGCAAAGGAGCCTTCCAAAATTCCCAAGGCAACTGCTTGACCTGGTGACTGTGCATGACACTCTGCGAACTGATTAACATTCAGGGCTCCATCTAGTGCTCCTTTGACGCCTTCAATAGCTGCTCCTGGAACACCACCATCGATTTCACCCCTCGCATCGCCAAACGCAAGTCCAGTGGCTGTCCCACCAAGGCCGCCAAGAGTAGCCATGGGAACGCCATCAGACTTCGACATTTCACAACAACTCACTGTTACGAGCAGTATCGAAGAACAATCTGAGCCATAACTCAAATCAAGAAAGCGTTTCGGCATGCCAAATCGGATCAAGTTGAAGCGTCAATCGTAAATCTAGATGTGCATGTAAACACCAAGCAACTGCTTGCGTGCTGGAACTGTTTTGCCTGGACACCCAAGTGAAAGTATTCCAGGTTGCGATCCACTGGTGGAAGCTTGATGTGCCTGAGGTGAATCTCAATATACTCCAGTGGGAAGAGCGGATCCAGATTGCAATCTGGCCATGGGTCGCCACCCAGTACTCCTGTCCCCAAAAAAAGAACAGAATATTCGTTGGGGTGTTCACCTACCCAATTTTTGGTATATTTGCTATTGACCCATGCCCATGTCGCTTGAACTTGGTTGATTCAATTCTATGTGATGTGCTTGTAAAGAGTGTGAAATGTGCTGTGCTCATTTGATGTATATGCTTATGTGGTGGTTATTATGCTGATGCTATGCTGTGCTGGTTTGCTGTGTTGTCTGTATGGGGTGGGGGTATGAGTATGAACTGGCGTGTGAAGGTCTCTAGCTACATTCAAATAATCGGATCATCCTCCTCCTCACCATCCCCTGCACCCAAGCGGCCCAAAGCGCACTCCAGCACCACTTCGAAGTCTCGAAAGGTTCCATCTTGGACAGCTTTGGTCACCTGCCGGCTCCGCTGTTCCAGAGGTCACCTGCTACTGCTGGAACTGCCCAGCTCAGGTGATAGTAGCCATTGATTACTTGGAGGATCACCCCACGAAGCGTTACTTGTTTGCAACTGGGGTTAGATTATAAGCCATGCATAAATGGGATAACCTACTTAGGGAACTTACTAACTAGGGTGGTTAACCACACACTAAGTGGGATGACGGATGACCCTCCAAGTAGGAACCCCGGGGTTTCTTTAGATTGTTTTAAAAAAAACTGGTAGTCAAGGTGGGGGCAGCCAATCATTCTGGGTATCGGGATTCTCTTTAAATTAAAAATCTGCTGTACCCTCCAGATCCGTCCAGTAAATCAACATAGAACCTGAAAATAGCCAATTTTTTCGGGAAACTAATCTTCCAACCCCTAACTCATGGCAGGGTCATGGTTTGACCATGGATGAACCAGCCCGCACACCATGCTAGGTCGCCCAGGCAACTTGGAACGCTTCGCTGGCGGTGGGGAAATGGCCAGCCTCGGACCCAACGACTTTAAAGATGCTTCGTCGTAAGGGATTTCTGCTTTGATCTGCTTTGGTATTTTTTACAACTAATGTCGAGAGATCAGATTCCAAAGGGGTCCCAAATTGAAGAGCGAAACGATATCTTGCACAAAAGGCACACAAGTCCGCCTCTCAAAAGTGGTTGGACTTGGTTGTCCTAAGTCATATCCCTAAATTCTGCTAATAGTTCAGCCGTAATTATCAATGGACTTGTGGGCTACACTCCCAAGGTCCCATGTTTACTTCTAAATTCTTTCTATCACCATACCATCTCAGCCGCTGCTAGCAGCATTGTTTTCCAACCCATCAATCGCCACTATTTTGCCCTGCCAACAGGTAGTCCGCAGCGCTATTCTTTGGGCTGTTCAATTTGCCCACGGTGAGTTGCACATGGTGACTATGGCATGATGGAAACGTCAAAAAATGAACATCCTGGCTGGTCATGGATACATTACAGTTGCCTATGTCAGATTGATGTGATGATATGATAGCTTGAAAATACCAACAAAAATACCAAACGCTCCAAGCTCTAGTCTGTGGCTGTGCTGGACAGAAATGCTAGGGATGTGCAATCTATACATTTAAAATCATTTAAAAATACCTGAATGCACCTGACGACCTCAACAAAAATACTCAGCCAGCTGCCAATAACTTCAAAGAACGTATAATATATATATATGACAGTGCATAACATATGACATGAGATATTCCTCCATTTCTGGCGCAAAAATATGCTATCCATCTACCTCCACCAGGCCTCCGGCACACCCAAAAAAACCCTCTCAGGACGTTGGTGCGGAAACGTTCGCGCCCTTCTGGAAGACCACGGGGTACATCTCCCCAAAAAGACTCCTGTGACCACAGCGGGTCCAGCGTCCAAAAAAACCGCCGTACATCAGGGTTGCATCACCCCACTTTCTCTGGAACAATCATCTTACATCCATGGATCACTGAAACTTGTGCTCAACAAATAGGGATTTTCATGCATTCCCCAACCCTTCCAAGTCGAAGTATGGAAGTTTCCCCATTTTATCACCATTTACTTCGATGCTTTTCCCATGAAAAAATACATCCAATTACTAGGGAAATCTCCTACATCTCCACTCGCACCTGGTCACCTCATCCGATAAGCGCTGCAGCTGCTGCTGTCGATAACCTCCCGTGGAGCGCTCCTTCGCCTTAAGGTCAAAAATGGCATGGTGACCTGGTGGGGAAAATCTTGACAGACCAAATAACGGGCATATAATTAGTGTATATAATGGGTTTATAGTGGGATAGTAAATGGATAGTAAACTAACATTCTGATGGATGTTTTTGGGTATTTTAAATAGTTTACCCATCAGTTTTGGAGTAAAACAATGGATTTCTGGTGTCGATTTTCCGGTACATACAAAGAATTGCGAGAAGGGTCTGATGTATTCAGAGATGTATTCAATTTCTATACTCATCGATATCCCGATATGGACGCCCGAAACGAATACAACCAATATGATCCAACGCTAAGCCAGTGAACCGATTTCAGCGTCCAGTATGAATCCAACGCATCCGACATTCCATGGTAATTTACATAATTTAAGTCACCGATGACTGGTTGGTGGTTGACCTACCCCATTGATATATGGTTATATAATGATATGGTTAATATATGGTTATTATATGGTTAATGATGGTTAATCATAATCTGGTTGGTGGTTGACCTACCCCTCTGAAAAATGATGGAGTTCGTCAATGGGAAGTATTCCATCTCATATATGAAATGGAAAATAAAAAATGTTCCAAACCACCAACCAAATGAGGACTGAGCCTTGCTGTCCCATCATTGCCCACTCACCCCACCCACAGGCCCCAAATTATCCAACATATGAAGAACGATCAACAGGCGGTTTCCTCTTGCTTTTCATGACACCCCATGATCGTTGGAGCAGGCCACTCTTTGCAACATCTCCATCTGGTTGGTGGTTTTTACATGTTGTAACCATCTTGAAAAATATGGGAGTTCGTCAATGGGAAGGATGACATCCCTTTTTTATTATGGAAAATAACAAAAATGTTTGAAACCACCAACCAGCCATTGGCACTGATATCCCCAACTGCTTTCTCGATATCCCCAACGCTGGGGCCGTCCATCCGACCGCCTCACAGAGGCGCCCTGTATCCCCAACTGCTTCATTCTGATCCAGCAAGGAGAGGAATAACAAAAGAATTTATATAGCTCGGAAATGTAACCATCTTCGAAACTTACATCACCCATAGGATCCATGATGATCCATGTATGGTATATATGCTAACATTGGGGGTATATAGCATACATGGATCCTATGGGTCCTGATTTGTTTTTTCTTCGAAACTTACATCATCTTACATCTTCGTTTGCTCTGAAATTCTTGTTTCATTTGTTTGCTCTCGAAATTTCTATCGCCATCCATGACCGAGCCGCAGCCGCCAGCGCCACTTCCGCCTCCCGCGCTCCGACGGTCGTGGGATCGAAGCCCCAACGGGGGAGGACCCAGCGCTGCACCTCCAAGGCCACCTTCGGAAATCGCTAGGAAACCAATGGGCCACCTTGATGGTGAAAAAAAAATCATCGTCCAAAGAAAAAAAGGGTGAGCCTTGAAACTGTTCTATCATCCAAGTATGTGATAGATATATATATATGTATGATTATATATGTACATTTGCACATGTTCGTTTAGTGAATGTTCATATTTGGATTTGTTGCATGCTTTTTGACATAGTCTAGTCTTTGTTTTTTCGGGATCCGGCATGTTTTTCTTACTAATCAACGATGTAACTGTTAATGGTTTCTGGGTTTCTGTAAAATTTCACTTGAACATCTCTCCCCAATTTTGTGCAACTCCTGATGCCATGCACCAGGCTCCCACCGCGCACCTTCGGCAAGTGCCTGGTGAACTCCTTCACATTCCACCGCACGTCTCGGCACAGCTTCGACACCTGCATCCGGTGGGGGTCAGGGTCAAGAGGTCAAAAGGCCTAGTGCTTGGTATGTTTTTATCACCTTTATTTCATGCATTTAAATGTCATGTGATTTTTTTCTTATTTCGTGCTTTGCAAGTCAGCTCCGTTTGAAGCTCTGTTTGTCATCTACATATTCGTGTTTGCACCACCAGACTCCAACCGCCTGGCGTTGAAAGCCAGGGTCATCATAGGCGGAAGCCAACGCCTCCAACAGGTCCTTAGCCAATCCATGGGGCCTGGAGATGGGCTACGAAAAGTGAAACTTGATCATCAACATGATCAAAAAGCAACAAACAAACCTGTTCTTTGTCAGAATTGGATCTATATGCATATAATATGTATGTATATTATAATACATATACACATGCATATAATGCATATATATATATGTGTGTGTGTATGTATATTGTGTTTCCCCTGTGAACAAATAGCACCATGTGATGCAACCAACCTCGCCTCATGCCTCCAAGTGTCACAGGCGCCCTCATGCGTAAGGTATTTCTTCTCCACGCTTGGCGCCGAGGGAGTTGGCATCGCACCGGCCGGCGCCAGCGTGTCGAAGTCCACGTGGAAGATCAACTGAGCCTGGCTTCCCTAGGAAAGCACAGAAAATGCCACGTTCAATCACAAAAAACCTAAGTGCCGAAGCCAAGAAGAAAGTCAACAATTGCCATATCCATCCACAATCATGCTTTTGGGAAATCATATCCATAAAAATTAACTCTTGTTCCCATCATCCATATCCACGATAGGAAAATCACCTGCCCGATTTTAGGTTTCATGGTCCAGCCTCGGTCTGTCCATCGAACAAGACCTGCATGGAGACAGCTCTGAAATCCTATGGATCAGCCAATAGATACTCATGTGGTAAGCCTATCATAGACCATCTCCAAGTTTTACCAGAACTTGGTGGTAAAAAGTAAAAACTATCAAAAGTGGCAGTTGAAAATTCTTTGGATTTACACATTGCCAGAGAATAATCCAGTCTTGATCTTTACACTTACTTGATCAGCGCATCTTCCTCATTTCCTACAGAAGTGAATTGATAATGAAACCTATAAGCCTATCTATGGCTCCAACATGGGTTTTGACTGAAAACTGGATACTAAATTCACTGGTCAATCTTCATTTTCCCCATGAAAATTGCTAGAATGTGATGAACCCAATAAAAAATCCTAAAATCACTATTTTTATGGGTGCTATAGACCATCCCAAGCCAGGGTTTTGCACATTACTTAGGACCCCCCAACAGTGCACCTTGATGTCTCCGTCCTTGTCCACCTCTACAACACTGCCCTCATGCCCTGCACTGATGTCCCCCAGGTTCTCCAGAGTCACTATTCCTTGGACCAGGGGGGAAATCAACTCTAAATGGTGGGAGAATGATTCACCGTTTTCAAAAATGGTGATTTTCCATAGCTACACGCACACACACACATACACACACACATATATATATAATGTAATTATTGTAAAATGTTGATTCTCCCCTACTAAAAAAAATTAGTGATGTTAGAAAGATCAAGTCATTGAAGTGTAAATGAATGAATGCATCCGTCCATGTCCGCAGCGCCCTTCCCCTTCGAAGTCACGGTCCCCCGCCGCGAAGGGCGCTAGATCCTTGGGAACCTCGGCATCGAGGTGTGCTTCCTCCTCCTGGCGGGGGAAAGCTGGAGCTATAACATGTCTTAATTAAACCTCCTGATATGTGTTATAAATTGTTATAACATGTGTTTAGAGCTTAGTTAACCATGTAGTCACAATGTAGTCAATATATGTCAGTATAACCATGTATAACCGCAAAAACAGCTCCTCCAGTTGCTTCAACTCTTCCTCCAATGCTTCCAAATCCTGATCTTCCACCGCTTCAGCCTGGAGATAGGGATGGAGACGATGAACTAACGGGGGAGATGTTGGGAGATGGGGCATGTCAACCCCTGATCAACCCCAAAAACGTCGGAATTGTCACAATCCTTTTATGGCCTACTACATCTACTGTACTATCCAGTGGCTTTTGTGGGTTCTGTAGCTCTCCAACTAGCAAGGATATTAACCATTCCTGGCTCCCTAGCCCCTCCAAAATCTATGGCCCAGCCTAGTTATGACACAACATTGACTGAGTGGTTTTGTCCACCTTTCTTGTCTCTTAATGTGGGCACAACAATAATAAACCATCCGCCCAAATCACAATTTTTATAGGTGGTATGTTTACCATTCCCAGTCATGGCTGGTTTATGGCTTTGTTTTGCCCACATTACCCTCTGGTAAAGATACAAAAAAATATGGAAAGATCCACCATTTTTTTAATGGGAAAATCCACTATTTCTATGGCCATGTTCAATAGCAAACTGTTAGTTCACCATTATCATCATTGTCATTATCATCCCATTATATGCATATTAGATATGATTATCATCCCATTATTCTACCATTTGGATATCCAATTCTTATCCCATTGATACAATTTCAACCTCCCATGTCGACCACAAACTCCAGGCCTCTCGCCCAAAGACGCCCTGCTGCAGGGCCCGTTGCAGCGCCAACTTTTCGGTCCCTTCGTGTTTCGACTCCAGCAGCGCGATCTGCTTTCCTGGGTGAATCCAACGGGGGTCGTCAGCAGGGCCAATCTTAAGCAACGGAAATTATTTAACATGTGTTTCTATGGTTTAAATTGATTTAAAAACTAGCAAACACATGCAAAAACTGGAAAATCACCAACTTAAAAAGTGGATCCTGAGCACAAGAGCTGGGATTTGGCCAACAAAAAACTGTTTTTTTGAACCAATGAACATATGGGATCTTCACAGGTTCCGAAGCACAAAAGTTGGATTTAACGAACAACAACAACTTGGGTCTTACCAACTGAAGTTTTGCTTTTAACGAAACAGCACAGAAATCTTAACAAAAAAAATATTTCAAAATTGTTTCAACTTGATCGAAACCAGAAGTTAGGATTTGGCAAAGTTCACCGAATCTTGACCATGAAAAGCGAAAAAGAAAACTGAGATAGAGCTGATGTTTTGGACACCAACCTTCCACATAGATCCACTAGTTGATGGGATCAATAATGTCCTTTTGTTCATTAATGATGGTGATTCATAGTGATTAAGATGATTAAAATATGATTAATGGTTCAGAATGATTGATACCCTCTGGTGAACTAACATAGCAATGGAAAATCACCATTTTTAATGGGAAAATCCACTATAAATGGCATAGAAATAATTAGTGGATTTTCCCATTAAAAATGGTGATTTTCCATTGCTAATGATGAACAATCATGGTGACTGCTAAGCCTCGCCGTGCTTGGACGTCCTTCTCGATGCGCTGTCGATCCGCGCGGCCCACCGCGATCCCTTCGATCGAAGTCAGGGCTTCGGTGGCCTCGCGGTAGCGACCTGCCGGGAAGCATGGTGATATGAGGGGGTATGTATCCTGGTTGGTGGTTTATATATGGTTTAACCATTTATTAACCATCATTAACCATATAAAATGTTAATACATGATAGTTAATAATCAATGATATAAAATGATATAAATATATATTATATATATCCATTATTATATGGTTAATGATGGTTTATTATATGGTTAACAATAATCTGGTTGGTGGTATACCTACGAATCCAATAAATCCGACAAATCCAACATTCCATAGTAATTTAGATAATTTAAGTAACCGATGACTGGTTGGTGGTTGACGTTGACCTACCCCTCTGAAAAACTAACATAGCTATTGAACATGGCCATTTATAGTGGTTTTCCCATTGAAAATTGTGATTTTCCATAGTTATGTTAGTTTACCAGAGGGTACCCCTCTGAAAAATATGCGTTCGTCAAATGGGATGATGACATGCCCAATATATGGAAAAATAAAATTCATGCTCCAAACCACCAACCAATATCTTATGGAATATCCATTTGGATGTTATAATGATACATCCGGAGAAATAGTGAGAACCTTAAAAGAAACCCTACTTGTTGCAGTATGGTTTATTGTTCCATGAGGGTGGGATGTAGTAAGTAATGGACATATGGTAATATTAATATTCTATATGCTATTCATATTTATATAATGTTATATGTCCTTTTGGGATTTATCATGGAAATAGGATATGCACATCTGCAGAAATGGAGTAATTTTTGGTGATGATACTGGGAATCGTTGGAGAACATGGGATTGACTGGGGATTTACTGGGGATAATCATGGGAAATCATAACGAGGAGAGGCCTAGATGATTCTACAGGTACTCTGGCCAAATAACTGCGATATATATATATACTATGACTAAGCAATGGTTAAGTGATGTTAAGGGTATTCAAAGGGATATTTATGATGGCCATATTTTATGGAGTAAATATCAGTTCGTACCCAAAATAATTCTGGTGGGCGGCGAGCGCCTAGGCCTTCAAGAGCACAGGCGCGGCGGAACCAGGCTTTGTGGTCCTGGCACAGCGATGGAGGTGCTGAAATTCACCAACAATTACCCGACCTGGTCAACGTTTACAGTTTACAGTTAGCTATTGAAAATTGCCATTTAGTGCGTTGATTTACACATTAAAAATGGTGACAGTGATTTTCCATAGTTTTTGTATGTTTACCAGAGGGTACTGGGATTTAATGGGATATTCATCGCATATTCATGGCATATTCATTGGATATGATTTGATGGGATAATAGCGGGATAATAATGAGATACTAATGAGATACTAATGGCATAATAATGGGATAGTCATGGACGTGCCCTCTGGGAATCAAACGCGGCTGGCTGGGAAATGCCCCTATAAATGGATACAATAAATGGATACAAATGGGAGGTTTTATGAGGAAACCATGGACGACATGGTGGATTTCCCGTTGCCACGTTTGATTGCTGGAGGGTATCGTTGTATGAAACATCCAGAGTTTCTCATATCCCCATGATTACATGCGAATCATTGCGAATCGCATTAAAATTATTCTCAAATTATCTGGTTGGTGGTTTTAACCATCTTGAAAAATATGAAAGTCAATGGGTTTCGGATGACATCCCTTTTTTTATGGAAAATCAAAGCCATGTTTGAAACCACCAACCAGTTATGTTGGTAAAAAGGTCAAGAGGTGTAGCCTCTGGTAATCAAACATGGCTTTGCTTGAAACTCCCCATGACAGATGTGTCTCCCAGGCAGCCATTGGCAGCCATGTTTGATGACCAAGAAGATTGCCAACCCGCGTTTCCCATCATTACCCGACCTGGTAAACATACAAAAATCGATGGAAAATCACGTAAATTCACCATTTGTAGCTGGGTAGATCATATCCCAAGATGCCATGAATATTCGACGAATATCCCATGAATCCGAATCCATCCCCATGTCATCAGCAAGAACTGCAGCCTCGTCATCGATGGCCAAGGCATCATCTGCCGCTTGCAGTGCATCGGACCAATGGCCCAGCTTGATTGCGGCCTTCGGAGCGATGGGGAGCTCAGGGAAAGCGGTGATATGATATCATCAGACTACCCTCTGGTAATTTAACGTAGCTATTGAAAATGGCCATTAATAGTGGATTTTCCCATTAAAAATGGTGATTTTCCATAGCTACGTTAAATTACCAGAGGGTATATCAAAGTCATCAGCAAAAAGGGACTCAAAACATGAACATCTTACATGCTAGTTGGTGGTATACCTACCCCTCTGAAAAATGATGGAGTTCGTCAGTTGGGATGATGAAATTCCCAATATATGGGAAAATAAAATTCATGTTCCAAACCACCAACCAGCATGAGTTGGCCTCCAAATTCATGGAGCATTTCATCAAAACATCTCAAAAATCCCGGTCTGGTGGCCTTGGTGGCCTTGGTGGCCTTGCCCCCATGGCCATGCTCAGATTCCGAAACTCAGCTGACTCAGCTGACACGAAACCTGAACAGCAACGAGTTGCTGCACGGGCCTGAGAGACGTTTTTGAGGAGAATGGAGTGCAGGTCATCTATCATCTTGTTTCCTGCGCATGTGGCGATACAACGATGGTAACATATGGTAACCTGGTGACATCTGGTGGCCAAGGACTGTTGCTAGGTTGCAAGCAACTTTCATCCTCAAAAAGAAATTGGACATATCCAAAGGTCCAACAGAAACGCCTTGAAATGCTCAGAAACGCTCCGATCCATCCATGCCATACTCCCATGGTATCCATACAGCAGCCCTGCATCCTGCCAAATCTTCCGGCTGCAGCCGCTTGCGGAACAAGCAGGCTTCGCTCTCGCACCAGCTCTCAAAGGCTTCCTCCACGGAACCTGCCATGGCTGTGTTGGATGCCAATTGCTTCGGCCTTTTTTCTTGCAGATTAAGATCCAATGAGATCCAAATAGTTTGATCAGTAAGATATAAAGATCTTTGATCTTTAGATCATGATTGCCGGTAGATCAAGATCTATATGTTCGATTATATTTGTTATTGTTCAACTTGAGATAGGCGGGAAAATTCTTCTGACTAAAGGGGATGGGTTTGATTCAGGATAGTGAAATTGGTTCTCCTCTTCTCCTGAGACTTGAAAACCCTAGTCAACGAGCAACATGTCGCTTTAGAACATCCGTGTATTTAAAAAAACGCGCGTGCAAAGACGTAGTGTGCCACCTGTCACATAGAGGTCCTCCTACAAATCTTGCGCTTGGAACCTCTTGGCAACCTGGATTGACTCTTCAAGCAGCGACATTGGATCGTCCTATTCGTCCTAGGCCAGGTGCATCTGACGCTGGACAGGCCCTGCACCTTGTTCCCATGAGACGTAGCCGTCTTTTCCTGGACTGCCGGGAGGAGCAGGAGGGCTGGTGATCCACGACCGTGAACCATTGGGGGCATCACTACCAACATCTACCAACCATTTTGCGTGTTCAAAATTGTTTAAAATCGCAACATGCTACGCGTTCCAACCAATGTCAAGCCAAATTTCAACTTGCTCCAGGCGTCTTTTTGAAGGTGGTAGCCCTTAAACCAGAGGATCCAAAGGATCAAGTTGAAGGTTGAAGTTTAAGCCAAACGACAAAAGTTTCACCATGCCCGAACCTGGAAGTCACTCCTTTGAATCAAAAACGGTGGTCAGCTTCCTTTGGAGCTCCCTCATGCATCCCAATTTCAAACGGTATAGTGACCATCTTGTTCGCTCCAAGTTTGGAATATTATATATATATAAATTCAACATGCGACATCATACAACTAAAGAAAGGTCACAAAACTGTCACTGTCACAACTGGGATCCGAAAAAAAAAATATATGCTTACGGGTGACACTTCCAAAAAAAAAAATCACCCGGTAGAATTATAGTAGATTCCCTGGTGAAGCAACCAGAAGGATCCAAACGGCATCTGGGAAAACATTAATTAAGGAAAAATATGGAAAAATCACCTTCAGTGATCATTCCAACTTACCCGTCTCCACAGTGGTTCCAAGTCACTGAGCTTCTGCGCGCGCGTCATGAGCTTCGCCATGGTGTCGGTGTCTACCACCATGGTTTCGCTGCGTTGTGCCTCTTCCTGCCGCTTTGAGGGCGGTCAGTTAGCTTGGTTTAAGTGACTATGTGTTCAGGAAACCAAAAGTCTCGTGATTGTTTCATGGTTTGCTATGGTTTGATAATGTTTGATGTTTGGCTGAAGGGATTCTGGTTCTAGGGGTTTTGTGCAGGAAACCATGGTTTAACTTGCATCAATTTGCGATGAGAGTGTAGCAGTGTAGCAATTGTGCCCACAAATTCCTCTGAGACACATTCTTTTAGAGGCTGCTGCTTCCCATTCAGCACCATATTTATGTGTGGTGCCACCTGCAATCACCGTAGTCAACCAGCTTCCAACCAGGAATGGGGGATCATCAGCCCAGGGAACGCTTCCTCCTGCGTCAACTTTAGTCGATCCTTCGCTCGGGCCTGGGTCATCCGACTCAAGGGTTGGACCCATCTTTCCAAACAAAAGGGCTAGCAATGTTTCAAAGTGGGCGCTGAAAAACCCAAACGCAGCCTGCTTAGGTGCTCAGTTGTTTTGCGCTTCTGAACCCCCTATCTCCCAACACATGTTTTCATCGGCCGTTGAATTAGTCGTTTCCCCCCAGCACCCATCAAACAAACTGATTCAAGGCCATTGCAACTTGCTGCTCTCAGCCCATTCTCTAAATCTTTCAAGTGACTTAATCCTTTCCCCGTTTCAAACTTGAAATATTAAATATCCACAATGTCCCACCCATAACTCACCCATATCACCATTTGGTGGTTCAGCCCAGCAAAGTGGGTTAGTTCACCCCAGGTATATGCTACTTGCCCAGTCCTACCCTGCTCATTAAATGGGGGTGAACTATATGAACGAACCCCGCTTAAGTTTCAACTGCCGAACCATCCTTTCCCCCTTAACTCGAAATCTTACCGATACCAGCACTGGTTGGTGGTTTTAACCACCTTGAAAAATAGTCAACGGGAAGGATTATCCCATCTATTTGTTGGAAAATCACGAACATATTCCAAACCACCAGAGGAAATATCTAGAGGTTCTACAAAGTGGGGCCCCCTAGATAGCTAAGTTGGTGAACATAACTCCAATAGCTATGGTTTATGGTACCTATAACTATAGTATTCATGGGCTTTATAAACCATCGTGTACCCATAAATCACCCATTTTCCCACCATTTTCCCACCATTTTCCCCATCATTTCCCCGACATCCACGGCACAGTGAACTCCTGAAGCAACCGCTCTGCCTCCGTGGCGCCGCCCGCGTCCAGGCGCTGCCGCAGGCTGCGGAGTTCCAAGACCTGGCACATGATCTTTCCGCCCCTGGCTACACCTCTGATTGTAGCTGGTTCATTGCAGTTCTATATATATATATATTACATATGATATTAAATATAATAATAATATATTGATAAATGATAATAATAATAATAATAATGATAATAATAATAATGAATAAATAATTATATATATATACATACATATACGGTACTTTATGGTGAGGTCTGTATATATAACACCCATGCCACCACTGCCCATGGCACCCCGGACCTGCTCCTCCCGTTGCAGGATGGCAGAGAGAGGGACGCGCTGCTGTCGCGCGGCACGAAGAGAGGTGCCAAGGGCGATCTCAGCGATTTTGTACTTCCTTAGCTGGGCACAAAGCGGTACCCCCAAACGATAGCTACCCTCTGGTAAACTAACATAGCTATGGAAAATCACAATTTTCAATGGGAAAATCCACTATAAATGGCCATTTTCAATAGCTATGTTAAATTACCAGAGGGTAAGTTCGTTTATAATTTATAACAATCATGTGAAGGTTTATGGTCGAGTTTCACAAAACCATGGATTTCTCATGGATTTCCCATTCAGAAACAGATCCAAAAATAATCACCAAACAAGCCCAGGACTGGCGGCAGCATGGGCTGCACCATGCGTTTCAGCTCGGGCGGGCAGTTCTCCAGCTCCTCGGCCAGCTCCGAACGCAGCGCGTTGGCCATCTCGACCTGCTCGAACTGCCGGAGCCAAGCGTTTCCTCGGCGGCTTCAGGGAGCTATGGACGGGGAGGATGCTTCAGGGAGAATATGGATCGGTCACTTAAAGGAAACTTGGGAAATTCGTGTGGTTTTCCGATTTTTGCCCTGAAATTTGGGGTTCCTCCAAAAAGAAAAACTCGTCCAATATCATCCAATAAAAGAATCTGTGCCTGTACTTTGCCTGAATACTTCCATGGCAAAGCCCAAGACCAGCTGTGGAGAAAGGTCAAAGACCCGTGGACTGTAGACCATCCCAAACAATAATACCCGTGGAAAGGTTGTGTCGTAATCAGGTCAGGGTTTGTTTCAAGACTTCTTTTATTGAAAGATTGCATTCTCCCTGCGGGTGAATTCTCCAACTGCGTTTTGACGGAGTACTATTTGATACCATCTGGTTTTTTAACATAGCCATGGAAAATGGCCCATTTATAGATGGTTTACCCTCTGGTGAACTAACATAGCAATGGAAAATCACCATTCTTAATGGGAAAATCCACTATAAATAGCCATTTTCCATTGCTATGTTAGTTCACCAGAGGGTACCTATCAAAAGCATGGTGATTTTCCATGCCTATGTCAGTCATAACCAGAGGGTAGTACTATTTCTATGGGTCAGTGGTGCCTCTGATCCATCTGATCCTGAGCCAAGGTTCTTCGTTTGCTCCAGTGTCTTTCCGACTTCAAAATGGCCTTGGCGTAGGGTTTCCGCGACATGTTGTCCCAGAATTCCTGCGAGGTCTCTTCCAACAGCAGGTTGGGATTCACCCGAGGGTCGACCTTTTCCAACTCAATCCTTAGGGCAGCATGCAGGAAGCAATCGCTTGTGGGGTGCCAAACCGTGGCTAAACACTCCGCAAACAAAACCTTGGATGAGCCATGGGGATAGCTATCTGGCAAATCTTGGGGAGAGTTGCATCTCCAACATGCCCCAATATGCCCCAATCCTCTGAAAATTGGTTGGTTGTCCACATAGTTGTGTTATTCTAAGTTGTATTCCATTTAAATCTTCCCATAAAATGATTGGTTAGCTCCTTAAACATCCTTAAACCATTCAGAATCCCCCAAGAAGTTCCCAATTTTTTCCACCAAGAAAAGGGCTGCCAAGAGGCTGTTCCACCATCCATTCTTTGGTCCAGTGACTTGGAATAGACGGATAGCCCAAGGCGTCGAAGTCCTCTTGGGACATATGCCCTGCGGCGTGCTGCGGCGAATATTTGGAGATACAAGCTGGTTGGTGGGTTGACCTCCCCCTTTGAAAAATCTGAAAGTCAGTTGGGGTTTAATTTATTCCCAATATATGGAAAATAAAAGCCATGTTCCAAACCACCAACCAGCAAGGTAGTTGGAGATTGCTGGAGATAGGTGTAGTGATTGGATTGGTCTTGATGTTCATCCAACAACTCAAATCGAACATCCCGAAATGAGTTGACAGCCACTGCAACAGCCAACGCAAGCCTTTGGGCAGCCGCACCGGTGCACCGCCCGCTGTCATGGCAGCAATTGATGCTCGGGCAAACGCAGGTGAAGAAAAAAGAGAGAAAGATGCCATATGTAACCATAGTAGGCCATAGTAGCCAATCAAAACAACTAGACACAAGATGACACAAGGCCACATCCTGGAAATATGTATGATATGGAATGATATTGAATGATATTTATCATATATATAATACACACATATATATATATTATATAATATATATAATATCAGATGTCAATTTCAATGTCTGATAGCCGCTGCTAGCTGCATGAGCTCCGCTGGCTCATCCCGTCACGACTGGTGTCCGTCAGCGTATCCTGAATATGTTGGTTTCGATGCAGTGGAAGGAAAATCCAAAGGAACCCATGGTGTTTTGATGTTTGCAAGATTTTTTACCATCAAGTATCCTCTGGTAAACGTTTACAGTTTCCCAGTTTGCTATTGAACATGGTGATTTAGTTCGTGGATGTATCCATTAATACCCATTAATAACATGGTGGATCTTTCCATAGCTAATTATGTTAGTTTATGTTAGTTTACCATCAAGTATCTTTCCCCTTCCAATGGGATGGAGCTTGATGTCTGATGGATTTTTTCCTCTGCATCTCTGAGATGAGCCAAGCTTCGGCAGCTAAACGTCACTTGGGATGTCATGAGTTCATCCAATAGCCATGCCGTCTGGCGATTTTTTGCATAGCTATCGTTAAAATGGCTTAGAGATGATTTACCCTCTGGTTATGTCAAAAAAGCTATTGAAAATTGCCATAGAAATAGTGGATTTACCCATTAAAAATGGTGATTTTCAATAGTTATTGTGTTTCCTGAAGCCTCCCAATGCCAACAAGTGAACCGTCCTGGAACCCTGAACAGCAACTGAGATCTCGACTCCAACCGGAAAAAGAATGTTTCAACCCAAAAAACAAAACCAAGTTTCCCCAAAACTCCAAGCAGCCACCTCGCTGCCAGCTGACGCACCTTTGTGCCACTTGACATCTAAAGGGCTTCGGTCCGGCCCAGATGCAGGTTCTTCAAGATTCCTAGACTACACCCGGAGGGTAGTAGTCTGACTACACCCGTTGGGTAGTAGTCAAAGCAAAAGTGGAAGTATTTCCATTTGAGAATTGGATAAATAGGGATGCATGAAATTCTCACACGCACTCCCCCTATGTGATCAGTTCCACTGACCACATATTCAGCTCAAGCCCTCTAAACAAGTCTATCATCTGCAGTGCAGCAAATCGCACATGGATTGAAGGCCCGAAGTGGACCATTGGATCCCGCATCACGACAATGCTCATAATCAACATGAAGTGCATATCCATGTGAGATCGCATACAGCCTATGTTGGGGAACGTCTGACTGTGGGCCACATCTGTGACATCGTGGCGTCAGACAAACTTCCTTGGCATGCCTAAGACCATGGCATTCACGGTCACAGTGGTATCTTCCACCAAATGGCGTGGTGAAAAGGGGTTTTGGTCCTCTTTGGGAACGAGATCCTCTTGATCTCAACATGTTCGCCGGCTCACGCGCCGCTGCGCCGCCATCTGCCGCGCCAGCTGCAGCGCTAGGAATGCCAGCTGCTCCATAACTTCTTGGAGCGCCATCAGCACTGCCAGCAGCTGTGGATGCAGCGCCCGCAGCACGGCCAGCAGCCGCATTTCCATCGCCAGCAGCGTCAGCAGCACAGCCAGCAGCCGTAGATGAAGTGCCCGCAGCGCCAGCAGCACGGCCAGCAGCACTAGATGAAGCGCCCGCAGCCCCAGCAGCACGGCCAGCAGCCGTAGATGAAGCGCCTGCAGCGCCAGCAGCACGGCCAGCAGCCGTAGATGAAGCGCCTGCAGCGCCAGCAGCCGCAGATCCAGCGCCCGCAGCGCCAGCAGCACGGCCAGCAGCCGTAGGTGAAGCGCCCGCAGCGCCAGCAGCCGTAGAAGGCAACCAATTTGGCCTGACAGTTGGATCACGTTGCTGCTGATTTCTTTCATCCTCATCTCTTTCTGGCGCATGCCACAAAAACGCAGGCACGTTCAGCAATGAACCTTTGTATTTGACAACAGTGAGCTTGTCAACTCTGTGCCACATGAAAATGCCCATGACGCATGCTCCAATGATGAAACCGGCAAAAAGGATCACAGCCACAAACATGATGAAATAAAACTGACCGTCTCTCTGCTGCAAAACTGGATTGAGGTCTTGAATGACCAAAGCATTTGAAATATCTTTTTTCTCCTCATTCGATGCTCCTGCAAGCGCCAATTTTGTCACCAAAATGATGATCTTCAACGCTTTCTCACGTGCTTCTTGTGTCATCCCAAAAGTGGTTTCATTCTGTTCTCCGTCTTCTATCTTTTCCAAAACTTTCCAACCTTCCAAAAACATGCCCATGGTTTCTTTGTGCTGGTTGAACTTCTGCACCGATAAAACTTTGGTGCCCAGGTCAGCTGGCATCTCAGCTCCAGGCAAATGCCGGAGCATCCATTCCCCAGACAAAACTCTTGAGCGCAAAATGAAGGCCCTTTTCCGCAAATGGCGTGTCCGCCAAGATCCAGTATCTCCGGCAATGATGGCTAATGCCGCTGAGCTGTCTGTGTAGGAAAATGACCTAGCACAAACATCCAATGCCTCCTCCAAAACGACCTTGACAGCATCTCCCGCCAATGCTCCTTCAAGCACCTCCACAAGTTCGGCCTCGGCCGTCGATGCAGCTTGAATGGGCTGCTTGCCAGCCTTCCAGAGCAACAGCGACGATCCCCAAAGGATCAAATGGCATCCAAATGAGATATCGCTATATGATGCATCCGTGTACACATTGAGCTGCTTCTCGCCCATGTTGTTCTGAAAAATCAAACCTTGGTCCATGGTGGCTGCCAAATAGTACCACACTGGTTTCACCAACTGCACAACCTGCATAGGTGACTTTGTGATCAATGACGCCAGCTTGGAGACAGTGAAAGCCAAATCAGGCCTGGACCTGGCAGTGATCCAAACCAATTCACCAATGACTCGCTGGGCTTCTTTGACTGCCATTGGAGTCTTCTCCTCACCTTCAATGACCTCGGGCTCCTTCACCAAAGGAATCTTTCTAGTCGGCCACGTAGTGGGATCTGCTCCAAGATTTCTTTTCAGCAAGTCCTTGATGTAGTTTGTCTGCGTCATCAACCAGGCTCCATCTTCTCTTCTCCATAGCTCCGCGCCCAAAAATCTCACCTCCTTCTGCATGTTGATGGTCTCTGGCTCCGATGTCTCCCATTTCGCCTGCACCCCTTGAATGACTGCAGCGATGGATGAGGGAAAACCAAGGACCAGAAGATCATCCACATAGACCAAAAGTAGTCCCACAAACTCTTCCTCATTCGTCTGCAAGTTGGGACCTGGTTGCTTCAGCATCATTCTCCACATGTTTGGCTCCGTGATCATTTGCTGCAAGGTCAAAATGCCACCCTCGCATGGTAACTCCATCTTTGCAATCTCCTGATCACGGTAGTCTGACCACAATTTGGGTGACTCCTTGTAGCCGTAGAGGGCCATGATGACCTCGTAGAATTCGTCTGGCTTGGCCAATCCAGCCAAAATGAGAAGAGCAGGAGGGCGGATGATGGCTCTTCTAGGCTCCATCTTCTCCCCATTCTCATCCTTTGACCCGGACAAAACCATTGGAGCATTTAAAAATGCTGTCCTCACATCCATGACGCTCCCTTCAAAACCAAATTGTGATGCCACCGTCAATGCAGCTCGAAGTGCCACTGCTGATGCTCCGCCTGCAAAGAGATCTTGCCCTTCTTCTCTTTCTGAGAAGTTCCCACAAGCCACCAATCGTGTCTTTTTCTTGCCACCCTTGTTGGTCTGATCTGGCTTGACTGTGAAGACCAGCTTGCTAGGGATAAGTTCTGCTCGATCTTCGTCAAGCAGCTTCTTCACCTCAGCTTCTGTGATCTTTCTCAGCGCCCCTTTCGTCTCAAACAAGGAGGTCAGCTCTTTCTCGATGGATGGCCTCCAAACCTCAATGGAACGGCGAACTTCAGCTTGTGACACAATGCGTGTCTGCAAAACTTCTTCTCCTTTCTCAGGTCCAATCAACTCTTTGACCATGGTGATGGAATCCAGCACCATGCCAGCAACTTTCTCATCATCTTCCATGGCCTCAACCATCTCCTCCTCTATCAAACGTTGGACCCTTTGTTTCTTGGCCCATGCATCCTTTTCTTCCTCCTCAAAACTTGGTGATCTGCCATCTCCTTCTTGGTTCTCAAGTTCATCTGCTTCCGCGGCGTCCTCAACCTCCAGCATGTATATGGACGCTTTGTGTCTGATTCTCCTCCTCTCTTCGATTGGGTTCAAGGCATCTTCAACTCCAATCCAATCCTCCAACTTTGGTGGTTCACTCAAGCCCTGCATGACCATCTTCGTCAGCGCCTGAGTTCCATCTGCCCTTTCAATCCAATGCCCATGATGAACCCAAGAAGGACATAGGTAAGTGACCTTCTCCTGTGTTGGTTCCAGTTCTCGTGATCTCCAAAACCTCTTTCTGACCAAAACTTGCGCCAAAAAAGGCGGTGTCTTTTTCTCCTTGTCAACCTGCTTCTGTCGCAACTTCTCATTGATGAAGCGAGCTGCAATTGGCCAGCGATCAAAAGGTGCTTCAGCTCCATGAAGTGTCCGCCTGATGGCTGCCTTGATGTGCTGGACAATCGCTTCACAACGTCCATTCATTTGGGGCTGATCCCCAGGCGTAAACGTCTGAAGGATGGTGCGTGACAGGCACCATTTTTCCAAAATCCTCGATCTGAACTCAGCTCCTCTGTCGCTATGCGGCTGTGTCACTCGATACCCGTCTGCTCTCAGACGCATGTACATGTTGATGATCGCCCTGGACACATCCTCTTGGCTCCTTGATGCCAAAGGCTCGCAAAGCTTGGTGACCTCAATCCTCACCGGCTTTCTTTCTTCAAGCTCCTCTGATGTGTCCTCCTTTGGGCCTTCTTCTGGGTTTTCAACCTGATCTGCAATCTGCTGTAGCTCCTCCTCTGCTTCTGGATCCTCAATCTCCGGCGCATCTGGGGGAACTTCAGGTATCTCCTCAACCTCCTCCTCTCCATCTTGGTTCCTGGCTGTCCAAGTGAAGCTGGCTACCAGGAGATACTTCGCCTTCTTCTTCTGCAAATCAGGTGCTTCTTTGAAAGGTCCTGAGATGTCCACACTAAGGACACCCGCCTTTGGTGGCAATTTCTGCCGCCGATGATGAGCATCACGCGCACAGGCCTCTTGGCACACTCTGCAATCTCTTCTAAAAGGAGTATGGCCTGCTGCAATGTGCTCCTGCCATGAAACTGCCCGTAACTTGACCTCTTCGCCCATGGTGCAGGTTTGGAGAGCAACAGCAATGGACCTCATCATCAAGGGTGGCCACCGTGACAATCTCCTGGACGATTCGCAGATCTCTGCCTTGGTCATTCCAGAGACATCACGTGGTTGCCCTTTCTTTCCTTGAAGTGGTACTTGAAGTGGCAGATTTCCTCCTATAGTCGTTGGCTTTGTAGCTATGGCCCCAAACTCTGACTGGTCAAAACGCTGGGTCTGCAGCTCATAGATCTCGGCCAGGCTCTTCCATTGAGGTGTTCTCCAAAGCGACACCACTTCAGGCTTGTGTTCAGGTGAGGCAGGCTGCTCCAGGATCAAAGTGGTGGGTGTCTCTAGCCCAGCTGCTCTGCGCACCGTCTCTGACACAATGTAGAGAACCAAAAACCGCATGAGCAACGTGTCATCCAAGGTGACCTGCTCTTTCTCAAAGTTCGAAAGCCCTTCTATGCCAAACTCCCCTCCATTCCAACTTCTCAGAGGCCTCGGCATGGCTTCCCCTGGAACTTCAAGATGTCTGAGAACCGATCTGGTCCTGCATGGTGGCCCGGCTATCCAACCCTTCACCAATCCATCCAAAGCTGCCCTCAACAAGAGCGGGTAGGCCTCACCTTCAGGTGAAAGATCTGCTTCAAGCTTTCCATGGGTGATCTCAAACTCATACATCAATCGACGATCACCTCCAATCTCATGAAAAGCCCTTCCCAATGTGTAGCCTTCATTCTTTCCCGAAAAGGCGTGAATCATCATACCCTTCGCCCTCCAAAGTTTCCTTCTTCTTCTGTTTCCCAACGGTAGGATGTCCGTTGCAGGCTTCTCCACCAAGCTTCTCTTTACCTCCTCAGGGATTCCTTGAAGAGCTGGGTGTTCATCAACCAAACTTCTCAACCATGCCTCTTCTGAGTCCTCCCCCGTTTTCAAACTTTTCACAACCTTCACGGCCTTGGCCTCAATCTCCTCGATGAGCTTCATGGCCGTGGACTGTGATACCATTGGACATCCAGCTTCAACCACCACCTCCAACTTGCCAAGCACTGGGTGCACCACCTGAAGACCTTCTGGCTTCCATGAGATTTCACATCCAAGGACTGCAGTCAGCAATCCCATGGGCACTATGGGCTCCGTGCCTTCTTCGCCCACAATGACTCCCGTTGGAGTGAGTGCCATATAGATCTCCTTGTCACCTGCCAGCGTCACCTTGACCTTTGGTAGATGGTGAAGACGTTCTCCCTTTCTTTTGGCTCGCAAAGGGTGTGTTGCCCCTGAGTCCAGTAAGCCCTTGTTCACCATTGGGCACAACTTGGAGATGCGAAAGGGTCGCATAGAAGCCTTCTTGAGCTCATCCAGCTGCTTCTGTAGGCCCAAGATCCTTTCTTGTGCGTCCTCCCCTTTCTGTCTCTTTTCTTTGACATCTCCTTCATTCATTGATTTGAGCATCCGACTTGCTTCATCCAGCAACGACTTCATAGTTTCTTCTCCTCCGTTACCCGTGGCCTCAGACTGCTCCTCGGACTTTTCAGGAGATGTTGTAGCGGACTTCACATCCTTCTCTGCAGTCTTGGAACCAAACTTTGCTGCCTTCGGCTTGGACTCCTCTGTGGTCGGACAGGCTGTGGCCATATGGTCCTTTCCTCCACATGTCCAACACCTTCTTTCTCCATCCAACTGGTGTCCAAAAGGACATCCTCTACCTCTTCGGCAACCTGAGTCTGTGAGGTAAAACCTACATGGTTTCCTCCTCCCTTCAAACTCCTCTTGAGGCTTCCCCTTCGGCCTGGTCCTTTCTTCAGGCTTGCTTCCCGAGGCTTCCTCAAACTTCTTCACCTTTGGCTGGCTCTCTGCCATCACTTCCTTCCTTTTTGCCTGCTGTCCCATCTGCTCCAGCTCTGCAAGAAGGTGTTCGCTGTACTGGGTCACTGTCTCCAACGTTGGAACTGTCTCCACCAACAATGAGCTCTTGACCAACGACAAGCGGAAGTTGAGATCTGGGTAACTGGAAACAATTTTCCTCACCAAACGTCCCAATCCCTTCATCAAAATTGAACTGTCTGGAATTGAAACTCCAACTTCAAGGGCCCGGCGCTTCCATCTCATCCAACGTCTCAGCTGTTGGATGGCTGAACCCACGGTTGCAGCTTCCATAGGTGCTTCCAGCGCCGTCAAAATAGCGCTTCTCTCTGTCAGCCCTCCAGGTTGAAACTGCAGCATCGCACGAGACAAAATGCCCAAAGCTGTGATGGACTTCGCCGCAATTCACCTCCTCTTTCATCGTCTGCGGCAACGCATTCAAGAGCAAGGACGAAGCCCTTCTTTCCAGCCGGGACCACTTCTTCTGCTGCAACTCTGGTGTAGGCCTTGGTGTGCTCGTCAACCTCTCAATTGGCGATAGCTTCATGTGGTGATCATACCAAGTCCTCGCTGTTGAGAGGGTCAAGTCCCACCACATCTCACTCGTTGAGCTCAAGTCTGCCATATGAGGATGCAGACAAATCACCCAATCACCAAAATCGATGGGCGCCGTCTCCGGATTCCACTCAGCAAGTTTTGGGAGATCCGCCACATAGCGCACCACTTCAATCTCATCACCTTTTCCTTCCTCCTTGGAGATCACAATCTGTTTCTGAAGCTCCTGCATGCCCTCCATCAACTTGAGCATGATCCTCATGGACTGCTTGTCAACGCTCTCCTTTGGCCTGCTTGCTCTTTGCGGCTCCTCAGAAGACGAATCGCTCTCTGACTGTTCTTGCCGGGCTTCTGCCCCATCCTCTTGAGAAGATCTGTCTTGCCGGGCCTCTGCCCCTTCCTCCTTAGAAGGTGTTCCTTGCCGGGCACCTGCCCCTTCCTCCTTGGAAGGTCTTTCTTGCCGGGACTCTGCCCCTTCCTCCTTTTTTAACATGTTGGCTGCTTTGTCATCTGGTGTGGTAAACCTCGACGATCCCTTCTTTTCCAAGGCTTCCAACAACTCTTGACGCTCTTGACGAAGTCTTTGGTTTTCATGCTGTGCCGCACGCAACTGAACCCCTAGATGTTCTATGCCATGCTCAACTTGCATTCTCCACATGTAATCCCTTTGCCTCGCCTCATGTTCACCTTGCTGAGATCCTACTGATTGAAGCAACCCTGTGAACCAACCTGGAACTGCTTGTCGCTCAGCTCCCCCGTGTCCATGTTCTCCAACCGCAGGACCATTCCATGAAGCCGCAGGCGATGCAAAAGGCATCTGGTGGATCTCATGAAGTTTCACCGTCTGCTCTGGTGAAAAAAGTGGCAACATACTTTGGACCTGTCCCTCTGGTGTCACAAAGGAATGGGGACCTAGTGAAACTGGCTGTCCACTGGGTGTTGCCATCTCTTGACGCTTCTCTGGTTCTATTTCTTTTGGGGTTCCTTTTTGGCCTCTGACTGAACCCTCCTTTGACTTCTGACCCTGGCTAACTGGTTCTGTGGCTGCCCTTGGTGACCTAGAGCCCTTTGCAGCGTCTGACCCTCGCCCTTTCTCCAACCCATCCGGTGTCCTCAAGGCCAAGGCTTGAGAAGCTGGTACAAGTTCTTGTCCAACCAGTTCCAGGCCTCTCTCAGCTGCATCTCCTCTCGCCCCAAGCGCCTGTGCTGCATCGCCTTCAGCGCCCGCAGCCGCCATCTGCCGATCACCAGCTGCCGCCGCTTGCACCGCGCCAGCCGCTGCCATCTGCTCAGCGCCAGCTGCCGCCATCTGCTCAGCGCCAGCTGCCATCATCTGCTCAGCGCCAGATCCATCGACAGCGCCGCCATCCGGTCTACGTCTACGCATCATGTCAGAAGTCTTTGGGGGTTTACACAAGCTCCTTGGGCTCATAACCTGTGTTTCCTGAAGCCTCCCAATGCCAACAAGTGAACCGTCCTGGAACCCTGAACAGCAACTGAGATCTCGACTCCAACCGGAAAAAGAATGTTTCAACCCAAAAAACAAAACCAAGTTTCCCCAAAACTCCAAGCAGCCACCTCGCTGCCAGCTGACGCACCTTTGTGCCACTTGACATCTAAAGGGCTTCGGTCCGGCCCAGATGCAGGTTCTTCAAGATTCCTAGACTACACCCGGAGGGTAGTAGTCTGGACTACACCCGTTGGGTAGTAGTCAAAGCAAAAGTGGAAGTATTTCCATTTGAGAATTGGATAAATAGGGATGCATGAAATTCTCACACGCAGTTATGTTAGTTTACCAGAGGGTATATAGGGGTTCTATATGATGATGTGCCCCTTAAAAAAAATGTGATTTTCCATGGCCACATTGAATTACCAGAGGGTACCAATATTTACTGTTCTTTACCACACCTTTTCCACCCACCTCACTGATGCACAGCTCCCACGTCATGTGAGATCTGGGCGCCCCAGCTGCCATGGCGCCGGCTGTTTCTGGCTGGTGAGCCATCGAAAACACTAGATGATGGGTGCAGATACGTGGTGACTCTTTTGATGCGCACCCCAAAAACCGGAATGGTTCCCACAGTTGGGGATGTACAATATTGATCTGTGGAGTTACTAAAGCCAGGTCTAACTGGAGCATATGCGTATTTGGTCAAGCAGCAAAACATGGGTCCTGCACGTATGTCGGATTGATCCTCTTTTTTGAAATCGCCCGTTTGACCCCGCAACCCAGCAAAGCACCTCAGTGACTCCGCCCTGTCATCCCCTGCGGCTAGCTCCTTCTCTCTGTTGGTCCGGGCTGTATGGCATGCTGAGATTGAGCATCTGCTGTTTTGGCTCAAGCATCTCTAGGAATCTTACGATTTTCCTTGCGGAAAATTGGCTTTCCAGCCCCTATCCCTGGGTACCTGCCATATGAAACCTCATGGGGGGGTTCCCCTTTACATCTCAAGGCTCCCTCTGCCTGGACCCCCCCTCCAAGCTGCAAGCCAAAGGGCAGCAGTGATCTAATTACCAGGCATGCAGTTCCGATTGAAGATAAGCACGTAAAAATCCTGGTGTTGTTTTAGCATCCCAGCCCCACCCAAGCCCCCAGCCATATTTTCAGACCGTAACTTTGGAGTTCCACAGAAGAACTACGGAAAACCCCATAGTTTCTCATACTCTCTGGTAATTTAACATAGCTATTGTAGATGGCCATAGAAATAGTGGATTTTCCCATTAAACATGGTGATTTTCCATCGTTTTTTGTATGTTTACCAGAGGATATTCCCCAGCCACCAGGCCGCCACGGCCACGTTTCTTTCACCCCTCGCGCATCTGCGCCGCCAGGGCGTCCAGCTCAGGGCGTCGCTTGTCCTGTTCCAGGTGCCGTCGCAACACTGCGCCCTCGGTGACGGCCGTGGGGCCGAACCAACGCTTCAGGAGCCTGGACCCAGGGCTGCCGTGGAGGGGGGAGCAGGGGCGGATGGGGATGGTGATGGTGATGTTTGGTGGAAACGTCCGAAATCTTGGAGAAATTGAAAGTTTTTAGAAGAACAGTAAGAAAATGATTGGAATCACATCACATTTTTTTTCAAACAAAATCATGTGGGTTGTACCATTTCATGTTATGAAACAATGAGAGGAAAATCATGAGATCCAACTGGGGAGTGAACTTGGGATGGAGGGAGCTCTGCAGCAAAAAGAAAAGCTGGGTCAGCTACACTAATTATAGCAGGGGCACATATAATATTTACATAACATGGTAATTAATATAGATTTAATAGATTTTAATAGTAAATAATAGCTATACATAGTGAAAAACCAAGTAATAATTGCACATATTTGCATAGTTATGCAATGTTATGCATACTCACACATGGTTACACATAGTTGTACCCAGCATTACACCATAGTTTGTACATCTGAATCACCCCATCCCCCCATCCCCCCATCCCCCCATCCCCCCATCCCCCCACCCCCCTCCCCACCATTCGTAGGCCGCTGGAAAGGCGCTCTGCACGATGGCGTTGGCCTCGCGCGCCGTCATCCGCGCGTCGCCGAACTGTTCCATGCGGGGCTGCAGGTTGGAACGACTCGGCGAGCCGACGCCGAAGACGATGCCTGGGAGGATGGTACCGCGCAAAGAGGAACGCAAAAAAACAAGAACACGGCAATTAGTGTGATCAAAAAGGATGGAAAAAATCTGTCCAATGGGTTTTTCATGGTTTTTCGTTTAAAGAAAAGGAAAACATAGATGATTATAATGTCCAATGAATGGAACCAGCCTGAAACCATGGGGATGATAGCCTAGATGCTGGAAACTTAGGAAATGAAGGTATGTCTTCGTAAATGTGGCTTGGTTGCAAGAAGTCGTACTTTTCGTTCGAAACACAAGCCTTATACATGATTTTGCACGCATAATTAGATATGCTCGGACTATTCGGGCCTGACATTCCCCCACAAAAGTTCACATCAAACAGGTAGGCCGCCTAGGCCCCAAGAAAATTCATGGACATCACCATCACAATGGCACTGATTGGAAATCTCCGAAAAGGAACACCCTTCCAGCAATGGACCCATCCAAATAGCTTCTGGTTGAATTATCTAACTGGTTGGTGGTTTCAACCTACCCCTCTGAAAAATCATGGAGTTCGTCAGTTGGGATTCTTGTCCCAATATATGGAAAAATAAAAGCCATGTTCCAAACCACCAATCAGCAAGGTAGTTGGAGATTGCTGGAGATGGTTGGTGTAGCGATTGGATGGTTCTTGATGTTCATCCAACAACTAAAATCGAACATCCCAAACCACCAATCAGCTAAACTATTCGAAATTAATCTGATGTTCAATAAGGTCGGACATCCCAACCGTTTTTTGTCGTGGCTGCGCAAGGGCTGTTCGATGTCCTTTCGGCCCGGTCTCCACCTTGGCAGACTTTCCATCCATAGGAGAACCACAGGGTTTGATCAGTTTCCATCTGAACTACCCTCTGGTTATTTAACATAGCCTAAAATAGCCATGGAAAATCACCATGCTTAATTAATAGGTAAACCATCTATTTCTATGGGCCATGGCTTCCATGGCTATGTTAAATAACCAGAGGGTAATTACTGTTTGGAGGAGTGTGCCCAATTTCGACCGCATTTCCAAGATTTTTCTTGTGTTTGTTTAATGAGTTTTATGATTTTCTGAAGGCGATGAGATTTCCTGACCAAGAGGCCAAGGAACTATAAGAATCTTAGATATTTTAGGTCGTCAGCTTTGAACTTTACGCACAAGCTTGCACACGAAAGGCCAACCCTTTGGCCCATCCCCAACATCCATCCACAATGTTTGAGTTCATTGGAACCAATGCTTTCAGAAGCCCAAACCCCCCAATCGATTAGGTTTCAAAGCTCTATAGGCCCCCCAAACCCTCCACAAAACTGACAATTCCATAAAAATCCTACCACCAATTCCAACTAACTCAACCTTTCACCCCACCTTTTTCCCCCTCCAAGGCACCCCCCATTCAAGATATCCAAGGCTCTCGGGTGCCACCGCTTCCAGCACCGGCTTCGCCCAAGTGGGCGCGAACTTGGGCCCCTCTTCCACCATGAAGCGGCCGCACTTCTTCCGCGTCTCCGCGTGCGCCAGCACGAAGTGCTTGGGCGAGCGGATGCCCAGGTACTTCCTGGGCCCAGTGGAATCAGTGGAAGCACTAGAAATCCCCTTGTGAAAGCAGGTGGATGTTGAATGATTCCTGGAGAAATATCCGGGGGGGCTGAGACTCCTGACACAAAAGCGGTCATTGAAGTTACCGATGTTGGGATCTATAGCAACACAAAGAGGGAGTAGGCCAAGATGGTTGCACTGAGAAAGTCGATCGGATTGTTGAATACAGAAAATGAACACAATCCACCCAGGGATGCCAATAAATGTGTTCAATGGAAAAAGTAGGCATCATCTGTCTGAGATCGCTGAGGATATCCTCAGATGCCAATGCCTGATTTCAGCAGTACATCTAACAGTCAGGCCAAAGCGATAAAAATTATCCCACCCAAACTGAAGCTATCTCCTGCCTTTAGCCGTTGATTCCAGAATCTTTCAAAATCATACATTCAAACTTTGCCATGATTTCCCTCCAAAAAATGCAACATATACAAAGTAGCATGTGATAATATATGATTGTAATATATATATATATATGTATATATAATATATATATATATATATACTCACGTTCATTCATTTTATCATGGCCCTTTCACGGGTCACAGCATGGTTTCCACCAAGCCGCAGAGATTGCTTGGCCGCCACCTGCGCTTGAATCGTCTCCTCAGGGGCATCGATGGGTCGGTGCTTTCCGGTGTCCAAACTGAAGCCATGTCTGGTTGGTGGTTGACCTACCCCTCTGAAAAATGATGGGGTTCGTCAGTTGGGATGATGACATTCCCAACTGAATGGAAAAATAAAAGCCATGTTCCAAACCACCAACCAGTGTGTGTTTGATGTTTTTGGGAACACCTCAAGGTGGGTGAAAGCATTGAACAAAAAGACCTACCAGCAACATTCGAACCTGGCAATTGGCCGCGAGGGGCTGTTTGAATCCCAATGAACGTACTTGGATGTGCATCCTAGTTCATGAGCGGTCTATGACTCACACATAATTGGTTATATTTTGTGTGTAACTAGGCTGTAGCATGGCTACATGACATATATGACATGTCATCGCCATGCTAACTGACTGGGGTGCAGCTCACATTCCCATCCACATCTATACTTCAAGATAATTCTATACATATCAATCCCCATCCTTTTTTCAAATCCGGAAATCTGGGGATTATCGTAGGTTATCTACATCCACCACCATCCACCTCCCATCCCAGGGCCCCCCTTGGCACCTTAGTGGCATCCGGCCACAGGCGGCACAGCACCACCCCACTGCCGTGCTCCGCGAAGTCCGCCAGCGCCACGCTGTTGGGCCGCCAGGGGCCGAAGTGCTGCGCCGTGGCGACGTACTCCACGAAGGCGCGACCAACGTGGGCCTGGGAGCCGACGGAAGATGTCCATGGTGACGTGGGATTTCCATGGTGGTGTACACAGTAACACCCAATAAACGCCCAATAGCCCCCAGAGAAAGATATAAAAAGATAAAGTATAGATAAAGTGAAATTCTAGAAATAAATTTTGTGGGGTTGATTACAACTGCTGTCATCTGTCCTTGCAATATATGTATTAATATATTATGGCAATATGATATGTGAATTGTCTATATATGTCTAAGATGTATTGTGTTGATTAGTCATTCATCCAGCTGTTTATTGATTTATTATATCTCTCTCTCTCTGCATCGGTTCAAAATCGTGGGTTTTTTGATGTTCTATTCCCCCAAAGATGAACAGCGGTCCCAAGGTATGGGGATATCCCCATTTCAGATTACAATGATTACGGGTAATGTGGTCAACCCAATAGTAACCTACCCATTTATTAATATTGGGGGTGGTTTATGATTGGGTGAATCCTACATTCTCCCCAAAATTCAGTCTGGCAAGCCACACGCAGGAAGGGAAAGTCGGAGGACATCGCGCCGCCCAAACCAATGACGCAGCGCACCATGGCGCGAAAAAAGTAGAGAAAATGATCACTATGTCACTAAGTTGGGTAATCATAATTGGATGTAAAAACAGACTCAAATCTGTGGCTCGCCAGGTCTTTGATTTTTTAGTTTTGACCCGTACTTAGTTTATGAAAGGACTCAAGGTTTTTAAACCAAACGCAAGTAGGTGATGGTAGGGGGATTGAAGACATTGTTTCTTCAACCATCGAAATGCGGTTTCTCTTTGTATATAAAAAGTCCCTCCCGAAGCAACTCCGAAAGTAAGTTTGATCAGTTGAAGGCTCAAATAACCGTAATGTGGACGTGGTTGATGCAGGGGTTTTGAGTGCCTGATCATCCACCTGAGCATTCTCGTCACGTTTGGCTCAGACAGTCAGCTGTCTTGCAGGCAGTTCCGGCGTATCTTCGAAAGTAGGGGACCTGGGGATTGAATCTTCAAAGCCCCATATAACATTACATTTTTGGGGCAGGTTTCCATTAAAATGGAATTCCCGAGCAAAAACATGCATAAAATATATGTTCCACTTGTGGGGCATTGAAACGTTCATGTTGGTACCTACACGATCAGCACGCTTGGCAACTGGTAGTTAAGCATCTACGTTTGTAATCCAGCTGTGAATGGGAGAAAGTTCCGGTACTTGAAGGACTGAAAGTACCAACACATACCATGATCCCGCAGGAGATCGAACATTGACTCCCGGTCAGCCATTCCAGTTCCTCCTGGTTTCAATTAGAGTAGAGTAACATAGAGTAACTATCCAACTCCTTTACCTCAAAACAAAATATTTAGAATTCTCATGGCTTCCATGTGACGTTTCCCGTCTGGATCAGAGAAGTCGACAGCTCCTGTCCGTCCCAGCGGCGCGGCGCCAGCCATGTTTTCGTCAAGGGATGGCCGTCTCACCCCGTCCTGCCGGCATCCAGGTCTGAAAATGCGGTAGACCCCGAAAATATCCCCTGTTTTTGGTGGCAATGTTAGGGATGGCCGGATAGTCAAAGGTGAAAAGATGTGAAAAGGATAGAAATAGAGGGGGAGGCATGTTGTGATTAAGAATCACGATTGATTCAGGTACATCTGTCGTGTGGAGCATCAATAGGCCAAATTGCTGCTGCAAAACATGTTTGAAACTCTGTTAGTAAAGCAATAGGAAGCCATCCCTAAAATTACCATTTTTATGGGTGGTATAAACCGTCAAAATATGGTGAGTTTATTATGCTGAAACATTACTTGTAAAATATGTTCCTATTAAAACATTCATTTAGTGTATTTCCCCATATCTTACCATGGTGTTCCCATTAAACGTTGGGATTTCGCTTGCCCAGAACAGCCGTGGGAACTGCCTGCAGCCGCTTCTGTGGACTGCGGATATCCACCACGCTCTGTGCCTTCCACCTGCGTTTCCATTTCTGCAGCTTTTCAGGTTTGGAAGTTGGGGAGAAACTTATGTCGTGGCTCACCTGAGCTAAGTGGGTTAGTTCACCCCAGTTACAGGTTGGGTAAAATTGGAGTGACGCTATGGGGGTGAACTACTGGGGTGAACCAACTGAGGTGAATCAGCAAGTAAGGCAACTCTTTCCTACCAAGTGCAGCCCAGTAGTGGAATCATCATCCCAATCCTCCCACATCTCCATTCCAGGTGAGAAAAAAAACATTTAAAAGAACTGATGATCATATTTGACCGGCATAACAAGGTAATCACAGAATCCATCAGCACCCGCAAAACGCCGCTGATCCAACGATGTTTCACGTCTTGTGCGAATAAGCGCAGCTGTCCCCAAATCGGCAGCAGCCGCGTTCGAAGAACCAGCAGCCGCGCGAAAATGATCCGTTGGTCCAAGATTTCGGCTCGTAGTCCTGCTGCTTGGCATCCCGGTTTCTTGTTTCCCTCAAAACTCATGTGCCCCAAAACTCCATGCTTGGAAGATTCAGATATAAGCGGAGAATATAACCATATAGGGGCCCCCTTTCCCAACTCATGTGGGGTTCTAACCATATAGTACTATCATAGTACCCATTACCCTCTGGTAATTTAACGTAGCTATTGAAAATGACCATTAATAGTGGATTTTCCCATTAAAAATCTTGATTTTCAATAGCTATGTTAAATTACCAGAGGGTAACCCCAACTGCAGCCCCAGGTGTCTACCTCGAAATAGTAGTCCCTGGGCCATTCATCTTCGAAGCTGGGCCAGTGGTACACTTTTGAGTGCCGTGACCAGCATTGGGCGCAGTAGCCGCGCCTGGGAGGAGACTGGGCCGCCAGAAATGGAGGACTCGTCCCACAGAAATTAAGGGTCAACTGACCAGCAAAAAGTGAGGAAGATTGAAAAAAAACATATGGAAGTACAGACAGAGAATTTGTTTCTGACTGGCTTGAGGGAACTAGTTTCCGGAGTGGAGAGGTGAGCACCTACCACAGGCTTCTATGAAAAAACAAGGTCACGCGCGGGTATTTAACCTGGTCTCATTTGTGTCTTCGACAGCATTTCGTCTTGTAAAATACAGGAGTTTGTGTTATTGGGGTAAATTCAGCCGTCGCGGCGCGTTTCGTTTTCACTCATTTCAATTTTCCGAGGTGAGACTTCAAGTCTGCAGTGACTGGTAAGTGGTATCGCCAAACAAAGGCATGCATATACAAAATCAATTTTTGATTCAAACCACCTTTGGACCAGTCTTTGTTGTTCAAAGAGGAAGGAATGAAACGGTCAAGCGATTGCCACCATCTGTCCACTGCTTGAGTTCCAGCAATGGTGGCTCCAGGTTTCTTCCAAGTTTTCAACTTTCGAGTGAACTGTTGTTTTCGATGCGTAACTGGAAAATTTTTGATCCTTTTCTCTTTGCACAGGCTCTCCCACGCTTTGGCTCCATCACTATAGAGACGGATTTTTTTGGAATCGCCTAAAAAGGTCATGATCTTGGATTGAACAATTTCAGACTTGGATTCCACAGGTGGACTTGCACCTGGAGGCACTAGCTTGAATGGTAAAACCTTCAAAACAATGTTGCCACCTCGTTTTGCAACCGGCCCCATGTAACTTCTGGCTTTCAAACCAAGTACTCGGAAATGTGCTTGCCAATACTTGGGCACCGGCTTGAACGGCTTTGCTTTTTGGAAGCTGGTAGCAGCAGCAGCAACTTCTTTTTGAAAGTGAGGGTTGTTTTGGCCGACGTACAGTTTGCGAAGACCATGCGCGTCGAATATATTCGTTTCAAGATACATATGGTCACTATGTTGAGAAGAAATCGAAAAAGTCGCAGCGTACAACATACATGCTGTTAGTAGCATATGGTAAGTATGGAAGATAACAACACAATCTCTTGCAAGGCTTCATATATGTGCTCCTTATCATCCCACCCCACCCCATTCCACCCAAGACGTAGCATGACCTAGCCAAGTTGGTAGCACCAGGACATGACGTCAACGTAACACGACGTTATCATCCCACCCCACCCCACCCCACCCCACCCAAGACGTAGCATGACCTAGCCAAGTTGGTAGCACCAGGACATGACGTCAACGTAACACGACGTTATCATCCCACCCCACCCCACCCCACCCCACCCAAGACGTAGCATGACCTAGCCAAGTTGGTAGCACCAGGACATGACGTCAACGTAACACGACGTTATCATCCCACCCCACCCCACCCCCCCCCCCCCCAAGACGTAGCATGACCTAGCCAAGTTGGTAGCACCAGGACATGACGTCAACGTAACACGACGTTATCATCCCACCCCACCCCACCCCACCCCACCCAAGACGTAGCATGAGCTAGCCAAGTTGGTAGCACCAGTGACGTCAACGTAACACGAGTTATCATCCCACCCCACCCCACCCCACCCCACCCACGACTAAAATACCCAAAAAACGCCCAAAACTACCAGGTTATTTATCAGCACGCCTCCAAAAACAACGCCTGGGCAGGATCCACAAAGTCCGCATGACGGACCCGGCATCAACCCATCATGGCGAATGACAAAGCTTCCAAAATCAGCAGCAAACTCATCTGGGGATCGTTCCCCAAAACAAAAAAATGTCACCTGCAGGTGGGCCAGAAAAAAGTTGTCAGAATTTACAAAGAGAACTCTCAGAACTGGAAAAGATCATCTTCCAGTGCACCTGATATCACCTGATTTTCAGGGATGCTAGTCTCGCATCATTCTTAACCCATTCTTAATCTATTCTCGGCCCATTCTCTAAGGATTTCCATGTTAACTCATCATCCCCCAACGGATCCCCAGTCCCTCGCTCCCCCGTGTCGCACATGTTGGCAGGATCGATGGCTCGCTGGGCTCGTTGGCAGTCGTAGTTGCGTGTCTTCACACTGCAAGGGTCCTGACGCTGGTGCTATGCTGGTCGCTCTTGGTGGGCGATCCAAAATACAACATCTATCTACGTACATTTAGAAGACCGGATGACCTCACCAAAGAGAAATCCCGATACAGCAAGGCGAAAAAATTAAGGATACTGCAGATGCATACTATCATACCGTACCAACACATAACAATAATAAAGTAATAATGAATCATAACAATAATGGTAGCAATAGGAATAGTAATTAATCATAAAGTAGTAATAATAATAACAATAATAAGAATAATAAAGTAATAAAACATAATAGAACCATGTTGGCACTTTTTCCCCTCTTTCCATACCAACCATCATGAAATGAGCGTGTCCAAGGCTCCGCCGGCGCTTCGCCCGGCCAGAGGCAGCCATTGATGTCCAGCAAGCCCTCCAAATGCTCAGGCCTGGGTCAAGGAATACCCTCCGGTGTCATCTTCCATGGTTGGAAGGGAGATCCTTGCACTCAATGGAGGTTTGTAGCTGGGATCATCATTTCGAATCAGGGGGTTTTCCATTGCCATGTGTGATTACCAAAGGGATTCCAAGGGTAATCTCACCTTAAATCTTCATTGCCAACCTTCCAAACAGTTCTTAGACTCTTAGACCAACAAACTCAGCACCACTCAAATTCCCGTTCTTGTTGGCTACATCCTCACAATATTTCTTTCTTAATACCCCAATGTTTGGACAAAATGCACGGACCTGGGATGGTCGTACCCCAGAACCCGCTGTTTTCACCAACATTCACCAACCAGAATGATTGATGATTAAGAATGATTAAGAATGATTAAGACATCTGTTCCCCATCTTATTCAAATATCATGTGATATCTAATCTCTCTCCATCGCCATAATGAAAGCCCGTGTTTTATTCAACAATCATCTTCTCCAACCTTTCACCCGCCATCCCCAGCCCCATCGTTGCCATGTTGCGGGGCTTTCGGCTGGGCGGCCGACGTCTTCGACTCCACCGCGAATTGATCCAGGTGCCGCTTGATGCTCTCGGCGTGGCAGCGCACCTGGGCGCCGTGGGAGGCGAATTCGATGCGCCTTGGCACTGAGAAATATCCCAAAAAATCATAGCCGTTAAACCGATATATCAATAGTTATGTATATAGTATTTATGTTTATGTAACATGCAGATAATATGTAATTGTATAGTATAAGTGTGCTATTAGGATCAAGTAACCTGGAACTCATGGAACCACTGTAAAAATGGCTTTGAAGGTTGATTTTGTTCCTGGGCATTGCCATTTTTGCATTGCATGTTCAATACTTACTGGTGCTTAGCAGTGAATGAGAGAATGATCCATAATCACTAGTAATAATCATCCCAGCAACCCCCATTCCCATCCATTCCCTACGTTTAGCACCAGGTCACCAGTAAGAATATGTATCAATGTCCAATGCCGGAAGCGTAGGCTGCTCTGCCAATGATTGGGATGTTCACCAGCGTCTAGTTGTCTACACGACCAGCGTGAATCTACTTCTGGGATCATGACGGACAGAATCACAATATTCATCCCTCAATATATGGTTAATATACTGTTAATATATGGCTATTATTAATGGTTAATGATGGTTAATAATGATAATCTAGTTGGTGGTGCAGTAACCATCTTGAAAAATGATGGAGTTCGGAAAAATGGGAAAGATGACATCCCAATACATCCCTTCGATATGAAATGGAACATCATCCAGCCATGTTTGAAACCACCAACCAGTGCCATTCCGCTGCGGAGGTCTCTACAGTCTGCCCGTTCCACCGCACTCCCTGCTGACTCAAGCCACGTGCGGCCGACAATGACCTGGATTGAATTGCACAGGTACAGCAGTTGCAGCTTAGCACTTTTTGGGGGGTGCTAGTTCCCCCCTGTTGAAAACAACCAGGTCATAATACGCATTTGGGGTTAGTATAATTTGATATATCGGGTGAAAATTCACCAACCTGACATCAACCTGAAATGAGGTTGGGGTGGGGCGACGTCTCATGTCAATCATCCATTTTGCCAAATCAGTTAAAGTTGCGATTGTCAATTGCGATGATTTCCTTCGCTACTGTGACTATATCATGGGGGTCATAGTCTGATATAATCCTAAGTTTTCCAGTCTGGAGGTCGACCGCAAGGCATACCAATGCCAAGCTTTGAAAGGATTTTCCAGGCCAACATTTACATTCAGCTCTTCTGTCAGTTTGACGCCTCCCCATTCTTTAAAAGTTTAAGTTTGGACACGGGTCATGACACTCACAACATACCGATATCCATGACGATCCATACTTATGTTGCCACTGGTTGCCACTCAAGAACTCGGATGCATTCGATTTGATTCATCTAAAATCTCAAAATCCACCCATCTTTCTTCCTCAAAAAAAATCAGACCTCTCGGAATTTCAGGCCATCAAAACTTCCCCCCACCTTCTCCCATCCCCATGAACACATCCGCACCCGGTCACGCCATGCCATGGCACACAGCAGCCTGAGCCGCGTGCCCCGCGCCACCTCCGCCGCCAGCCCCTGCAGCGCTGAGAGCACCTCCTCCCGCGGCGGCTGCGACAGCTGCCAGGCCTCTGACAGCTCCAGAGAGCTGCTCTCGGCGATGCCTTGGGGGTTGATGTGAGGGGAACAAACCATGGGAAATAGGAAAACCATGGCAAAAAAGAGAGAGAGAGATAGATAGATAGATGGATAGATGGATAGATGGCTAGATGGATAGATTAGATAGATTAGATAGATTAGATAGGTTAGATAGATTTAATAGATTAGATAGATTAGATAGATTAGATAGATTAGATAGATTAGATAGATTAGATTAGATAGATTAGATAGATTAGATAGACTAGATAGATTAGATAGATTAGATAGATTAGATAAAATAAGATACGATAAGATAAGATAGATAGATAGATAGATAAGATAGATAAGATAGATAAGGTAGATAAGGTAGATAAAATAGATAGGTAATGATAGATAGAAAGGTAATGCTAGATAGATAGATAGAGAGATAGATAGAGATAGATAGATAGATAGAGATAGATAGATACAGAGATAGATAGAGAGATAGATAGAGATAGATAGAGATAGATAGAGAAAGATAGAGATAGATAGAGATAGAAAGAGATAGATAGAGATAGATAGAGATAGATAGAGATAGATAGAGATAGATAGGGATAGATAGAGATAGATAGAGATAGATAGAGATAGATAGAGATAGATAGAGATAGATAGAGACAGATAGGGACAGATAGATATAGATAGATATAGATAGATATAGATAGATATAGATAGATATAGATAGATACAGATAGATATAGATAGATATAGATAGATATAGATAGATATAGATAGATATAGATAGATATAGATAGATATAGATAGATATAGATAGATATAGATAGATATAGATAGATATAGATAGATATAGATAGATATAGATAGATATAGATAGATATAGATAGATATAGATAGATATAGATAGATATAGATAGATAGGTAGATAGATAGGTAGATAGATAGATAGGTAGATAGATAGATAGGTAGAAAGATAGCTAGATATAGATAGATAGATAGATGGATAGATAGATAGATGGATAGGATAGGATAGGATAAGATAAGACAAGAAAGAAGGATGGATAGATAGATTAGATAGACCAGATAGATTAGATAGTTTAGTTAGAGATAGATAGAGATAGATTGAGATAGATTGAGATAGATTGAGATAGATAGAGATAGATAGAGATAGATAGAGATCGATATAGATAGATATAGATAGATATAGATAGAGAGATAGATAGAGATAGATAGAGATAGCTAGAGATAGCTAGAGATAGATAGAGATAGATAGAGATAGATAGAGGTAGATAGAGATAGATAGAGATAGATAGAGACAGATAGGGACAGATAGATATAGATAGATATAGATAGATATAGATAGATACAGATAGATATAGATAGATATAGATAGATATAGATAGATATAGATAGATATAGATAGATATAGATAGATATAGATAGTATAGATAGATATAGATAGATATAGATAGATATAGATAGATATAGATAGATATAGATAGATATAGATAGATATAGATAGATATAGATAGATATAGATAGATATAGATAGATAGAGATAGATAGATAGATAGATAGATAGATAGATAGATAGATAGATAGATAGATAGATATATAGATAGATATAGATAGATATAGATAGATATAGATAGATATAGATAGATATAGATAGATATAGATAGATATAGATAGATATAGATAGATATAGATAGATATAGGATAGATATGATAGATATAGATAGATATAGATAGATATAGATAGATATAGATAGATATAGATAGATAGATAGATAGATAGATAGATAGATATATATAGAGATATAGATAGATATAGATAGATATAGATAGATATAGATAGATATTAGATAGATATAGATAGATATAGATAGATATAGATAGATATAGATAGATATAGATAGATATAGATAGATATAGATAGATATAGATAGATATAGATAGATATAGATAGATATAGATAGATATAGATAGATATAGATAGATATAGATAGATAGATGGATAGGATAGGATAGGATAGGATAGGATAGGATAGGATAGGATAGGATCGGATCGGATAGGACAGGACAGGACAGGACAGGATAGGATAGATAGGATAGATAGGATAGATAGGATAGATGGGGATAGACTAGATAGACTAGATAGACTAGATAGACTAGATAGACTAGATAGACTAGATAAACTAGATAGAGCAGATAGATTCGATAGATTGGATTAGATTGGATTAGATTGGATTAGATTGGATTAGATTAAGATTAGATTAAGATTAGATTGATAGAGATATACATATTTTCAGACTACACAAGGTATCACAAGGTATCGATGTTTGATGGATCCTAATGGATCAACCGAACCGAGTTGCGGTGTACCTCCTCCGAAAGGCTACGGCTGGGGTTGGTCTCCAAGACCGCCTGAGGCGCCAGGACTGCGGCTTTCATTGCGCATCAATAAATGGGGATTGAACCAACTCTACATGCAGTGGTTATTGTTTTCAAATGGGATTTAATGGGATTTAATGTGAATTAATGACTTTTTTAATGGCACTTAATGTGATTTGAGGTGATTTGTAGGATTTCAGGGGATTAATGAATGGAATCATACCCCCTACCAGGCCCATAAGATGTTGAAGCTTTGAGGGATGACTGAGGGTTGACCAAAAAAAACTGTATAAACTCAACATTTACCAATGCATGTCATTGTGGGCCACCACCCATAATAACATCAGCTTGGCTTGATTGTTTTTGCTTTGTATATGAACTGTCCCCAGTGTCCTCTGTGTCCCGGCTGGCAAAGTCTTTTTTCTCTGCAATTTCCTTCAGCCGCACCTTGTGCAGCCTCTTCTGGTACAAGACTTCATGATGCTCGCAATAGTTCTTTCCACCTGCCCTCTGACTCTTACATCGCCAGCGCTTCATGCCATATTTGCACCGCTCGGCGGGGTCTGGCATGGGCTCAAGGTGCTTCTTGTCGGGAGGCCGCAAGGGCGTGTAAGCCTCACGCAGCTTTTGAAGCCTCTTGTGGTTCAAGGCCTCATGATGCTCGCAATATTTCTTGTTGTTCACCCTCGGCCGCTTACATCGCCAGCCCTTCGTAGCACAGTTGCACCGGTCTGCGCTGTCCGGCAGCGGCTCACTGGGCTGCCGGCTCCGCTTGGGTCCCTGGCGCAGCGGCTGTCCCTTCAGGTGGGGCGTGCAGCGGATCCCGGCAGCTCCCAAGCCATCGGCCTCCACCCGGCCGCGCGGCTGGGAGCGGCAGCCCGGTATGTTGCAGACCCGGCCGCCGTGCAGCCAACAGGCGCGACCCGCAGGGCCAAGGTGATCGCCTTCGGCCTTGCCCCAGGCCTGACGTTGGCAACCTGTGGCAAGGGCAAACACCAGGTAAGGAGGGAAGTCTGGTAAGCTGCGTGATAAGTTTCTGCTATTTGTTCAGCATCACAAGCATCAAAGCGACCAGTGATCGGTGATAGGACATTGATCAATAAACGTTCGAAAACAATCATTATCTACTGAGTCTACTGTTTTGTCTGTTTTGGTTAGACATGTCAATCAATGTTCTGCTCTTGGCCACTCGCCTGGCACTCTGCACCCGCAGCCATGCACTGTGCAGCGGAGTCCGGCCGGCCCCATCTGGTCAGCTGGGCGCACTGCTTTGCCTGCTCGGCCACAGCCCGGCACCACGCAAGTGCTCAAAGTAGGTGAATGGATCACACAACGCCTGCCAGCAGCTCCAAACCTGGCATTTTCTGAAGTCTGCGAGGCACCTCCAATTTTTTTTGACAATTTAATCTATAATTTACGTTATGATGAGGAGAAGGGGAGGGAAAAAAAAACGATAAACTACGGGATTTGGGGGATGCCTGGCACAAATGAAACACCTTCTACATAAAATGTTGAATGCGGTATATTTTTTGTGGGGACGTGGGGGTCAGGGGCAAATAGAAAGTTGCCTCAAGCAAATGCAATCCTGGAAACTGGTCTGCTTCGAGGGTCTGGCATTTGGCAAAGCGCTTGCAATTCAAAACGTTGCACTCGCGGGCGCTGTGAACGCAGCAGCGGGTGCCGGCCGGTCCAAAGATGTCGGCTTGGTAGACTTTTGCCACTCTGGATCGGTTGCACCCCACCACATTGCAGAGCCGTTTCGGCTGATGGGCTTTGCACCGCCATGCCACATCTCTGAATCCACGGCGGTTGATCTTCATGCAGCCAGCAACAGAGCACTGAACCTTCTTGCGCTTCAGCGTGGGTATGTTGAGCTTCCGCGGCCTTCCTTGGCTTACCAACTTGTAGAGCTCGGTGGATGATTGGCAGATGTCCCGCCATGCACTCTTCAAGGCAGCAGGCCAAGGGTTTGCTAAAAAAAGACGTGAGAGCTCACGACACAAGCACAAGGCCGGCTTGATGCTGAGCACCTGCCCAAAATCTTGTGCCGACAACCAGCAAAGACAGGTGGTCAGAAGGCAAGCAAAAGCTGTTTGCAATTCAACATTGGGAGTCTGATGGGGCCCACCGGCCCCACCACTGAACTTGGCTGACCACGCATGGCAGTCCAACATCACATGCACCCCGGCGAGGCAGCAGCTGAACACCTCACAAATCCTGCTGCCATCTGAGGTGAGCCTTCCATGCTCGTAGCTCTCCCGGAGCTCGTTGAGGCATTGCTTCACCGACTCCACATCCCCTCGAAGCTGCCACTCCTCGGCAAAAGCCGTCATGGCTGGGCACGGCGGTAGGGCAGGAGGGAACTGCTCGAAGGTGTCGCTGGGCACGGTGTATGGCTCCGAAGCATCGGTGGACAGCTCCACGGCCTTGGCGCGTTCCTCACCGGAAGCTTCATCAGCACCAGGCCTCTGTGCGGCCTGAAACTTCACCCGAACCTGTCTGAAGCCATGGACCCCTGCACTGGGAAGATGATTGGGCAGGCTGGGGTCTGGCTCGCCTGTGGCCAATCTTGCCAACAGACTCAATGGGACGTGGCAGGTGGGAATGATGTAAAACTTGTCCTCCCAAGTCTCCGACAGCTTTCGCAGCCGCAAGCCATGGGGCAGGACATCCCACACTTCCCCCGACATCCATGCCTCTTGCATGGGGGCTTGACTCAAGCCTTGAATGGGTCAGAGCCAGAGATATGCCATGGTGCAGAAGTGGAACATGGAAGCTCAAAAACCGGGTCCAACTCCAAGGCTCTGGTTCAAAGGACAATTTTGAGGTGCCACTGTTGAAATTCAACCCTACTATCGACTCTACCAGACATCCATGTGGTTGGTCCATGTCAGAAACTTCCTCACTCAGCGCCTGCAGGTACTGATCGAAGGCTGCCACCAACACCTCGTGCTCCTCCACCCGCCAGCCGTTCTCGTCCGGCGCCGGCCGCTGCTTCTCGGGGTCGCGGTAGGTGCAAGCACCGAAAGGGTTCCCCAGGCAGGTAGAACCTGGGTAGGTCGCGGGGATCACAAGGGGCAACTGGGAACCCAAAGAAAAATGTGGATTTGGCCAACAAGCAAAAGAGTTTTACCCACAGAGGTGATAGATTTCATTCAGAAAAAATAGGGGTGATACTTGATGCTACCAAGAAAACTGGCAAACATGGGGGGCGTATGGGGGGGCGTATGGGGGCCATTAGGGTGTTGCTGCCAAGAATTGGCTTTTGAGGGAGGTTCCCAACAAAAAGATGGGGATCGAATGATCGAAGATTCAGACATGCTGTGTGGGCCACAGAGACATCGGAAGAACCAACGGTATTTCCAGGACCCTCCTGAAGCTTCGCCAAGGATCGGTTGCAAACCACATCGGTGGTGCCCAGGCGAGGCAGGTCCCAGAACATCGCGTGCTCCACCACACCGATGGACACTTGGCCTTCGCGCGGGTTTCTTGCCATAAATGCCATCACTTTTAAGCCATTTCAAACCATCTCAAACCATCTCAAATCGAACGGTTTTTTCAAAATCACTCAAGAATCATCCAATTTATCATCAATTTCCGGGACTTTGCATGGTTTTATGATCTCTAGTCTACTAAGTCCAATACTAGTTTCATCATTTTCTATCATATTCTGATATATTTTTTGGGCCAAGAATCCACCCTATATCTTTCTCCCCGTCTTCCACCGATGGCACCTTGCCATTTCTCTGCCAGCTTCTCCTGCCAGGGCCAGGCTTTAAGCTCGGCCGCCGAGTGAGCGAACCTCGGTGATTCAGCTGGTGTGCTCTGAAGAGGTACCCTACAGACATAACTAAGGTACCCTCTGGTTATGTCAAAATAGCTATTGAAAATGGCCATTTATAGATATTTATAGTGGATTGTCCCATTGAACATGGTGGATCTTTCCATAGCTATGTAAACGTTTACCAGAGGGTAACTAAGCCATTTCTTTCATTTCAGATACCTTGCAGAGATATACTAGCTATTATACTGTAGATTATTATAGACTATAAACATCTATAAACCATTTATCCAAACTTTAAGACCCGAAATTTCACTTCAGATAGGTGGAGCGATAATGTCAGTGATAGAACTTAGATTGGGAATGATTGAGAGTTGTTTACCCCCAAAAAAAACTGGGGAAAGCAGAACCTTCGGAACGATTTAGGGAGATATGATGGGTGTATTTTCTGGGGATTTTCCAACCAACTAACCCATCCCGTTGATGTGCGCAAAACAAGGCTACGCCCAATGGAGATCAATGGGGTGTGTAGCTATAAAATATAGGGGTCGTCTCCCTACTTGCGCGGGTAAAAAAACCTAACCAATGTTAACTATACAACGTAACCCATGGGCATTTCAATGGTTGGCCAGTATGTTTCATCATATGCTACTCGAGATGCTGGTGGTAAAAAAATCCTTGGGCTGATCCTCCAGTTGAGCTGGGGTGCTTTGTGAATAAATCATTTGCTTGATCCTTCGGTAGTTCAAACAGGTTCAAATTGCCATGAACATCAAAACATGTCAGACTTGTTCTTGTGACAGTGAATGAAACACTATGCTGATTGATGGGTGGACATCAAATAATCAAAGATACAGACATACCGTGTGCTGAAGCAAGATCTGATTATTTGCACAGGAACGTAATATATGCAGAGACTGTTCAAATAAAACGATCGATTGACCATCAGGTAAGTCAGGTAAACCACTATTTTCCAAACGGCGTGACATGGTCATCAAACAAATCAGTTGCTTGATCATCAAATACCATCAAATACCGTTTCTTTCGATAAAGATAGACTAATCAAAACCATGTTTCTTACCGTCAAGGGAATAGTAATTTTACATGCCAAGTCTTGTGGGGTACAAAGCCCATCTGCCAAGATCCGCGAACTAAATGGAGGTTAGCTGGCAAAATCATCAAACTAAATGAATGATGGATTTTCCAGCAAAGCATGTTACATGATGTTATATACATGTTTGATTCCTGGAGGGTCAACCATCCATTTTTAGGGGATTACCCCAATTAAACCTCTGCATTTACCCTCTGGTTATTTAACAGTTCGCCATGGTATAGATGGTTATTTAACATAGCCATGGAAAATGGCCCATAGAAATAGATGGTTTATCTATTAGTAGCATGGTGATTTTCCATGGCGAACTCTTAGTCATAACCAGATGGTACTGTAAAGGGTGTTGTCCATTGCCAAGCTTGATTACAGGAGGGTTTGTTACAGAAAGTCTGAACTCTGCCTTGAGGCCCCAGACGTGCAACTCTCACCCAGGCCTTATATAGACGAGGCGGCTGGGATACCCAAAAAATCACACCCTTTGGAAGAAAGTATGAGGTTGGTATTAAAAGTATTGAAGTATCTTAAACTTAGGATTCTTGAATTTGGATGAGTTTAAGTATCTTAAACTTAGGATTCTTGACTTTTATGACTTTGGGATGTTGAGATGTTGGGGTGATGCGCCTCAAATTCCGGTCCACTGTGCCAATGGGGACTTAAAAAAAACAGGGAGGAAGTGACCTCCCGCAGGCATGGATAAATCACTGACAGCAAAAACATGGGTCTTGAATATGTCGAAATCTAATCAATTTGGGATGCACCTGTCATCATCAGACCGTAGCCACCTGGTTTGGGTCCCAAGAAAAGCCCCAGAAAAGAACAGATTTTGTCGTGTTGGGGTGGAGCACTCGATGTTGACCCATGCATCTCCTCAACAAACTCAATTAGCATGGAGCTTCAAATAAGCATATCGCAAGGTCACATCATCTTTGGGACCCAAGTTTCCAAGTACCATCTGACATTATACCCATGCCACCTTCACATGAATTCTTTGGAGCTGGATACGTCATAATCCTATCCTCGGATTAAACCCAGAAACAATATGAAACAATTATTCTGGATGTAGGCTGCTTACAGTGCTTACACATAGGGACCACATAATAGGGATGTTTAATGCCTTGACCTGCCATTCGCCGCCTTGCCAGGCTTGCCATGTGCCAAGCCGCTGCAGGGTGCCTGAGCCACAATCGCCTCAGCCAGCTGAGCACATAGCTATAGCATGCTGCAAACCAAAAAAAAAAAAAAAAAAGGACAAAAAGTCCACGAAAGTAGTTGTAATATGTTATAATTATATGAAAGCCTACCTTAAAACAGTACAAAACAGTGATAGATTACGTTTCCGTGTCTACATAGTCATGGGAAATAATCCCAACCATAAATGGAGGTTTCGTTCGCTGGGAAAATCATCTATTCTATGGGCCATCTATACCATGGCTATGTTAAACAAACAGAGGGTACATTCTTTTACTATGATCGGGTTCCATCTTCGTCTGTCACGGTGGTTTTTGGCCACTGCCACTGTGGGGTCCAAGCGACCTTGCAGCGCCGCCGCTTGTAGAGGTCCGTTCCCCACGTCCACTGCGCCATGGCACGCACGTGGGCCAAGGCTGGTGGAAAGGTACCTACTGACGTGGATGGGTAGGGAAAAGGAAGAAAATCATGGAAGATCCATGAATTAAGCCATCATCTGTCCACACATATCCAGATCTATCCTCTGCAGGTTCACAGTCGCCTTGAAGGGTATCAACATGAGATCACCTAAATGGAAACAAGGCCAGCTGGCATTCAGTAGGCATCTCATTTCATCATGAATTTCCAGTTCCCAAGACTTGAGTTCACAAGTCTTCGGAAGAAAATTGGCTGATCTTGCCAGGTTGGATTCTTACAACCCTGGCCACTCCAATGAGCGATGGCATGCTGGACCCTTTCTGCTGGAAAATGCCCCGTGGGTCCGTGGCTGCCTCCATGTTCTACTGGCTATTTGAGCCCAGCTTCCGGGGTGTTTTTTGTGCCGAGGATGATGTACCAATGAACACTGCTCCCCAGCAATTGGTACTGTGCTGTCTCCACTTTCAACAACCCTAAACCCTTACAGTAAGGCCAATTTTAATGCTAATTTCATGTAAGTGAATCATATGTGCGAGATCGCTGCTTGGTTACCAGGCATATTTCACATATCCCATACATCTCCCTGGCAGCTGTGACATATTGGGATGACCAGCTGTTCCATCCCCCATTTCGAACAAATCGTCACATGGAATCCCGAAAAAAGAAAACCACTATAATGGTCCCATATTATACCGCGAAATCTATATATGTCCCATATTATAGTGGTTTAACAAATATTATGGTGTGTATTCACCACTAAAATAATGGACCCAGCAGAGTTTGTTTTGGGTGTTCACTATTGCATTCCATCATGACGATAAAAAAAAAGAATAAAAAAAACACAAACCAAGACACCAAGCACATAAGGCATGTACTTCCATCTTAGTATCCTCAACTTGGGGGTGCAGTTCCAGTTCCAGTCACTGTTACAGAATATATACTATATAAATCTGTTTTCTTTGTTTAGACCAGAGGCTCATGAAGTGGTTAAAACTCCCCATGATTCGCCTGGTTATAACCCAACCTAGCTACAAAAAAATGGTTCAACCAGCCCCCAGACCGATCGGCCTTTGCTTCAGCTTCGCTCGGCTCCGCTTCCGTCGGCTCCGTCGGCTCCCGCGGCTCCTCTGCCTCCGTCCTGAAGGAGGTGCAGCTATGGCAGCTATGGCAAATCATCCTCTTTATAACAAGAAAATTACCATCTGGTTATTTAACATAGCCATGGAAAATCACCATTTTCAATAGGTAAACCATCTATAAAGGGCCATTTCCCATGGCTATGTTAAATAACAAGAAAATTAACGATTCATTGCCATTTTCCATAGCCATGATACTTTACCAGAGGATAAAGAAAATGGTATTGCCTTCCAAACTGACTATTCGGCTATTTATCTGATGTTAGTTGAAGTTTGGAAGGCCCAAACCAACTCCAAAGATTCGCATCCGACTAAATACATCCAAATCTGCACCCCAACAAAGATGTTCAAACAAAATGCCTAAAGACCCCAGCCCTACCTGGAGTCGCTGGAAGTTCCAGAGGCTCCGAACCTGAGGCACCAACGTCTTCAACCGAGGCACCTATGGGTCTAAAATGATTTTTGGACTTCTCGGGGAATTGTCTAATTCTTTGATAAATGTCGGGGTGTGGGATGTTGAACCCTTCCTGTGAATACTGTGCATATCTGATCATATCTGTACAATCTCTGGATCTCCGTGGTATTGATTTGATGTGGGGTCTGGTTCTTGACCTTACCATGACATCGGCATCATGCGCCACTGGCACAAACAGTGTGATAAAATTAAATTTCAGGCCAAGCTATATATTGCTACTTCAAGGAGGAAAAAAAATGGGGAACAACACATATTCGTGCGAATAGACCTGACATTTACAGCATCTTGCTGATTCGTGGGTCCAAGTTCAAGAGGAACTGGCTATAAACATCCAACATTGACCCTAAGATCTGTAGCCCTCTGACTAACAGTTTGCTATTGAAAGTTGCCATAGAAATAGTTGATTTATCCATTAAAAATGGTGATTATCCATAGTTATGTTAGTTTACCAGAGGGTACCTGTGTCACCACCGCCACATCCTTAGGGCTGCCACTGTGACAACAGCGCATCGGCAGCTTCTTTCATGGCAGCAACCTGCAGGTTAATCCACCGCCCTAGCAGTCGGGGGCACTCCCAATGCCATGCAAACAAACTCGGAAGAAATGGGCTTTAATGCCTCATCATATAGGTCTTGAACACTGTTGAATGGTTCGATACCTAGTCACACCCCAAAATCTTTAACAGAGAAAAACTTGCCAGAGAAAATGGTTTTGTCATTGGGCATGGCATTACCATTGTACGCTACCATTTAGCGTTTTCATCTCCCGATGTCCAAGTCCAAGGGGTGCGGAAGGACTGATCACCCCGTCCTCCTCTTCCGCCTCATCCTTGCCCTCCTCCTCCTGGAAGGAATAAGTTTCGGGGGTGAGGGTTTTCCCTTCTGGCGAAATCTAAAAAAATAACAAACTATGGAAAATATATGGAAAATAAATGAAAATAAATTAAAATGTTAAAACACTTGGGCTATTATTTGGAGGAAAAACTATTTTGGAAAAATATGGGTCGTCTTGGTGAATGTTTGATGGGAAATTTTGAGCGTTGGGCCTGCTATGTCCCTTATTATATAAGTCCGATTGCAGTCAAACTGCAACATCGGTTCCCGCAATGAATACCCAACTTCAAATCAAAGGTCTTATGTCTTTCTATCCCCTTGGCCCACCTCCGCCACACTTGCTGCCGATGCTTGAGCCGCCGCCTTTTGCTCCTGAGGATGGGAGCATTGGATGATCCCTGAGAGTAGATGGCAGGTGGGGTGCAAGTTGAGGCCTTCTCACTATTGACTAACCACTTAGCCTCCAGCAATCCATGGCACTTGAAGAATATTAAAAGACCATCACACCGAAAAATCTCGTGCACATGGATGCCGAAAATACCGGAGAGTACCACCTTTTTTTTTAATTCCTTAAGCCTTAAGCCTACCGTTGAACATGTTGGCCAATCATTACCCTCTGGTAATTTAACATAGCTATTGAAAATCACCATTTTTAATGGGAAAATCCACTATTAATGGTCATTTTCAATAGCTATGTTAAATTACCAGAGGGTAAATCCCGACTTTCGGATTTCCCGCTTCCCACCTTGGCATCTTTAACATGTCGAAGTTGCTGCGCCATCTTGGATCCTTTGCCCGGCCGTTTCTGCCGCAAGGCTCCTCAGGGCGGCGCAGCTGAGTTCCCCTGAAAGGTTGGTGTTGATGCCTTGGTTGCAACCAAGCAAAACCCCCCAAAAAAAAAAACACAGAAAACAATTGCTGAATGTATACATCATATTTTCCGCGGCTGGCACTGTGTCAAGGCTCCAGAGCCGTTGTGCAATCAGAAGGCCAGTTTATGGCGGCATATGTGTCTAAGCTGCTATCGGAAGCCGCGTCAATGAATTGACTGGGTATCCCAACCTGCCTTTGCTTTGGCAAAAATGGGATCAACCAATGAAATCTAAAAATTGCCAAGGAGGTCCTAAGGGCATCTCTCACTCTTCAACTGCAACATGCGGAGCCTGCAGTGAAGGAAACCGCATCTGCTCATGTCCATGAAGAGTGCTCGAGTTGCACCAGTTAATCTCTCACGGCACATGGGACACTGGCGAAGTTGGGACGATGCATGGCACTGTGTGCACAGCGTGTGGCCGCATGGCATAAGCGCCACCAAATGCCGAGTCTCTTGGCAGATGGGGCACTTGCCCCTGATGCCCTGAGGGGTGGCTTTGGACTTGCCAGGGGCTTCGGCCGGCATATTCCATTCTGCAAAAACCTCCACTTTCTTCCCAGGATAAGCCATAGCACCAGCATTCGTGAAGCCAAGTTCATCAAGCTTTTGCTCCAAGAGCGCTACAGCCTCATCCCGGGCACGGTTAGGAACATCTGCGTACATTTTGTGGTGAATATTGTAACCATCCTCTGCCGAAGACTCGCATCCTTCCATGAAGTCGTTCAGCGTCTCTTTGACCCACGGCTCGCAGTGCCGCTTGCGAGCAGCCTGGGCTTTGTTCGCGAGTTTCTGTCCGAAGGACATAGCCTGGGAACAATAGATGCGATTGAGCACAAAGGCTTGAGCTCCCAAACTGCCCGTGGAGAATGAAAACTATAGCAATGCATTTGGAGCATGGGGGGATGCAAGACCCTCAGGCACCGAAACCTCGAAAATGATTCCAAGATTTGCAAACATCCAGGAAATTGATGTGAAAGCATGTGGTTGTATCTGCCTTTTTCAATTTCATGCCTGCAAAACACACTGCCGCAAGCTACCTGCTGAAGCCATGTGATTTTTCCAAATTGTCATGCTTGAATCTCAAGCAGCTATCGCATAAACGCGTGGTGTTTTGGTCTCATGGCTCCCGGTTTCCCTGTCAGAATGCTCAGAATGCTAGCTAAAAGCGTCTAAACAAAAAAAACACTTGGCAAATCTTGGCAGTTTGCACCGGGCACATTCTTGTGAAATGCCCAGGGGTGCCACATAAATTGATTGGACCTTTGTCCCTGTTTCAAATTTTGTGAAGCTATCCCAACTAGCCATGAGAACTATCCGGAGTGGGATCTAGACATTTATATAAACCAAAATTCCGAACTGCCTCGGCAGAATCTCTCACTGTTCAACCGCAACATGCCTCGCAACGAAGAAACCGCACAGCACGAAGTGACCTGTGACGATTTCCATGAAGGCTGCTGCATCTGAGCCACACGGGGCTATACCATTCATGACCATTCTTGCCAAGCAATTCATTCCATAAAAAGCGCCCGGGTTGCACCCGTCAAGTTCTCACGGCACATGGGGCACTGGCGAAGCCCCGAAGATTTCTGGCACTGTTGACACACTGTGTGGCCACAAGGAGTGAGAGCTACCAGGTGCCAATTCTCGTGGCAAATGGGACAGGTGCCTTTGATGCCCTGGGGCGTCGAGTTCGTCTCGTCAGGCATCTGGGCCATGTTCCACGTCACATGGGCGTACACATTGTTGTGCCAATTGAGGACCACCGCCTTACTTGTGAAGCCGAGATCCGCAAGCCTTTGATCCAACAGGGCCATCGCATCCTCTGGGAACAGGCTTGGCCTAGGTTGGATCACACACGCAACACAATGGCCCTGCGCCGCCTTTGCCTCACACTCCGTCATGAGCTTTCGCAGAGTCTCCTCCACCCACGAATTGTGGGAGTCCACACAAGCAGCGAGGCTTCTCTGCCCCAGCTCTTGCGCGAAGGACATCAAAAGCACTGACTCTTCGGGAACGACGGAACGACGTTAGATGGATGCTGGCCTTGGCCTTGGCTTGAGATCATCAATCCTGTGGGGGACCCTGGCTTGTGGCAACATGTGGCAACAACGGTGAGTGGCACAAACGAGCTGGCAGAAACAGCACATCCCTGATGCTTCAAAGATCTTCAGCTCGATTGGGATCAGCTTTAAGAAGGCAACCAGGCCAACTTGGAAACAGCACATAGCTACAGGATGGGGCCCCCCAGTTATAAGTTGGTTTATAAACCATTATAATCCCCATTAACTATAGCTATATCTACGATAAACCATTGTTAAGCCACCCTGTAGCTGCCAAGAACCAAGCCGTTGTGAAACTCGGCTGAGGGTCAACCAGGCCCTGGGTGGCACACGTTCCGGTCGCTTCTTCTTCACCAAGTAGACCTCCAGTGGCACCTCGGGGCGAAGCGCGAAGCGCGACGCTCACGCGACGCATGGTGGGGTTTTAAAGGCCCTATCCCCGCCTGAAAGTTCCCAGGGCAAAAACCAAACAAAATCACCGGTGGTGGGACGAAACAACTGAGGTGCCAGGCACTACTCATCTCTTCGTCATCGACACCTGATGGGCGAAGCAAAGAGCCCAGGGGCCCAGGGTCAGCAGGAAAGGACAGCTGGGCCATTAAAGAAAGCCCTTTAGGGGGGTTTAAGGGTGAGTGTGGAAGGGTGTGAAATTGTTCAGAAACTACAGAAGCTCACAAGTTTAAACATTTTTCCATCCAATATAAAATCGTCTGGAGTTGTTTGGCCGACTTGACCTTGTTGAGTGTTGTTGGCTGACTGGGATTAACCTCAGTTTCAGGGAACCATGCAGCTAACCGCAACTGGCCAACGATGACCATGACTCAGAGGTCATTCAACTGGGGCTAGCAGGATCATATGCATTCCATCGCGTTCCCGATCCATTCTTGGGTAGACATCACTCATTTTGGGAGGTTGAAAACCCCCTTTTCTTTCAATGTCTGCCATGTCTGCTGCCAAATCACTCCACTTTGGGTTTGGTTTCAAATCACTCTTGTTGATCTATTTATCAGAAGCAAAACCTTAAAATCAATTAAAATCCACTCCCTTTTGTTTATCTATCTATTTATATCTATCTATCAACAGGAGGAGGAGGAAAAAAAAAACTCAAAAGTCCATCCATTTCTGGTTGGATGACCCTGATGACCTTCCCCCAGGCCCTCCACCAGCCCTCGGCCGCCCGGCCCAGGTGCAAGGTCCTTAGGTCGTAACCCATCACCGAGTCACCCACACGGATGCTGCCACCTGTGCACCCACGGCTTTTTGAAGGCTTGAAACATCTTGAAACCCCACTGCCCTTGGCAAAGTACCCTCTGGTTATGTCAAAATAATAGCTATTGAAAATGGTGATTATCCATAGTTATGTTAGTTTACCAGAGGGTAAATTATAATATTTCACGAACCTGAATAGTTCGGCCATTTTGGGATGATTCCCCATAAATAAACCATGATTCCAGGGTTCGGGAGAACAGTGAGGTCGTGATTAAATTTACCCAGAAGTATCATGAGTCCCAACTTTCAAAACCCAAAATATGGGGGATCGTTTCCCTAGTAGTCGACCAGCAGACATCTGGCATCCACATCACCCAGTCCCCAAGGACCAGACCCAGGTGCGACCGCACCAGCAAGCGCTCATCCTCAGGCACATCACCGGAAAGATTTCTATAAACCACGCAGGTTGAGTAAACTTCTATGATTACCCCAGGTCTTATTTCCACCCAAAACATGTTTCAAGTTCAATGCATTTCAATTTCAATGTGTTCACCAGCAGTTATTGGAAAAAAACCTTGGCAGTTCAGGATGTGTCAGGATGGGCCAAAAAAATGCCATGGCAATGGCATGCAATGGCCATCTCCTTCCATCGACCTTGGCCCCCAGGCATTTTTGCCAAAGTCCGAAGCCCTCGCGACTTCCACTTCACACGGCACACCTGCAGCACGGATCAGCACCCTCCGGGTGCTACCTGTGCCTGTGAGCCCCGAAACATCCGCCAGAAGGAGGGGTTTCACATGGTTTCACACTTTGAATTGTAAGAAATACAGCATACCAGTCAACAGTGCATTGTGCCCGAACAATCCCGAACACACATTGCTAGCCCGGCCAACGTTCATGATGCGCCTCGTGACCCTGGAGCAGCATGGCCCACGTCCTCGTCCACGTCCAAGACGATGAACTCCTCAGTGATGCGGAGCGATGTGTCAAATGCGCGGCAAGGTAGTGAGGAATACGCCAAAAAGATCCAGTTGGACCCTCTCAATAGGCTGGAAAGGATGAGCCTCCACAATCTTATCGTGTTGTCTTGTGTTGGTTTTCTTCGCTTTTCTGATTTGGTCATCTCTTCTTAATGATGCCTCGTTCAATCTTTACCATTTCTATCCATTTCTGGCCCCAAACCATCCCCCCATTCCCTTAGAAACACCCCGGCTGCTTCACCCTGGGAGCCCCCCGGCTGTCATCTTGGACGGCACGGCCACGGAGTGGAACGGTTTCCTCCAGTACTCCGTGGCAGGCACCTGGCGAGCTGAGGGACCCCCCTATTATCACAGTTGGAACTCAACAAATAAATACGGGACATAAATGGTAATATGGTAATATAGGTTGATTTGGATTAGTATGGATCACATTGGATCACTATTTCTTATATGTTTCTTAGGAACATTTTGACACCACATCTTCGGCCTCCAGCATCTTCGGCCGACCCCTTGGAGGACGTGGCCCACCCGCACGCCTCCAGCGAACGCATGGACGCTGGATCCACCAAACCGAGATGTGCCGCGGCTTTGGTGCACAGCCTTGGATGGACGGGGATAGCTGGATGGGATGGCTTGATGATGGGGTTCCCCCATGGAGGTATCCAATAGCTGGTTGGTTTTTGTTAGGGAAACTCCATCTATAAATGGATGATTTGGGGGAAAAAATATTTCAGGAAACCACCAGAATATATTTATAATATTTGTGAAGAACTCCCCCCTTGATGATCTTGATGAAATTTGAAATATGTGGAAAGAGATAAAGAGTTAGATTGAGAGATGTTCTATACCATGTTCTATTGACAATCTCACCTCGCCCATTCTTGTGCCATCTCTTCCTTCAATGGGACATCAGGAATGCAATTGCAAGATGGCTTCTTGAAACCAAACTTTCATGATGAAACACTCCTGCTCAACTTTCAGATCAAACAACACCTGCACTATTTGGAACATATATATATATATATTTATATATATATTATACATATATTATATATATATATTATATATATTATATATATATTATATATATTATATATATATTATATATATATACCAGTTCCATCCATTTCCATAGGCAGCGTTTCTTCCTGAGTTCTCGTGGACAGTTTCACACCCCCCTCTCAGGCGCAAAAACATCAGCGGCGGCAGGCCTCCCAAAGCCTCGCAGCAAGTAACCAGAAATCAAAGGGGTCGCAGTTGTGTGTGGATTGTTTGTAGGTAAGTGATGTTCCTTGAACTTTTAGAAAGGTGTGTGCAAAACCACTGTTTCTTTTCTTATTTTTCTTCCATTCTGGCACATGATCGTATCATGATCGTGGAATTGTGGCTTGGTCTGGCCACAAAATGCCAGATGTATAGTAACTTGGCAGGCGAGTTTGACCTGGGCGATCTTCTTGGGAAGGTACACCAAGTCCTCCGGACCTCAAGGGGACGAGGTAAGAAGACGATACCATGGCCCAGCACTGTCCAAACCATCCCAGGTTAAAATCCTGAAAGGTGCGCTGACCACCCCTCCCAGCCACCGTCCCTAGGTGATTCTTTCATTTTGAGCATTTAGCCACCATTAAACAATATTAAAAAATGTTGAGATCTGCCATGCATCACTTCAGGGTGCGACAAGAGAGCTCTGAGGCTCAGGCAAACCGGGCATACTTCGACCTGCTCAGCTGGGCAAAGAACCAAGATCGATAGGAAACCTGGCAAAACGAAAACTGCTTGGGACAAAGTCCACAGATAAACCGTACACCGTACAGCCAAAAATCCCTGGGAGTTTGCAGAAAAAACACGGAGAAAGCATGACCAAGCAGGCTTCCCAAGCCACAAGGATTCATCTTCATACTGTCCGTGGCTTAGAAATTTTGATACAGGTCTCCGGGCGCAAGTAGTGCGTTTGAAGCGGTACCTAGTCAGCAAGCTTGAGGCCAACTATGGCGTCTCCAAATCAAATCGGCCTGGGCTCCTAAAGGTTTGGTCTGGCGATGGGTTGTGCAGGAGACCCATTTCAAACTTTCAAAGATCGCTTGGAATTTTAGGGTCCGGTTGTGCCATTCATGTTTCCCCTTCTTGAAAAGGACGCTTCCTACAAACATCAGCTGTTGCAGAAGGCAGCACACGCCGCTTCACTTTTCCGCCAGGTGTATGGATTGCGACACTAGTGTGATTAGGTTCTGCTGGAAGTCCCATCCCTGGGTGCATGGCATTGATTTGCGTTTGACACTGGGAAGCAGACCAACAAATTGCCGGGGACCAAACCATGCGGCAGCATATGGATACGTGCTCCGTAATTACCCTCTGGTAAACTAACAGTTTGCTATTGAAAATGGCCATGGAAATAGTGGATTTACCCATCAAAAATGGTGATTTTCCATAGCAAACTGTTAGTTTACCAGAGGGTATCCAGAATGCTTGCTATAAAGGGCTCTTGTCTGCTTGTGGCTTGAGAGCCACCTTCCTACGTGGTGAAACTGAAGCCTAACCTAACTCAACTAAGGACCAAAACTCGACCGCCCAAGAATTGGGGGCACAGATGTTTGCAAAATTTGCTTAAAAAGGCAATTTTATCATTTTGTTCATATCTTAACAATATATTTATGTATAATTAATATTTATCAATTTTCCATAATTTTCCTATCATCCAACTCCAGAATCCAACCCAACTGACCCCCAAACGTCGATGTTTTGGCCGCCGGCTCAGCATCCCCCGCACTTCGCGCGAGAGACGCTCTGCTGCCGTTCCGTTGTTTTCAGCGGTCCAGCGTTGGGACCCGCGGATCCTCGAAGCTCGCAGCAAGGGAAAGCAACTGATCATTTCAATGGGAATTTCAGGAACCGATTGATTGGAGGTACCTACTATATATAAGGCCTATTTTTTAGGCCTATGTAAGGGAATATACCCACAAAATATGGCCAAACATATGGTACAGTACCTCCATTTTAGGATCCTGGAATTACCATTGATCATTGGGAAAAAAATGGTGAAGTCACCGAAGATCTATAAGAATAAAAATGAAATATACATGGGTTGATGATCGTTGGATGATGGAAAAATGGTGCTGAAGAGTGCATTTCCAACCATCCCACAAGCACCATATCCCTCCACAGCGTAGTCTGCGCCTGCTCCGAAAGCAACTTCTGCGCAATGGCCTTGAACTGCGCCTCCGTCATCCTGGCGCACTGACACATCTCCTGCCATGGATTGCAGTGGGCTCAACCTGGCGTCCTGGCGGGCCTTATGTGTAAATGGATATAGATGGGGCTCCAATCATCCCAGGGATCAAACAAATGCACCAGTTCATGTTTTCTATCAAAAGTCCTCATTTTTGTTGGTCCCTGGTCGAAATGAAATCTCGAAAATTGCCCCATTATGGGATAGAATGTGATATCCCAGGAAGGATGGAAACCGCAAACTCATCCAACTATGGTATCGCATCTACAAAAATCATCTGAAACTTGGTTTGCGAACCGCAAAAATCTCAAAACATTGGCAATGGAAAGTGGTTCAACGATATAAGTATATAATTTCATACACAAAAATATATTGAAAAAATAAACAAATCACGTTGACCACCATACACATCTATACACCACCTAAATCCACCTAACATCAACAGCGCCAGTCCTTCTTCACCCCATCCAGCAAACATCCGGGATGAAGATCGCTGCGGCTGCGTCGCAGCTGCTTCCGCAAGGTATCTTCCAAGCGGCTCATGCCTCTGTGCTGCTGGTTGAGCCAAGTCCCTTAAAGAGTGGGACTTGACTTAACCAACTAAAAAAGGAATTTACATGAATTTACATGGTTTCACTCTGTTTCACTTGACCAATATCATATGAAGCAAATGTTAAAAATGGAGGTTGAACTAACAAACACTGAGGATGTCGCTGAGATGCTTACCTGAAACCATTGAGGACATTAGGTTGTAGGGTTGGTGGTACCGGGTTTCCGGGACTTCAAATGGGAATCTGACGTTGAAAGCCGATTATTGCGAGATGGTGCCTTTTTGACTGCAAAGCATCCTTTTATGTTCTTTTTTAGCCTTCTTCTTAGCCATTAATTACTGTCAATGAGCATTGGAAATCTTAGATACCCTGCAAAAACACCTTTTTGGCTTGGGATGATATGGGCATACCTGGCATGGTATAGGTTCCCATTCATAGCAAGAGATTCAAAGTACTAAGTGAATCTAAGTGATAATGGGGGATCTACACTACCTATATAACTCTTGCTGTAGAAAAATCATAGAGATTAGAGAGATTCCCCATGGATGACCTAAAGATTTCCCCATAGATTTCCCCAATGGTTCCCCCAATGGTTTCGAACGCTTGCCGTGGCGCTCACTGGTCGCGTCAGCACCGCGAGGCCCGGCGCCGGCGCCGCCTTTGGCGCCTCCGACGGACCGCGCGGCGCGGTTCCGCGCGCATCGACGATGCGTTGCATGCGGATGGAGCGCTCCTGGAGACCGGGGAAACCCAAATTCTTTGGTCAAAGATCTTTTTAGGCTATTTTGGAACCTAAATTCACTGGCCATCTCAGGAAACATAGGAAACTAAATTGGAGGTACCTACCACATCTAAGGCCGATTTTTTAGGCCTAAGGGGATATACCCCACAAAATATGGCCAAACATATGGTACAGTACCTCCATTTTAGGATCCTGGAATTCCCATTGACTAACGATGTAATGGTAACTTAAATGGTAACTATAGCAAATAGAAATACAAATAATAAATACAATAGAATACAATAGATATTTACCATAGATACCATATGATACAATAGATACCATGTTTATCCATTTTTTACTACTACTATACCATAGATACCATTGCAAAATCGATAAAAAAAAACCAGCAATGAACCATTCGGATGTCATGTTTACATCATTCCCAGGCAGTCAAAAAATAACCCAATTTTGGATGATCTGTTCTTGCGCTTACCACGGTAGGTAAGAACCACATTATATGGTCAGTCCATTAGGGAATTCAGCGACGAATTGGTGGCTGCATATCACAAAATATCACAAAATATCACAAATGAATCAAAATTACCATATATTTACCATCTAGGTGAGTCCAAACATTCTGGGTTTTCCATCACCAGAATCAAAACTGAACAAGACACCCCATCCAACTTCCCTTCACCATTCAGTTTACCCAGCTCCTTGTCACGTTGCAAGGTATTGGCCTTCAACGTTTCATAGGCAAAGGGATACTTCCAGCGCAAGGTGTCGTGCGCCGCAAAGCGCGCGCGAGAGGAGGGGATCTCGCTGATTTCTGCCATGGCAAGGCCAGGAAGACGGAAAAATCAATGAAGTGATGGCTTGGTTGGCTGATCCTGGAGGTTAAGAAGTTGGTCAGAGAGGGTGCGGGAAAATCATGGGGGAATCTGTCAAGGAGAGTTTGATCATGTTGATTGTTGATCCCTGATGGGCTCAGAGTTTGATGTGATGAGTTAAGACTTTACTTGGGCCAATTGTACCAACCACCCCTTCGCAGGCCAGCAAGCGCAGAGCTGTTTCAGAGCTGTGGCTTTCCCATGTCTTCTGCAAACAGATGAAAGACATCGCCATGGAAAGGGAATGAAAGCGCCATGATGCCATGGGGCCTTTATACAAACTACGAATTGCTTCTCGTTGTTGGTGCTGCTGGAAAGGCACAGCATCCCCTACATCTTCCTGCAGACCTCCCCCAGACTTCAGCACGCATATGCAAGTGTTGCAAATTCGAAGTCTTTGAACGGTCCTAATGCTTTCCTGACGTCTTGTTCAATCTCCCAAATCTTCCCGTAGCTTCCTAACACTTTCTTTATGGCTAGCCTCAGCAACCGGGTCACGTGGTGCTCTGCGCGTTGTGGCTCACCAAGTGTTTGGATTCCTGGTGCTTGGCCTCAGTTTCAGAGCTCCCCATCGCAGGGTTTGACCTGCTTCGCGGTAATCTGAAACATAGCTTGGTCACGGGGATTCAGCCCCCAGAAAAAGGTGACCCCCCAAGAATGGCAGATGAATATAGATGATTAGTGGTCAATTTATAATGAGTAGTGAATAATAATAAGCTGATTAAGACTTGCTATGATTTATAATGATTAGTGGTCAACTTGCTGGTTACCATCAACCCTTTCACCCTGACATTCTCAGGAAAAACCCACCAAGTCTGCGGACCACCACCCAGGTCTTCAAGAAGGCCACGAAATCCTGCTGAGTGGCAGCCATCCCAAACAAACAAACATGTCAGCTAAATAGATATTATATATATATATATGTATATTTATTTATATATATATATATTATTATATATTTATTCAAAAAACTTTCAAAATGATGCGGAAAACATCTCTGGAACACGAGACATCACAACAAAATGCCTCTGGATTTGCAAATGAGGTCCAAGAAAAGTTACTTACTAAAGTATCAAATGATATCAATAGTTTCTCCAAAGGGTAGATCAACCAGCTGAAAAACCCTTACTTTAAAAAAAAAACGGATCTTGGCCTTTCGCCCCCATTGGATCAGATCAAGCAGGAGCGGAACATTCACGGGCCAACCCTCCCTAATGAAATCCCTAGCCCTAACCTGAGCATCGCGTTCCCGGTGGAAGAAGAAATCCAATCCATCCTTGGCTCGGGAATCAAGGAGCCAAGTACAGCAGCTTGTTTTTTCGCATATGCAATATGTCCATTCTTGAACAATCTGGTTCTTGGATGCCATTGGTTCATGATTGGATCTTTCTTGGCTTGCTTGGGCCATTTTACCCTCTGGTAAACGTTTACATAACTATGGAAAATCACCATGCTATTAATGGGAAAACTCACTATAAATGGCCATTTTCAATAGCTTTTTGCATGTTTACCAGGGCCATTTTATTCAAGTCCGTTGAAAGTCGAAGCGGCCTCGCGGCCTCATCCGCCCAAACATTCGCCCGGCCTTGACGTTCTGCAACTGGATCATGTTCTTATGCGCCTAAGGGCCCCGGCTCTGTGAAATGCAGGGGGGTTTTACTTGGAGGATCATCCCACTGTTGGGAACTGGTTAATAACCCTGGCTATAATATCTAATATATATATATATAGATAGATAGATAGATAGATAAAATCTAATACATATACATATATATATATATAACATATATATATTATATATATATAATATAATTATGTGTGTGTACGCCCTATTTCTCTCGCTCTCTCTCTTTCTGCCCTAAGTCAGTTGCGAAAGGAGCACCTCGCTATCTCCATGTTATCAGTGCATATCTGTGCCATTTTTTTCCGGTGTTTTGGACAGCTGAGCAGGAGGAGAGGCGTAAAAACTCATCCAACATCCCCATGACGGATCCATGGTGCTGGTATATATGGTAACATTAATCCCATCAATATGCCCCAGTCATGTTAGCATAAATACCAGCACCAGCCGGATCCTATGGGATCATCTGTCTCACTTGGGCTGGTATGATTGGTATGAAACACTCATTGAAACTAATTCATTGATGGTGACGGATGCGATTTTTTCTAACACGATAAAAATCACAGATATTCATATAGATATTCTAACATATTCTAGCCATATAATACTGGTTGGTGGTTTCAACCCCTCTGAAAAATATTAGTCAATGGGAAGGATTATCCCATATATTATGGAAAATAAAAAAATGTTTGAAACCACCAGCCAGAATAACACGAATCAACTTCGGGAACTCAATCAAAATTCATCGGAATTCCATATCCATCAATCCTCCGCTCCGACACGGCCTTGTGCTGAAGGATCAACTGCTCCAGAAACATCAAGGTCTTTCGATGTCTGGGTCCCAGTGACCGAAGATGTCAGTTGGGCTCATCCCAAGGTGAGGTGGACAACATTGGGAAAACATGGGAAAACACAAAAAAAAAACGTGTTGAAACCACCAACTGACTGACCTGACTGACTCACTCGCCATTGATATCCATTGATACAAGTTTTTGGCTCGTTGAGCTATGTAAAACATTGTAAAACACAGGTCTCTCTGTATGTTGTGCTAACTTTTCTGGGCTCCACAGACTTTTACAGTAGCATCCGTGAACCATCTGCAATGCTTTGCCCCGCGGTTTGGTGATCTTGGTGCCCAACTCGGAGCGTTGTCTCACCTGTCAGAGGCTGGACCGCATTCCTAATATCAATCGGTTGGTTTATAGGTGTTGATGGGACAGTCTACGGTTGGAACCCAGGTGTTTGCTATGGAAAACTGGCAACAGCGCCCTAAACTCTCTCAGGGACAGTATGGTCTTGGGGGGCCCGCTGTGAAAAGAAAATACGCAGACTGTACTATAGCCACTGTCCAGCTGGGATGCGTTGACAGTGCGTTGACAAGATCGAAATGCGGACCAGTACTTTAAAAAACGAAGTGCAACCATGTGCAACCCGTACGAAACGGGAGGGACATGCTCAGGGCCACTGATTCTACATATCTCAAAATGTGACGTTGGCCAGTTCCACAGGAGGCCTTTGGTCATCAAGTCATTCGCCCGGAAGCCCGGAATCGTGGCATTTTCTCTCCTTTGGCAGGTCGGATCTCGGATCATCACAGAGCTGACACCAAGCTCAGCCCGCAGCCCCCTGCCTTCCCTGCCCCTGCCTTCCCTCCGCAACGCGTGATCCCCTTCCAGGCAGCACCCAACTACAACCTGAAAGGCTTGTAACACCCAAAGGGTGTGGTCGCTTGCTGACTCAGACTCCATGGTGATGTCAAGATCCATGGCTCAGAAACCTGGCGCTAGTCATAGCCCAACAGAGGTACCGCATCACCAAATCAACGGTGTTGCCCGTTTCAGACATGAGGTGACCATCAAAGAAATCCACCGGGCCCGCAGTGAAAGTTCGCGAACAGGCGGGCATTCGATGTGGCACAATGGGTTTTGGTCAAAGATGGCTGGTCGGTTGCATCGCTGCGCACTAATGTATTTCACAGCATGACTTGTCAGATTTGGGGAAGGAAATTAGCCTCGCAAGGCGCACAGAATTCGAGTCTTGTCATCAAAAAATCGGGGAAAGGAACCGTGGACACCACCAACCAGCTCCATTTTGTTGGTGTCCCCTGTTGATGGTTGCATAATCTCCACCTATTGATGGTTGCACAAGGATGCACAAGGTTATGTCCTCTTTGGGTTTGTCTGCAAATCGGGCACCCCGAAATGCAACTGTTCATCATCAGATTTCCCATTAAACATCCATTAAACATCCATTAAACATCCATTAACATCAGATGTCCCATTCAACATCCACATACATCTACTTTAGGACTTTGGACCCCGCCATGTCTGGTTCAAACCTCACAAAACCCTTCGGCTTCTTTTGCTGGCGGCCGCTGTGGCACATGGTCGCACTTCTTGGCGTCACATGCGGTAGGCGCGCCTGGGCCGCACGTTTAGCACCAGCCAATTCAATCTTGGTTGGTTCTCTGTCACGTCACAGGTGCAACAATGATCTACCCTGGTAAACGTTTACATAGCTATTGAAAATGGCAATTTATAGTGGATTTTCCCATTAAAAATGGTGATTTTCCATTGTTATGTTAGTTTACCAGAGGGCAAACATGCTTTTTGCAGCTAGTTCTGAAGCTAAAAAAAACACAAGTTCCATTCCATCGCTGGTGGTTGCAACCATTATCATCATTATCCGGTGGGTTCTTCCAACCCATCCGACAATGGCAAAGTCAATTGGGGATCAGCATCCCAAATGTATTGATATGCATTGTTGAAATGAAAACACAATCGAGCAGCTTTTCCGGATCATATCCATCAGTGTTGGTGATCTGCCCATCGATTCTTCGAGAATCCCAATAAATCTTTGGCCAACATCCCCCTAACAGTAAACACCCCTTAACTGCGCCCGGGATATGAATAATTTCAAGACTAAACTGACTAAACCAAGTAGACTTATTTTCGGGGATATTTAACATTGGGAATGGGAATTAATTGAAACCACCTGGCCTTTTTTCACTCACCTCCCCCGTAACTGAACCCCTTACCTCGCTGTGCCCGCAAAGAGTTCCCGCACATCTTCGCGGGGATAAGTTTCAGAGAACTTCAGGAAGGCCTGTCAGGGGCTTACCCGGCATACAATCCTCCACCCGCCATATCCCCCATAGATCCCCATAGTAATTACTTCAATAAGTAAGTAATCAATACATCTAAGATCATCTAAGTGTGTTACTTAGTTGTTGATATGAGCCCAAAGCCTCGTAATATGCATCTCAGAAACTCTCATCCATTTCTACCTGGCAAAAAAAGACTCAACCGAGGCCATTCCATTCCATCCCCATCCATCCTTGGCAACCCCCAAAGCCTGGAAAACCCGCTCCGGCCCCCAGCCATCGCTACCATCCACCGGCGCGTTGCTGGCGAACATGCAGCGCCCGGGCCCGAAGAGGCGGACTATGCGGTGGAGGGCCTCCAGCACCAGCGGCTGCTCGTGCCAGCTGGGGTGCAAGCGGCTGAGCCTTGGGGGGCTGAGGCAGGGTGGGGGCTGGGAAACCGGACCCAAAAAAAGGTGGTGAAACAAGTAGGAACATTTTGGATAGAGAACTATTAGTTGGAAAAAAAAAGAAAACTGCTCTGGAGAAAATAGTGGTGAAATGCAATCTGAGTTTGCTTGAAACATTTTAAACAGACTCTTGAGCCAAATAAACATACACGAGGTCCCACCAGGTGGGATCCAAGCTTCGGAGAGCAATGCCTCCGGTGTCAGCCACAGATTTATGAATGGAATAATACTGAGGTCATCAATCAGCTACAGGAAAATATAGGAAATATAATGGAAATATCTAAAAATGGAAATTCGAGCACCATCACTCTCAAACCCTCAATGTCTGGCAGTCTCTGCCAAGCAACATGCTGATTTTCATGAAGGTCCCTGGCAACGCCGCAAGCTTCTCTAATCCGCGCCAATACCTCAGGGGGATCTTGGATCAAAACATAGGTGGCAGCAGATCGGGTTCCAAATCCACTAGCCAAACTTCTTGAAACCTGACTCCCGCCCATGATTTTTATCCACTTCAAGATCCCCAAAAAAAACAAGAATCCAACTGGACACTTTCACAAGTTTGGATGTGCACTTCCAAGGCGCTGATCGGCATTCTCCTGCAGATCTTCCATCAAGGGACTGCCCAGATGGTCGATGATCACCATGGTCTCTGGGTGTTTGCCCAAGAGCTCGGCTGCCTTTTGGAACTGATGCCTGTTGGGGCAGTGGGTTCATTGATGATAAAGAAAATTGGAGAAAAGAATGAGGAACAGATTAAATGAATGAAAGTAATGGACATCCAAAATGTATCAAAATGTTGTATCCGAGTGTGTCTCCTCTTTCTCTGAACGGCATGGCCGTGAACGCAACAGGATTGAGTCCCACGATCTATCCCCTTTTTTTGGCCTCTGATCAAATTCTTAGCCTCTGCACCTTTCACATCCGGATTTTTTTTCCAGCTGGATTTCAGACCAGCCGGGCCATCACCATAGCTTCACCATAGCCCTGGAACATGATGATCCAAGGCACGGATTCAGCTGCAGGTCGAAGCTGAGGTTGTTCCCCTGGCAAAATCATGGGGAATCCCGAAGTTTGTGGATTGTTGATTAATATGGGGATTTCATGGGGATATAATCATTTTATGGAAACTGGAAACATTTTATGTCATCTAGAAATATCATCTAGAAATATCATCTAGAAATATCATGGGAAACTGATGGAACCATTTTTAAAGGGGATTTTTTATCAACAGATATTGGATTCATCAAGGCTGTACCCTCCAGTAGTCATGGCCGGAAGATTCCCATCTCCCAGCCTCCAAGGTCGCGAAGCCCCGCTGCCACTGGGGGTTCTCCAAGAGATCGCCTAGTCGGTGATTCCGCGGCCAGCTGGGCTCATGGTTCGCGATCTGGCGAATGCCCCGAAGGCCTGCAGGGGCTGTTGGGAGATGGCTGGCGACTGGCGATGCCAGAGATGTTGAAACATCTTACGAAACTCGATGGCTTTTGGATCTTTCGGACCCACTGACAGTCTTCAATGAAAAACTGGGAAAAAACAACACTGCTGGGCGGTGCAACCATCTTGAAAAATATGAAAGTCAATGGGAAGGATGACACTTTTCACTTTCGCAATACTGTGCAGGTCTGCGCTTGGTCTTGCAAATGAAGAGACGAAAGCATCTGTTGCTGCCCTGTACTAGCCATGATAATCAGGCTGAACCTCAGCTGGGTCCACAAAATCGGCAGCAACAAAACGCTGGAAAACCTCGGGCAGGCCCTTGGCAACGGAGCTGGACTCGGTAGCAAAAGTCTGCTCGACGTACACTCCAATGGCCCTGCCGAGTGCCGCATTCAAAAGCGGAGGATAAATCTTTCCACGCGCCGTCCTAAAACAACCAGCTTCATCCCGACCCAGCAAACGTTCGTGAGCCTTGAATCCGTGCGCGCATCTTCCACATTTCCCCAGAGCCAGAGTAGATTCACGGAAATGTCCCAGCCGAAGAAGCATCACCGTGGTGGGCTTGACAGCTGGAGCATGAAAAATACACTGATCAAAGGATACGATCGACACACAGCTAAGCTGTCGAAGTTGAAGGACAGATGGAAAACTCCATATACTGCATGGTGCTTTCGAAGTGCACCACACAGGATATTGAGGATGTTCACAAAAACCACAGCCTCCTGTCTGTGCAAGGAGGAGTAAAATGTCCAGGATGAATTGGACGAGCCGCGTGCCCACAAGCACTTGTCGCCACTCTCGTGCCGTCAAATACGGCAGGCCTGTGGGATCGTCTGCGGTTCTCACAGCTCTAGGGCCATCACCTGAGAAACGCGCAGACGTGAACGTCTCGCACGGTGGGCCCCCGCCAGCACCAAACACCCTTCCTGACAGAATTTGCTTCTTCCAAAAAGCAAGAGAGGAGGCATCTGAAGCAAGATCCCCAGCTGCTTTCTGAATACACATGTCCACCGACAATGCAAAAATCTGTAACCCATTCGGAAGAATAAGATGCTCCAAGATACCATGCAAATCCTGCGATCTTCGAAATCCACTGAAGAAATGCACGAAAACCAGTGTGGAAATGTTCATGCGAGCGTTCAGGGTTGCTAAGCCCGCATACTGAAACAGTCCACCCTCATGAAGACTACCATGGGGGGACTGTAACACAAATCCCTGCACGGAGTGCTGCGCAGTTTGAGCATGGAGTTCACCGTCTGCATCTAGATCTATCTTACGACCCTGAAGCTGAGTGAACGCAGTACCTGCCTGTGGAAACCTGGCGCTCCATCTTGCAAACATTTGGCGCGCATCAGGGCTATCACTAGCTGGCAAGACCGGTCCATATGCTTTGCAGGCTGGCAACAGGGCTTTGGTGCGCCACCAGCCTTCCTTTTTGAGGGTCGCAAACTCAAGCTCATCCTCGTAGTCAAGTTGCTGGACACACGCATCAGACATGGGAGGGAAACAAGCTTGTAATTGCGTCATGCAAGGCTCAGAATGCGTCAGGTGCTGGCAGAGTCGCATACGGCTGTGATGAAGCTTGCAACAGGCTGGGCATGTGTCACCAGAAGCAAAGAATCTCACTAGCCTACGATATCCATGAACCCGTTGGCAATGTGTGGCCAACCCTCGTTTAGAGGAAAATGCCTTGGAACACAGATCACATTCCCATTGCAAAGGAGCGGAGTCAGAACTAGGCGGCACAGTCTGAGTCAGTGCATAAAACTCTTTGTCAAAAGCCTTCTGCCACACCAAATACTCCGCCTGAGACTGTCGGTACTGCTGGCAGTTACGAAGTGCAGTTTTGAGTCTTCCTTTCCAGGCTGAATCAGTCTGAACAGCTAGGATCCAGGCACCAATGGGACTGTCGGCGGACAATTTCCAAGCTGGGCCGTAAAACTGACAAAACCACTTGAAAGAATCATTCAGCAAACCATACCATGAGGAAGGAATGTGCTGTGTTTGCCAAATGAACTGCCAAAGCGCAGCAGGGCACTGTTTAAGCAATCTGGCAAAGTACCTGAGCCGTGCGACATGCAATCGGTCTTGTGGGGTTTCCAAGCCAATCAACCCTCCTAGAGTGGCAACATCAAACAACTTCGGTGCGAAACCTTTAGTGCAACACTTGGCCAGTGAGCACAATGGCTGCCTGATGGAGTTGGCCCATTTGGTGAGATCTGCAGGCTTGAGGTCACCCCAAGTGTGAACATTGTACATGTGACGAGACAATGCCAGTGAGCGGAACACTTTGACCTTAGTGACGGTAGAGACATAGCGTTTGGCAAAAAATTGCCTGGCCAGCGAATCCCAGCTAGCTTTGGCGCCATGGGCTCTGGTTTGGATTTCCCTGGACAGACATCCACCAGTCTGGAGCCATGTGCCGAGATGCTTATAAGACTGGACAACTCGGAGACAAAAGGAGACATCAAAAGCCGACCAACGGATTTGATTCCCATTGTGCATAAGCTGCTGCTTCAACTTGCGCGATCCCTTGCCCTGCACTTGCCACAACATTTCAGTCTTGCCTGGCTCGTAATTGAGGTGCAAGCCTCGTCGACGTGCTGCAACATGCATGGCTGACACAACGTGCTGAGCAATGGTCTGCAAATGGCCAATTTCATTAGCATGAATAGCAACCGCACAGTCATCCACGAAAGACACATCTGCAAATCCATTGACTGGCAAATCACCTGGCGACAAGAAATCGGCACAGCAGGACGGATCACCAAACCATGTAGCAACTCCTGACTGCAGCACCAAGTCTTTCATTTCAGCCAGGATTTTGCTCATTGTGAGATTAAACAGCAAATCACCGATCGGATCACCTGGTCTCGTCCCCAAATGCGTAGCCACAGGTGAATCAATGCCTTCGACCGTGAAAAACGTATGTGACATTGTGTCATGAACCAAACGTTCTACATGCTGAGACACTCCTTCCAGGGCACACTCCTGATCAACAGCTGCCAACATGTCTGCAATCTCGGCCTCTGCCAGTCCAAGACACTTCATAGCATACTGAAACGCATTGCTAGTATCTTTGCATGCAGTAAGCGCTTGCCTCAGAACGGAGTAGAAAGCAGCTTTCATGTCGAAGAACACAGTAGCTGCTGGGGTCTTGCCATGACGAGCCCAACATTGGTGCATCTGCAAGAAATGGTGGGCAAGGTCAACCCCACAGCCTGCTCTCCCTCCGAACTGCATCGAGTGCAAGCTCGCAGTCCAGGCCCGCTCGAGGGGACGTCTCAAACAAGCATGATATAACTTGGCTGTGAAATCTGACACAAAGATACTTCGAAAAGAAGATGGATCACTTGGCAATCCCTTCCCCTTATAAAGGGGAATGAGTTTCCCTCCACGCCACGAAGTTGGCTCATGCACATGGGCTATTACCTTGTTTGTCAAGCAAGAGAGTTGCATAGCAAAGGGTGCACCTCCGGCCTTCAACAGGTCTGGTGGTATGGCATTGGGACCGCAGGCCTTACCTCTTCGAAGCTTCCGCATTGCTTGCAAAAGCTGCCAGGGCGAGATGAATGCTTGAGGATCGATCTCCCATTCAGTTCGGGACACTCCAGGGCGGGCGAGACTATGCAGAGCTTGCCAGGAAATCGGAAGACCGGCTTCCACTGCAGCGAACTGACGGAGCCAAATCTGCTGCTGTTGCTGGAACGTCTGGGCTAACTCTCCGTCAGGGCTACGCAGAATGGGCAATGGGCGACGCCCGGCATTCTTGTTGCGTTTTCTACCAAAGCGATCCAGGATCCTGTACAGCTGTTTGGCATCGGCAGCTTGATCAGCATTCTGCAGGCGCACCAACAACTGGTCATAAAAATTTGCAAGATCCGCATAGACAGCACTACGAACAACCTTCTCAACTGCACGCAGCTCAGCCTTGTACAACGGATCGGTCATCAGTTGCAAGGCTCTGCCAACATCAAGAATATGGCGCTTAAAGGCAATGAGCTGAATTGTGGCCGGCTGGAGCTGCGGCCGAAATTTCTTTTTGGTGTGGCCACCAAAAAACTGCTGACCAAGTTGCAAAACTTGCGCTTCAAACACTGCACAATGATCTGTTGTTCGCACATCCCAGGTGGGCAGAGGCAACGTGGCCAAGGCTGCTTGGAAATTGGCAACTTTAACCGGATCAAGGAATGCCAGTTCATCCCAATGCAAACGCGCTCTGGCAGCTGGTGCGTGCACAAAAGCAGCAAATTCAATGCCAACTGGGATGTGATCGTCATGACAAAACGTTCCATCATATGAGGTCAGGGTAAATGAGTGCTGCACAGAAGTCAAGGATGGCAACGGCACCAACACATAATCCCTTCTGCACCTAGCACCTGACGAATGCGTCCAAGTCCAGGATTGACCCTGGTGAATGTCATGAAAAGTGGAGGGAACCGCAAAACCATGCTTTAGCAAGAACTCCTCAAACACTCCTCCCTGTGGGTTGGTGGCTTCAGCATCCAACATGCCAAAACATTCTGATTCCTGGGACGCTAGCGGTGCATTGGCATCAACACAAACCCATTGAAATGTCGCGGGTGGACAGGCCTGAATGATGTCCGAGGTTTCATTCCACCAATGAGAAATGTCATCAATGGGGCGATGGCCATTACCTTTGGTCTTTCCCAAGCATGGGGCGTGCAGCACCAAGAGGAGAAAGGAACAGCATGAATGGTCACCTCGAATCACCAGTCGGCGTGGATCAGCATGCACCACAACAAACTTGAAATCCGTAGCAAATATTGCAGTACCATCTGGCATGGTAACAAAAGGCAAGGTACGATGGAACCAGGCTTCACATCCAAACCGCGGCGCTGCAGGGTCCTGAAACCCAGAGGAAAAGACAATGTAGTGCTCCGTAACATCACGGCCAGAAATGGTACGAGTTTCTTGCAAGCCGACAATATGAACCTTCTGGCGGTGCC